AACCGAAGCCCGGTGCCTACTGAGGCTAGATTACGAGGTATTATTGATGCCAGGCAACATTGCAGGTTGTTGCTTATGTATGCCTCCTGCTTCCTTCCCTTCCCGACGGCACGGCCCTGACAGCAATTCAGGCAAGTTTCTGCCCCCAACGCCTGGGCTGATCGTCAAGAAACGCATTTTCGGCACGGCAATTGATTCTGATCTTGGCAAAATGTGGAGTATATGCCATGGTACTAAGCAAAGAAAGAAAAGGGGCAAGAAATCGACGACGACCAAATGGATAAAGAAGCAGACGCGGATGCAGATGAAATCTGTACGAAGTAGGAACAAAGAACAAGAGTTGATCAACTGCTTTATTGCTTTTCTGCAACTTGTCGGCGACTTTGTCCGTGGAACTCTTGAACCGCGGCATAGGTTCCTTGTAGGTTGCCTCTTGTAGTAGTTAACTACAATTGTACTTCGCAGCGTCTTCAATTGTTGTCCAAGTCAAGAGTAGTGCTTTGCTGACTACGCATTGCGGCACGCTGTTTGCTGGGGGGTGCTCCGTTTCCTCATCCTGGGATCTTGCAACGCAGTTTGATTTCTCACGGAAACTATGCCCATCAGGAAAGGGCCGACTTCCTCACCTCCGCGGCTGGGGTTTCTCAGATCACGCCTGAGGCAAGGATGAACGACATTATTAGCAAGAACTCAAAAGGAGTAAACGGGAAGAATCGAAGGAAGTGAGCTTCCATGAAGTTCGCATTGTCTCCAAGTGCATCATAGGGCCATGTTTAATTTCAACGGTGATCTCCGGTTTTCTAGCGCATTTCGAGCCTAGTCAAGCTATTCTTAGATACCCCTCAACTTCAATGTTATGTTAGTTGCCCTTCCTTAATGTTTGTCCATGAAGGCTTGAATGATTGATGCCTTTTGAAACGGATTGCCCCGTTGGTTGCCTGTGCGGGCGGGCAAACACCGCATAGACGGCACGTCCTGATGGGCAAACCCACTGATTAAATCCTGCCTAACCGGTGAGACCGGTATTACTTCGCCGGACCTGTCGAATTTGTTACGGAGCCCAGAGCCTGGGCACTCGCTCAGATTCGACAGCCACACTTGCACGGGTGCCCCTTCCCCACAGCGTTCCCCACGTCGACGACCGACTTCCTTTCCTGGCCGGAAATGGCGAGGTGAGGAAGTCGCAAGGGAGGCAGTCATCAATATACCTGCCGTACTTCAGAAGGAAGGATGACGGTATTATTACGCACCAGGATACAATGAAATGTACGAAGTACAGCACAGACATTGGAATTAGTTGTGTGCACGATCGGTGTAGGTAATCGGCCTTTCTCTCTCCCCTTCGTTTCAAAGTTGCAAACAACACTGCCCAGACCTGCTTTGCCTACTTCGTATTGTACCTCGCATCAACAAGCCCGTTCCTCGGGCCACCCTTGGAAATATGGTTTCCAGGAGTGCATCGTTCGAGTGCATCTGCCGGTAGACCACATGCGAAGCAATACTCACGCGAGCCTCTCGCGTTTCCGCATGCCGCACTGGAGCTTCTATTACCAAGTGATGTCGGTACCAAGAAGACCGAGAGACCGGCGCCCAGTATTACCGAGGTAGTACTTTGCCTGGCCTCGCCTCGAGGGAAGCGAAAAGGATCAAAGGACAATGGAACGAGTGCAGGGGTCATTCCGCGGGTTATCCACGAATCGAACGCCTGATGACTCTCTCAGATGGCTGGCTCAGTGGCTTCGCTTCATAGCCTGGCACTAGCCGCTCCAAGGCTAGTGAAATGGGGCACACCATCCCGCGCACGCTACCTCATACAGGACCGGGTTGCAGGCATTACCCTGGACTGAATCTCGAGCCTGACAGCATCTATCAATTCCGAATCTGCCCTGACCATGCTAAAACCCTACCAACTTCCACGTGTCCTGCCTCACTACTAATCCTAGTTCCCTGAACAGGCAAGCCCCGTGTAACATCATCGCCCCAGTCATACCTTTGGTATTTCCAGAAGACTCAGAGCCGAGGTGGAGGTGGAGGCGGACCCGTTGGCCGTTCTTCCTTTGAAGATTCCAGCAATGCCGGTCGGTGTAGGCGAGAAAAGAGACCCATAATTGCACTGAATTGGGGGAGACGATGGCCACGTTATCCCAGAAGCCAACCATCTTGGCTTCAGAGCCGGTATTTGGCATGTCGTGCTGCCGTGGCCCAGACACTCGTTATGGGGGAACCGTGATGCTCATTATCCAGCTCTCGTCAATATCCATCCACCCTCCCGTCCCGTCCATATGTCTATGGGGTTCAAAAAGAGGCACTGCATCATATGGATTTGGAGGGAACGTCGCCCATTGTACCGGCACTTTTCGTTGCATCTGAACGGCATGCTCATTTGCCTTTTCCATGATGCTATGTTGCGTATACAAATTCGGCGCCAGGGAACCCCGTCTTGAAGTGGGTTCTGCGCGGAATCGGTCAGCGAATTCTGACGTATTCATGTCCCGATATAGCATCGCGTCGCAAGGTCTAATAATAAGACACTCGCGTTTCAGATGAGGGGCTGGGTAGACTTAAACTTACCCACTCTTGCCTCAGCGTACGACTTCCCACTGTCGACAGACCCTCTGGGATGGGAATAAAGGTTGACTGTGGGTTATGGGGTGATGCACCGTTGCATACAGATAGAGGCTCAGTCGACAAAGGAGGATTTACGGCTCTCCACACGATCGTCTGACTTTCAGCAACACACACCCCCTCCCCCTCCAAGATAGTGCCGCTACCTGGGGCCAGGCCACGAATTGGAGCCAATTTCTCTTTTGAGCCACGAACCATTTGAGCTGTAGCCTAATTAAGACATTCGAGTTCTTTCGGCCAGCCAAGAGCAGGTCTCCGATAGGGCGAAGGGGGGAGGGAGAGACCGGACTCGAGGGCAGATCTCGCAGCTCGCTCTGACCACGGGATTGGACGAACAGGCTTCTCGGTATGATGTTCGCGCTGCGACGCCTCTTTCCCTCTCGAAAAGGGCAAAAAAGGGAGAGGGATGAGGGATTGATCTTCCCTTCGGCTTCCGTCCCGAACTGTCCACGCCTCGAACGGATGAAGAAATTCTACGATAGGTTTGGCACTTGTAAATGAACTTTACTCTTTTCAACCCCCCTTGCTCGTCCTCCTCTCTTTTGACCAAGGAAAGTTGTCATGCGGCGATCTTGCTCGCTTGAAGCCACTGCCGATGATTTCCACCTAATGCAGGACAGATTGGGACGAAGACAGGAAAAAAAGACGATGCCGGGGGGTGGATGGATGCAAAAATGACACAGCGCAGGGGGGAACGCTTGGAACTTCGGTAGCCTGGAAAAGAGGCTCATTCTCGACGACTCCACAGCAAAAGCTTCTAGAAGCCTGGCAATTTCCTCGTATCCGCCTGGCTAGGCTGGTTTAAGTCGTCACTGCAGTGGGATGAGTGGAATTCCATCCGTCCACCCCCTCTCCTTTGATGCGCGATTCAACTTCGAAGGAAAAGCGAACAAAAAAGGCCCCACCGCCAGGCGCCTCGATCACCAAGTGTGCTCTCAAATCTTCAGACGAGAAAGTGTCTGTGGATGTTGCAAATGCTGCAGATGCCTCACACATCCGAGATTATGAAGCAGATTACCACCGGAAATGTGTAAAGTCTGGAAATTATTCCATTTATTTTCTTTTCCATGATACCGACCGACCATTTCTAGGGGCGAGGGGATGAATGAATGCCACGTTCTGCCAGGTCTGTGCTGTTGCCCTATATGCGTAGAACGCCTTCCCAATACCCTCACTCCCAACGAAGCAAGTCTTTCCGAATCATGCCATTTACCAACTTAACCAACTACGGGCCCGCAGGATTCGCTGTTACTTCTTCACGTCCCGGATTATAAGTCTCCACCTCACATGAAAAGAGGACACTCTAGCTACCGAGAGGGGGCCAAGAAGCTATTAACATAATGTAACGAGACTTCCGAGAAACGGATTGGGGGCTATGCGAGTTGGAAGGAAACGACCGATTTACCTTTTGGGGGCTGGGGAAGGGAAACGCGGGATCGGAATGAGCGAGGTAAATCTGTTCAATATTGTCTCTCTATCACCATCACCAGTCCAACGCTATTATCGTTTTGAATAACACGCTTCTTTCTCTCCGTGCCCCTTCTCAAATTTCCCCGTCTCAAAATATCTTGCTGTTGAAACGAAGCTATGCTCGCGCCCTTTTTTTTCCCGCTGTTCTTTTGCCTTTCCGTTTCTCCGTTTGCCCAGAACCTCTCTCTTTCTCTGGACCGACCTCGACCTCCTTCGCGGCAGAGAAAAGAGTTATACCCACCCCCGTCAATAACCATTCTATTTTTTCTACTCTACCATAATAATAATAATAATAAAACGCCTTTCTTAACGAACCTCGAAATTTCGTAGTATCCTATCCCGCCCGCCTGCCGGGGAACCTCACCCGCGAGTTCCGGCCCAACATCCCGAAAAAGAGGGATTGGAGAAACCAAAAAGAAAAAAGCCCTTTTTCTCTTACGCCCCTCCCTTGTCTATAGCTCATGAAATCAAAGCCTTCTCTTTGCAACCAGTGAAGAAAGGACAAACAAGCCTCGGAAGGACTTCCCTTTTCTTCTTCCTTTTTTCCTTTTGAATCCTTTTTATTTTGTTTTTTTTTTAACCCCCAGACCAAATATTCTCCATAAAAATCCTCTATGGCCAGGGATGCGAGAACGAATAGGAACCAACTGTGGTGGATGATGTGTTGGTCGGGATAGAAGGGTTGAGGATATCCCTAACCATAATGCCAACAACATCATTCGGCTTATGATGGCGTCAGCATCTCGAAAGGCCTGAGGCGTCCTCACTTTGAGAGCCCACGTGAAGAAGAAAATCATTGCCCTCGTTCTTTCCCGCCTATCTGTCTGCTTCCGAGGTTTTCTTTCACCGAGGAATACGAACACGCGAAACCCCTACTCCTTACCCCCGGCCGTGGCATGTCCTTTTCAGTTTCCCACCTGCTGAGCCGCCTGGGGGGCAGCGTTGGCCGGACTAGCCTCTTCTTGTTTGGTCCCGTTGTCTGCGTTGTCGTGGGTCTGTTGGCTCTGATTCTGTTGCTCGATAGCCTGCTCGGGAGACCCAGCCTTTGGTTCGTCGTCCTCCGGCTTCTTGGTGACCCCATTGACATGTTCTGGCTCATCCTCCGCATCGTCCTGCTCTTCAAAAGTGAAGGCGTCTGAGAGGTTGACGGCGATGAAGCTCTTAGGTAATTTAACCCTAAAGGGAAGGTAGAAAAATCTCGTGTTAGTCGTTTGCTTCCTGATGCATCGTGCTTTATGCATAACCAACACCGGTGAAGGGAGGAGCACGAATGAAAAAAAGTGTGTGATATAGGTGGAACCCCCGCTAAATATCTTGAGACTTGTCACTTACTGGTTAAATTTAGCTCGTAACGTCTTAATCACCTCCCACCAGTCTGCATGGGCTGTCAAGCTCCGACGCGGCGCGCAGCTGATGCAATGCCGGCTATCCAGCTGGACGTCGAGCGGGTCCGGCACATGGCACCCAGGGCTGATAGTGATCCTAATGGAGTAGGTGAAAGTCGGCTCATCGTCGGGCGACGCCGCGTCCTCGGGAGCTTTCGTTTCGGACTCGTAAAGCTCGAAGCAAATCTGCGACAGGTAGTCGAGCTCGGGGATCGTGCTGCGACTGATCTTGGTCTCGATGCCGCCTTCGAAAATGCAGTTGAGGAGCGTGTAGATGTGAGACTCCTTTGTGAAGTAGACGAAAGACTTGGCGTCGTCTGACGCCTGGAGGTCTTCGAGGTCCTGGGCGACCTCCTTGAGGAGCGGGAGGGAGGTCAGGAGACCGATCTCGAGTTTTTCCCTGTCCGAAATGCCGTACTCCTGGGGGCAGATGAAGTCAAACAGGATCTTCGCTAGTTGGTACAGCTCTCGGAGGGGCTCAAGGCGGGCGTCGGACTTTTGCTTGACGACAAGCGGGTTGCTCTTGTATAGGCGGAAGTACTGCTCGGGCTGCGCCGTGTCGCCGTAGTTTCGCAATCCGTTGAGGAATGACCTCCTCCGGAAGAGCCTCCTCATCGACTGCTTCTCGGACCTCTCGCTCGACTGGCCCGATTGGTGATTATGATTATGATTACTATATCTCTCTCCCCTGGCCTTGTCGGCCCTGTCGGCAGAAGACGAAGAAGAAGAAGCGCCCGTCGAAACCTTCCTCGCGCTAGAGTCCTCCGAGGTCTTGCTGTTATCCTCCTGCTCCTTTAACTGGTTCGTCGACTCCTTCACAATACCATATTCCTCCTCGAGCATAGCGTTGGTGGGCGTGAAAACCCATTCCAAGAACTGGCGATTATGAAGGGCATCGAACTTCATCGTATCGTAGAGCTCGGAGATCTTGCTAGGGTCCACCTTCTCCGCATCGCAAAATTCGACAAAGAGCTTCTCCCACCTCTCCTGGAACAAGACGGAATCCTCGCCGCAGCACCAGCGCGGTTGAATATTGTTCATTGACGTCGAGGACGACTGTGAACTGCTCAATCCGGAGGATTCCAACTTGTCGGTCGAGATGCTGTTCCAGGATGAAGTCCTCGAAAGAGGAGCCTCCTGGATAGTGTTGCTGTTAAGCTTCCGATAGTTGTACTGCATCGCCTTGCGGAGGAACTTCATGAGCTGCACCACTCGTTTCTGCACCTCAGACGGCTCCGGAGTCTTGTCGGGCCAGGCAAACTGCGGGGGACGCTCGTTTCCTTCCCTAAGGAGACCCTTAAGCTTCTTCTTGACCTTGTCCATCTCGTCCTTGGCCGCGTTCGAATCATCAAGAAGATCCTTTCGGACCGTTATGAAATTCTCCCCAAGATCCGTCTTCTTGAGAAACGCCGACGCCCAGATCTGCGCGCTCGTCGTCACGCGCCTCTCGGAGCTACTGTAGACGTGCACCTCGTCCAGAACCTCCTTGTTGAGCAGCTTAAAATCGTTTCGCATGTTCTCGCCCAACTCCTGCGCTTGGTACCGCGCCGCGTGGGTCGGCTCTCCTCCCCACTTGACGATGAGCTGAAGCTTGTCGAGGACGAGGCTGTTCTCGACGGCGGTGATCCTCGACATAGTCACGCCGGACAGCGAATCCTGCCTCTTTGGGTTGCGTCTGGGTTTTACGTGGTTCTTTGCATCGGCTTCGGACTCCGGTTGGCTGTGCTGGACATCGGACTCAACACCTTCGGCGATCGGAGCAATCTCGTCAAACGTCGGCGTGTCCTTGGAGCTCTGCTTGCGGAACATCGGCTTGATCTGCACCTTAGTCCCGGCAAGGCCGCTCTTCTTTTTTAGAATGGCACGGAGCGCGCGGAGCTTCGCGGGATCCTCCTTCTTCTCTAGCTCAGCAATGTCAACGGCCTGCTTGACGCTCGCCAGCGCCGGCTCTCCGATCAGGAGCACCTCCTCCTGATGGCCCTTGAGGAGCTGGATAAACGGCTCCGTGTGGAACGTGAACTTGGATTTTTGTTTAGGAGTCCGGTCGGCGTGGCGGATGACGGAGACCATGCCCTTGAGCTTCCACGAATGCTTAGGTGGTGGTGGCGCCTGGTGCTGCTCTTCCTCGTGGGTATGCTCCGTCTCGGCCGGAACGGAGGTGCCGGCAGAGATGATGGATGGCGCCGCAGAGATAGAGCCCGCGCCAGCCATGTCGTGAGACGAGAGAATTATGGACGCGGTGGAAGCCAGCAACTTATGATGGTTTACGACCGGCTCTGCCTTGAGAACTGTGAAGCTCGACGTTGTCTGCGACGGTTCCGCACCACGAATATCCAGGCTCTTCTTGCTTCCAGCAGCCGTTCCAGCGCTTCCTGTCGGACGCGCAAAGTCCCTATCCCTCGACGTCATAGACGAGCGGGACATGCTAGGATCGGGAAAGTCGGACGCGGCTGGCGAAGGGATCGGGGTGGGAGCACCCCTCCTAATCCGCTCCTTCAAGAACATCTCCCTCAGGATGTTGGCACAACGATCGTAGTAATCGTTGTTATCCTTGACGAAGCTCCATCCATTCACATCAATGACGTAGCTCTTCCCGCCGACACGTAGGAAATCAAAGCCACAGACGCGCTGACCGAAGGCCAGCGAAATCTTGCTAGCAATGTCCTTCTCCGTCGGGCTGAGGGCTGTGACGTAGCGGATCTCTTTGCCATGGGTATTGCGGCGCACGATACCGTCGACGACGGGCGACTTCCTCGTCTCGGCGTGGCAGTAAGTCGGGCCGACGGTGTAGGCTTTGACGTCCTCGGCGTTGTCGACCTGCATGAATTTTTCGTAGATGTAGCTCTCCGTCGGCTGCGTGATGGCGCGGGGGACGTCAAGATCGGGCACGAACTCGGAGCTCTTGTTCCCGATCTTCCTGAACAATTTCCGCGCGCCGCCACCCGCCGATTTTGGGAAGTAAATGATGATGTTGTGATCCTCTCCGCTCGTCGGTTTCTCGACAAATGGTTTCCTCAATGTAACGCCGTCGACGCTCAAGACGTCGCCGTTCTCGAGGAGCTCTACCTTTTTCGGCGGAGGGATTACGGCGGGCTTTACAGGCTCGAGCGAGATGCCGGAAATATCCCGGACGTGCTTGGCCACTTCGGGGGCTAGGATCGCCGGGCCTCCGTCGCGGCTTACATCGACGCGGGGCGGGGTGGGGACGCCGACCTTGTCGAGGAGCTGAAGGCAGAGTCGTCTGTCCCAGAGTATGCGCTGCATGGGAACATCGTTGACGCAGAATGGCCGGCGGGCCTTGACGTAGGCGACTGCCTTGTCGAGGGGGAAGCCATCTGAGTAGAAGGAAATAAGGTAGTCACTGTAGAAGTTGAGTGTTATGTTAGTGGTGATTTCGTAAAGTTTGGGACAATTATTGACATGTCTCGGTCTTGAAATGGCCATTTGCTTTTCTTTCAGCGTTGCACCAGCCGCGCCGGGGTTCCGAATTCCCCGTCACCACCCCGGCCGGGCCTTTCGCAGCCTTGCCGTTTCCTCTCACCGAGGGCGGCCCAGGGGTGTTTCAGAGGGAAGGGGATATATAAGTCGACTCACCATATCGGCCAGTTTTCAACCTCTATAAACCAGACACAAATATATTAGCTGGTGTTTTCGTTTTCTTCTTTTTGTTCTTTTGTTTTCTTTATAATAATCGCGAATAACGAAAAGCGAAGATTTTCGGGGTCCATTCTCGCCATTCTTGCTTGCATACATACCTTCATCAAGAATAACCTTGTCGCCAAAAACAACAATGTCAAATTCTCCCTGTTCGATCAATCGACTAAGAATGTTTCGACTAGGTTTACTCCTGGCCTTGATATCCAAAGCACACACTCCGATGACGCCGTAAGGGGCCGGTTTGGCTGTAGAGGAAGTTAGATTAGACTCTGGAAATCATGAGGCACCAGATGGTACCAAGATGTTGACCGGGAGGTGGTTACTAACATTCTTCCTTTTGATTTGGACTTCGGTCGCTGGCCGGGCTATGGGAGCTAGTGATGTGGCTCCCGCTGAAGCGACGCTGGACACGACTTCTCGACCGGGTCGTTGCGGACCGCGGTTGGCCCGGCTCCGACTTTTGGCCCGGGGCTCGGCGGTTCAACCTGTCGGAGGAGGAAGACGTAGTCGGCTGCTGTTGCGACGGATCACGAGGGCTACGCTGCGGACCGGAAGTACCACCTTGGAGTGGGAAGTGTGCCGAGGAGGGCGACGAGGCAGCGGTGGCCGCCACACCGGCACCAGCATCGGAGAAAGATGATTTGCTCGAGGGCTTCATGGTGAGTTTGGAGCGTGAAGGGACGGCGCCTGCGTCCGAGCCGTTGGCGGAGGCAGCTGAGCTGGGGGCGACGCCACGCGTGGATGCGAAGGAGGCGAGGGAAGACATCGAGAGGCGCTTGTCGACCTCGGACACGGACGACCTCGGGGTCATGCTCGGGTCGGGGAGTTGAGAGTAGTTGAAAGTATCTTGACTCGAGCTGGCAAGGAGTCGAGGGGTTTCTGAATTGTCGCCGTCGTCGAGACTCGCTGCAGATTGGGCTGCAGATGATGGCACGAGACCGCCTTCCGCTTCGGGCATGGAAGATTCCGGGATGCTCGCCGGCATGGAGGAAGGGATGCAGGGTTCTAACCTCGCTAATGATTGGGAAGATGATGAATGGGCTAGAGGTGCTGGGTCCAGCAACGCGTCGCCTTCGCCCTGTCTAGGAGTCTGGAATTGGTTTTCTGTTGCTTGCAGGGCGCTCGATGCTGAAGTGGATGGTGGCGGGGCGGTCTGCGATGACGAAAGAGATCCTGCTGAGCTCGGTTGCGTGGAAAGTTTTGACTTGGGACCTTGCGAGGGAGTCTGGTCGTCAAGGCTTGGCGCAGAGGGATGCGCCGCAGGTGGGTTTGAGGGATCCATGATGATGGCTGGATATGGATGGCAAATGGATGAAGGGGGGGGATAGAGATGCAGGTAAGGATGGACCCCTAGGAGCTAAACCTTGCAGGGAAGATTCGAACTCAGCACGAGATTCGAAGACCAGGGAGGAGATCTCTCTGCAATGGCTTTATCTTAGGGGCCCTCAAAAAGTCTGTTCCAAGCAGGAAGAAGAATTGAAACGGAGACGGGAGGCACAATAAGGTTCAAGGTTCTGCAAGCCGAAATTTTATTAGGGTATTTATTACCCAATTTTGCGTTGAGAGTGACTCCTCGTCCAATTTTGGCGACGCTTTGCCACCGCAGCGGAGGGTCTCGCAACGAGCACGTCCAGGGTTCAACGACAGTGTCAGTGCCAGTGCCAGTGCCAGACTGCCAGTGTCTGATATCAAATGGATCAATTGATCAGGGTCTGGATCAGAGGGGTCGTTGGCACCGGCGGAGCAGGCCAATTAGTTCCCAAGATGTCGCAATTGATACTGGGATTTCGATCCAGTCCTGAGTCGGCTTAAAGGCTTTGCCAGGTTCAGAGAGAAGAAATGCCCTCAATTGAAAGCAGCATCAATTGACTCTAGATATATTCCGGTACCTCTTAAAGAAAAGAAATTCCAGACTCGTTATTTTCAATTGCTCTTTTGGCTTGGAGTCCTCCCACAAAGCTGTGTGCTGTTAGAGCCCAGACAAGCTCTGGGCTGGTCAGGCACCCTGATCTTCTCTGCTTTGCTGGTGAAGGACAATGGTCGGTGAGGGTTTCCAGATATTTATTCGGAGAATATGCCAATGGCTGCCCCGGTAGGGGTGTGACAGCACCAAGGGTCTGGGAGCAACAGCGAATCAACAGATCGGCGGAACCGGTTATCGGAGAAAGGCGGCTTCCTGTTGGACGGTCGCTGCGAAGAATTGATCAAGTCTGCTGCTCTGGATCCGTACTGGGTTTCCGGCTGCAGACCCAAGTCAATGGAGTTGAGGACAACCGTGGACAACCTGGAGTCGGAAGGGTGGCCAGCAAAGAGTGGGTAAAAAAAAAAAAAAATAACAGGAGAGTAAAACTGAGAAGAGGCGAAAACAGGAAAAGAAAAGGGATGGGCGAAGAGACCTTGATGATCCTAGAGTAGCTCAACTGATGTCGGATTGAATATAGTGTAAATCTGGGACTAACAACTTGAAGCTAGAGAGTATTACCGAGCCGCCCCAGGCCTACTAGGGACGGTTAGCCCGAAAAACAAGAGAAGAAAACGCTAGAATTGATTCGGTGCTACTTGAGGTTGTCGTCAGTCATGTTGCCCTTCCAAACTGAGAGGCTAGATCCATTAATCGCTCCAGTAAGGTGCCAAGTGCTCTGGAGAGGAAGGTGAAGTATGGGCCAGTACTTGGCACGTGGATATCCGAATGAGATTTCACAAGGTTGAGGTCTTGGAGGCCTTGGTTCACGATGGACCCGGCGAACGGACTAAAAGGCGCCGGCGGATTCGTTAAGTGCCTCGTAGTGTATTTGCTTTGCTGCCATCAGGAGCTTGGCGCCCTGCAGCTCCGCATTCGTTCACCAATCGGGGACGAATTCATGGCTTTCTCAGTCGGGACTCGGGAGTATGGAGGATAGATGGGGCATGAGGCATGGAGTCATTCGTGGGTACCTTCGGGGGACGATGAATTAACGGACAACAAGGACAACAATAGAAGAAGCGTATTCAATGGCAATTGGCCCGAGTAGAGTGGCCAACAGGGAAGAATTTAAACCGATGACGATGGCAGCTTGACAAAGAAACGTCAGGAATTTTACCAGGACAGGGCCTGATCTGATATGGGGCGTTCCTAGCCAACGACTCGAGCACTGAGGTCGGGATGATCAGCTGGATCGCGGATGGGCCGAAATACCGATTCTAAGTGGATGAGCCGCGCTGCAGCCCCAGGGTTTCGGTACTGATCTGGGATGGATGGCGACATGGGATCAGAGAACGTGGCCGGAACCTGGTGCCGGCGTCACACAGGTCGAATCCCATGTCGCCCAGAACCTGTCTGGTACCAATACTCGTAGATCTTTGCGAGTTCTGGGCTCTGCTTCGAGGACAATCAATGATCATGCATGCTCTCAACGGCTTTGATTCATTGCATTTCCTAGAGTCCACTTTTCCATGCTTGACCCGACCTATGGGCATGCATATGAAACTCGTATCTGTCAATAAATGCTCTTGTGTTGATACCCGATTATGGTTATCTGGTAATATCGAGATGCGAGATGTGCAAGGCGCTCTTCCTTCTCGGCAACGGGGAAGGGGGATGCCCCCAGATTAGCTGAAAAAGACCATAACGTGACTGATTGAAGCCGAGCCTAAGCTTGAGCGATTGTAGTTTATTCATTGGGAGCCTCGTGACTACGTTGCTTTTCTGTACATCGTAAAGGCCGCTCTATAAACCAAAATAGCAAGTCGCGAAACAGTGGCGGCTGTGTGAAGAGCTCTGTAACACTCCCTCCTCCCTCCTCCCAACTTGACGACGATGACGATGACGCTGGCGATGCTGTTGATGAGCCCCTCCATCACAGTGTAATTAACACTTCAATACACTGTATTGTATTTGGTCCGTGCACAAGCCACAGATTTTGGTGGGGTTCCCAATTGAGAATTTGGGCTTTGCTCGTTGGAGCGATAAGAAAATCGATAAGAAAAAAAAAAATGGTTGAAAAAAAAAAAAAAAAAAAAAACAGAAATGTGCATTTGAGCAGTTGAAGAGCCTCGACCGCTGAAGCAGTCACTCTCTCTTCTAAGGAGCCACGCACGACTCTGCATTCACAATGCCGCACTCGGATCACGGCGGCCATCTGGCTAAACGCCAGAAGAGAGATTCTCAATTAAAGGCTGTGCACCCTAGCTCCAGCAAAAAGAAGGCCTCTGCCATCTTTGCCCCCTTTCGAGTATGTGAAAGAAAACATTTCTTTCTTCTCTCCCTTTCTCGTCGCGGCTGCTCGCCTTGGCTTTCTGCTTCTGCTTCTGACGTTTTTTTTCTCTAGACTATCGGTTTGGTGTCTCCCACCTCTGTCCCATTCACCTCCGTCCCTCTCGGCAAGACTACTTTTCAGATCACCACCTCTGTCGGTCGAGCTCTGCAGACCTACGATCTCAAGCGCGGCTTGAACCTTGTCTTCGTTACTCGCCCCGAGACCCCGAGCGATATTACTGCCACTGTAGCATGGAAGCAAAAGGTTCTCGCAGCATGGGGTGATTCGAGTCAAAGTGGCACCCAGGGCGTCTGGATCTTCCAGCGAGGAAAGAAGGTCGACGAGCTCGAAATTCCTGACGATTTAGATGAGCCGATTAGACAGATCCTCGTCTTCGGGTCGTGGATAGTTGCCAGCGCTGTTACAAGGATCGAGGTCTGGAAATCGACGACACTTGAGCACTACACGACTATCCGAACTGTTCCTGCTGCTGAGGGCGGAAACGAGGTGACGGGTGGTGTTACGAACATGCCTACCTTCCTCAACAAGATTTTCGTCGGCCGCAAGGATGGGTGGGTTGAGATATGGAACGTTAGCACGGGAAAGCTAATTTATACTATCGTGCCCCCCATCAAGAACGCAGGCTCTGTTACATGCCTACAGCCCTCGACGGCCCTGGCTCTCCTCGCTGTTGCCTACTCTAACGGCCCGCTCGTCGTACATGATGTTATCCACGACCGGCCACTTATCGAGCTCAACGCTGGCACCCCCACTACTCCTGTCTGCGCCATTACCTTCCGATCCGACGGTATGGGCGCGGGACAGGATGGACGAAAAGACGGTATCATGGCCACAGCCACGTCAGCCACTGGCGACATCACCTTTTGGGACCTCAATGGAGGTGGCAGGGTATCTGGTATTCTACGAAGTGCCCACAATCCCCCATCCCGTGCTGGATCCGTCATCGGCGGCGGTATCAGTAAGATTGAATTCCTATACGGCCAGCCTGTCATCGTGTCTAGCGGCCTCGACAACTCTCTAAAGACCTGGATCTTTGACAAGACGCCATTCTCACCCATTCCGAGAATTCTTCACACGAGGAGCGGACATGCTGCGCCGGTCAACTGCCTACAGTTCTTGCCTTCGGATTTCGATGGTGCCGAAGCCGGCAACAAGTGGCTTCTTAGCGGTGGAAGTGATAGGAGCCTGTGGGGATGGAGTATGCGAAGGGATGGCCAAAGCACCGAACTGAGCCAAGGAAATATTCGGAAGAAGGCCAAGAAATACGGTATCCTGTCTACATCGGCCCTGGCGCACGGCTCTACGACGACGCTTGAAGATATCAAAGCTCCCGAAATTACGTGCATTGCAAGTTCGCTCAATCGTGACGGCGGTATTGGCGCTCTTCCCGGAAAGCAGGCGATATGGACGCGAGCTTCGAGGAAGGAGCGGGCTAGGGGCGTTAAGCATGATGCTGAGGTGAGCCGCATGACCGGTTGGGAGAGTGTCGTGACGGGCCACAAGGGCGATTCCTTTGCCAGGACGTGGTTCTGGGGCCGCAAGAGGGCGGGTCGCTGGATGTTTGAGACGGGCGACGGAAGCAGTGTGACGGCCGTCGCCATTAGCCCGTGTGGCAGCTTTGCGCTCGTCGGTTCCGCTGGTGGTACGATGGACATGTTCAACCTGCAGTCCGGAATTCATCGTCTACAGTTCCCCTCGAAACTCACGCCGGCTCAGGCGAGACAGCTAAAGATGCAGCAGCTCAAGCAGGTGGACGACGTGGTACATCTCCAAACCAAGTTCGCCAGCAGCTTTGCACCTGGAACCGGGAGACACACCAAGGCAATCACCGGTATTATCGTCGACTCGACAAACAAGTTTGTCGTGTCGTGCTCTCTCGACGGCAAAGTCAAATTCTGGGATTTCCTCACGGGTAATCTCATGCACGAGATTGACTGGGCGCCGATGACCGCCATCACCGGCTGCCGCTACCACGCACCTAACGATCTTATTGCGTTTTCTTGCGACGACAACTCGATCCGCGTCGTTGACGTGGAGACTCGGCGGACGATCCGAGAGTTCTTGGGCTTCGAGAAGGACGTGACGGACTTTTGCTTCTCGAACGACGGTCGGTGGATCATCGCGGCATCGGACGACTGCACCCTTCGCGTGTGGGATTTGCCCACGAGCCACTTGATCGACGCCATCCGCTTCGAGCACCCTTGCAAGGCTGTAGCCATGTCATCGAGCGGCGAGTATCTCGCTGCCTGCATCGAGGGCCAGATGGGCGTCGGAATATGGACGAACAAGTCGCTCTTCCGCCACGTGCCCACGAGGCAAATCTCGGCGAAGGAGATCGCCGCCGCCGTTGTGCCCACCGTCTCGGGCGAGGGCAACGAGGGTCTCCTCGACGCCGCGTTCGAGGAAGACGCCGAGTCGGTGGACGAGCCGGCCGTCATCGTGCCGGATGTGGATCAGCTGAGCACAGAGATGACGACGCTGAGCTTGGTTCCTAAGTCGAGGTGGCAGACGCTGCTTCACCTGGACCTCATCAAGCAGCGTAATAAGCCGAAGGAGGCACCCAAGCTGCCCGAGAAGGCGCCGTTCTTTTTGCCGTCTTTGAGCGGGAAGGGATCGGGCGCGCCTAAGCAGATTGAGGATGCGGCGAAAAATGAGGGTTCGGAGGAGTCTAGGTCGAGGATACTTAAGGTGGAGATGGCGGCGCGGCAGGAGGAGACTTTTACTACTAAGCTTCTTGCGGGAGCCGCTAGGGGAAATTGTAAGTGAACTAACTAACTTTTTCTTATACGCCTTCTCGCCTAGTTCCTTTTTTTTTTTTTTTTTTTTTTTTTTTTTTTTCTCTTCTTACTAACTATTTTGTAGACGACGACTTTATCGACCACCTTAAGTCCCTTCCCCCCTCAGCGGCCGACCTCGAACTCCGCTCCCTCTCCGCCGACGACCCGGAAAAGAACGAGCTCCTCTACTTCATCCGGGCTCTCACCAGCCGACTAGAGTCGAGGAAGGACTACGAGCTCACGCAGGCGTGGATGACGGTGTTTCTGCGGCTGCACTTCGACGTGGTCACGGAGCACGAGAGCATCCTCGAGGCGTTGAGGGTGTGGAGGGAGGTGCAGGAGAGGGAGAGCAGTCGGTTGGATGGGCTGGTCGGGTATTGTGGTGGGGTGGTTGGCTTTCTTCGGAGCCCTAGGACGTAAGACGAGGGCTTGGGGATGTAAATTTTTTTTTGGTATTTTTTTTAGAGCTTGCCTGGATAGGGTTTCATCGAAGTGGTATTTTGATACGCAACGTGTTGTTACGAGTTACGAAACAGTGTTATTACGTACGTATGAAGGTGCTTCGTGATAGGGGCCCGGTCAACGGGCAAACTGAGCAGAGGGACGTTTGGAGCCATTACAGTTGTTCGGGTTGGTGAGCCTTGCTCGGTCTCTCACTTTGATCAAGACGCTTCGGGACCGAGAGTCGAGGATCGTTGCTGAACTACGAGGGTTACCTCTCTGTTCGTTTTCGACCGCACAAACACCGACGAAGAAAAATCGGCGCAGGGCGTTAGATCTCCATGCTATAGATGAGGGGGCAAAGAAAGGATCTCCATCATGTTCCCATATTGTTTGCCAAAAAGGAACGGGCGTTGTTGCCTGCCTCCGTTACACAAAAGGGCGTCCCAAGTAATTTCGAAGTACTTTCTTCACCAAGTAGAATATTATCTACATTCACGTCTGATCCCCTCAGTTTTTTCTCCCTTCCTCCCTCTCCCATCCCTGCACAGGATGATCTGACGTCAAAGGAATGTTGGCCTCGAGACCCGCTTTCTTAGGCAACAACGTCGCTTCTCAAGAATCAAGGTGGTTACGATTATGGTTCACGGTTACGGTTATGCAAGAAACTTGTAGGAACTTTTGGATGATGCGCAGCGGAGAAGGACTAGGCAGCAGGTCACCATGGAGGAGGGGTGGAACCTTCGAAGCGCTGTCGAGATTCAACGTGGCGCGTGATTGATTGGATCCTTTTTTTCCCTTTTCTCTTTTTCCGGTGCTATGCTCCGCTGTGCGGCGTCTTGTGGCTTTTTTTTTCTAGATCCTGTCGGGCGGGCTCGGGAGGAGTTCCGGACGCAGGGGGGGCGGCGAGTGTTTACGGCCGACAGGTGAAGCTGTATCGGGATCAAGATTTGGTCACGGGTTTGTTCAAGGAGGGAGATTAGGAATTCGACTGATTGAGGTTTTCTATTTTTGTTCTGTGAGCAATTAGAGCAATGAATCAATGGATCAATCTTTTTTCTCTGCGGTTTTTCATGACGTTAGGCACGCGAGGTTCGAGGTCTGCTGGCACCACCATCTCGACGAGGACGGGGGTGATATCACATCAATCTCTCTCATTACACATCATGGAACTGGACTCGCCTCAGAAACTCACGGCACAAGAATTATAGGAAATAAGCTTAAATCCACGTTGGCACATGGTGCGCCACCATCTTCGTCTTGCGGAGAGCGCTAACGTGTAAGACTAGTTGAGCACGACAGAGCTTCGGGAGTACCATAGTTCCTATATAATTGATATTATTGAGATGAGTGGGCGGTGCAATACTCCTCGATTTTTTTTCTTTCTTTTTCCCCTTTGTACCCATTTCCGTACGGACGTAAGACGCGGGACACCAGGCAACGTGATGGAGGCAACATGATGGAAGAAACATGATAAAGCGTCGGTACATCTAGTTTCAGCCGACAGGCGCAGTCGCGTGGTCGCGGTCTGAGGAAAGGACCGCAGTCTTGAGTGAGGTTCCAAATGCTCTGCTCATGGAGATAGGGCTGGAATTGCGAAGTAAGAACACAGCACCAGTGAGGCTTGGCACAGGGATCTGCCGGGTCCTACACATGGAAGAACCAATGTGCAGCCTCTGAAGAAGAAGAAGGGGACGAAGAAGGGAAAAAAAAAAAAGGTTCCTAAATGAGGCTGTGCATCTCGAATCTCGGTTAAGGTCGAAACCACTGAGCAATGCCGCAAGGATGTCTACAGCGTAAGGGCTGATCGGGAATTCACGGCTTTCGATCCTAGGGCAAGCTGCACCTGTTCCTGACTTGTGACCTCTTCATCCCAAGTTTTCCATGATCGTGTGCAAAAGGATGACTGCATCGCGGCGGGCAGTGTGCAGGCGGGACCGAGTGTTACACAGGAAAGACTCCGTCTTACCACAGGAACCAGTGGCGCTGGTTGGACAGATGACGTCCATGAGTGACTCCTTGGGCTGTATCAATTCGGTGATGACCGTTTGAAGGATGGATAAACTTTTCTCTTTTTCTGTTTTTTCACACTTAAGCGAAGAGGCTCAGCCTTGAGACGCGGTGTGGGAGTGAGATTGCAAGGCTGAGATGCCGGAGGATGCCATTGACTCATCTTCGTGAATTGAAGCAATACCAAACGGAAACGCAGTCGCGTGCCGGATGCCAATTGAGACGGTAGCATTCCTGAACGTCTCAATGCCCATCCCCCCATTCAATTGAGAGCTCTTCTCGAGAGTGGTGGAGATACGAACGTCTAGTTGCCTGAGAGGGTCTCCGCGTCTCTGCATCATCCGAGGGTCTCTGCATCTGTAGCTTCTGCGTAACTTCAAATTGCGTAAACGTCACCGGGGAAAAGCCTGATTACGCGGGTGGCCCCTCCGATGGGGGATATCGGAATACACGACAACGGAAAGGGGGGCGTTGAGGTGAAGCGAGACAAAAGCATCAAATCAAGATCAATTGATCACGGTTGCAGTAAGAGAGAACCTCTCCTCAGCACCCCCACACCGAAAGACATTGGCGGCACGATTTTCCTTCTTCAGCATGGTGATGCCTAAGGTTCCTTTTGCACCAGTACGAAGTACGAAGTAGTTCATAACTCACACATGAGTCTAGTACATAGAATTTCCAGACATGGGATATGCAAAGTATAGAGACCAGAGTAGAGGTACGATCTTCAACCCCAAGCGAGTACAACACAACCACAATCAGGCCGAGTATGTATGGTACAAGTACAATCAATCTTCCCATAACATCCATCCTTCTAGTCTATAATATCCTTTGCAGATTGCCCTCGATGCACCCGCATGTCCCACCCATTGTACCCGTCGCACGCTGGAGTGATCGAGTGACTCACGCCGGGGCGCATCTCTGCCACCCTTTATTTTTTAGGGAATCCTCTAAACCCAGCCGACGAGTCGTGGTGCTGCGTGGGTCATGCGTGCCTAAGGTGCGAAGGATGGTGGTATCCTTTGAAAAGAACCGGGACTCCAGTGATTGAAAGACTTTGTACGTGGGTAACACGAAGGGAGCAAGGAATGGGATCCCTGGAGGGAGTGCGTGTCTCCCGCATAGAGCCTACACACCAAGCCGTTGCATTGAGGGGCTCTTTTATTTTGTTGCCTAAGGGAACATAATTTTTTCGACTTCAATGGAGGCTGTGGTCGGTCATCTGCGGCAACCATACGTCCGTTTGTTTGTTTGTGGGCTGGGTCGTCGTAATAATGGGATCTGTTATGGTGCTTTTTCCCTCAGCCGGGACTCGGACTCCCCTTATGGCACAATGAGCAGGCACCAGACAAACGCTCCCTTGTGTTGAATCTCGCAAATAAGATCCTGATGTGTATATAAGTCTAGCCTCATCCAGGCCACTCTCTGCCTTCTTCTTTTCCAGGCATCCAAAGAAAGACCAAGCAAATCCACCTACACATACTTGACACACTTAAACCAACTGCTCAAGTCTACCAACTCATCACAATCTACCAATTTATACCACATAACTTAAACCGTCCAAACTCCAAACCACATTCACAATGAATAACAACCTCGGCCACTACGGTTTCACCACCGGTAACGACCGGCGACAAACCAACACCGTCCTCCAGGGCATCCTCCACAGCCAGACGGGCCAGCAGCGCCTTTCTCGCTCCTCTTCCCAAAGCTACAAGAAGCACAGCGACACCTCCAGTCTACGCTCCCAGGGCAGCTTTTCCAGCACGGTGAGCCTGCTCAAGGAATCTCTCCGCCGTTCCAATAAGTGAGCGGACCGAAATCTCTTCGGCCCGCCAAAGGCGCACGCCCAATTTTTACTCAAGAAGCCAACTATGATGGAGTCGTATTTGAGGCATACATGAGAACGTTCGAGTTACAGAACGGAAGGAAAAAAGCACCATGGGATTCGTCACGCGCCTTAGTTCTTTTTCTTCGACGAGGGAAAGAAATGGGGAGAACAGGCCGTTCTTTCCGTTCTTCTTTTCCTTCGTCCTCATCGCATCAATCAGCTCCAAAAATATGGCTCTGACGAAGGAAAATTCCCCGCCGCCCCCCTCTTCTTTTCCTTCTTGCTAATTCCGCTCTCCGGGTTCCCCATCGACAGGGGATCCATTGGGGGTGGAATGACGGAGGCTATTCGAAAGTTCGGGTAGCTAAAGATGGGAAGAAAGAGGGGAGCAGGGGAATGGCGATTGACCATCCTGGGCTCATTCGAGTCCTCAGGGTGAAAGAGCGGAGGATATAACCTCATCGGGGAAAGTTCGATTTTCTTTTTTTGTCTTCCTTTTTCTAATTGTCACTTCATTTCTTGTCACCTCGACCCGTTATTTCCCTTTTTGGCCCAATCTTGGACTATCTCAGTTTATGCGTTTCAGTCTCGCTTAGCCTTCTCTTACCCGCTGTTTCCGGGCCCTTGGGATTGGTGACGGCATCAATGCTTTTTCCTTTTTTTCTCTCTATAGAATTGGAGCGGGGTGGTACTTTATGGGAGAACGCAGATTCCATTGTTCGATTAACGAGGGCTTTTTTTTTTAAACTGGAAATCATAGCATCTAGGAAGTTCCTTTGTTATTGAGAAAAGGGTTAAGCTCATTTTTAATAAAGGTCCCTGCCATTCTTGAACTTGATTTTGAGACTGTCCTCTCAGCTATGTCAATCATGCAACCCTGGTCACAATGAGATAGGAATGGAGCTTCTTTCGGCTCGAGGGTTGCATGGGCGGTTCTTCGGGTCTGGAAACTGGAGCCCGGAATATGGCGGATAAAGACGTGACTCTCGACCCATCCCTCGTGTTGGTGCCATTTCCACGTGTATCTCCCAAGATAATACCAAGAGGTCTTTGTAGAACTGCGGCTTGTAGTTGCCCCGACTCGGGCGGAATACGTGATCCCATCTCTGCGGAACTTTGTCGCTAGTGATTCATAAACCTCCAAAAAAAAAAAAAGGCCATTAAGTTTTGGATGAAGAGGTTGCCTTGGGACGGGACGTCCCATAATGGGGCGTTCTTTCACGCACAAGTTGGGGAACACAATGGATGCGACTTAGGAAAACTCGTCACATACCGGGTATCTCGTATTCATGTCCCTATCTAAGCCGGCTCCAGGTCAACAGCGCAAGCCTCGCAATCTAGAACGTATCGTCAAGGACGTCCCTACTCATCTTAACCATCGTAGGGCTGTATTCGTCCGTGTCTCCTTCGGCTGCTCCAGCCGTTAAGAGGATGTCATCGACAATCCGCTTGCTCGCCTCGCGCGCTAAGAGGGCCTAATTAGTATCGAGCGAAGTTATAGCAAAAAACTTCGACGAGGGAGGCATACCTGGAGTTTGGAGTAGCTTTGAAGGCGGGAGCGCAAACTGTATAGTCTTCGGAGGACTTATCCCCCCAACTCCATCATCGCTATCACTCTCCCAATCAATCTCATACTTGGGCCTCTTCTCTTCCGCAAAACTATCCCTAGTACCCAACACATCCCTCGTCTTCCTTGCCGTCGGCGTCTGAACACTCACGCCCGGCGTCCTCGGCCCCGCCGCCGCCGCCTCGAGACGCTGCCTCGCCACCATGCCCTTGTACGGAGACATGAACGCCTCGCTCCTCAGCTTCGGCATGGCAATCTCCGGCGAAGACATGGGCGAATCATGCCAGGCCGACTGCGCACGGTGCTTCTGCGCCGAGAGCGGCGGCGCGTTCTTATGCGGCGTGGACTTTAGCCTGTACGTCTTGTCCAGCATGCGATGGAAGACGGGGTCTTTTCCTTGGTCGATGTCCTTGCGCTGCGGCGGCAGCGAGGACCTCGGCGTCATGGACATATCGGGTAACCTCGCCGTCCTCTGCTGGAACAGTAGCGTGGAATTATCCTCTTCTCCGTCTTCGTCGTCTCCTTGTTCGCTCTCAAGAACTTCGGTGGCCTCTTCTTCGTCGCGCATCTCGCGGCGCATAATCTCGTAGGGGGAGCGTAGGTCGGCGAATTGCGTCTTGATCGTTTTGGTAGAGGGGGGGCGCGGCGTGCTGCCGGAGAGCTCGGCGTCATCGAGGAGGGAGTCTTCGTTGTTGTAGGTACGGTCGGCGGGCGTGGCGGTGACGTCCGAGGCGGTGGTAGTGGTGGTGTTCATTGTGGAGTCATGTTGGGCTGTGCTTTCTTCGATGGTTGTTTCGTCGTTGTTTAGCTCTTCGTAGCCGGAGAGGGAGACGTTTGCGGAGGCTTCGAAGAATTGTTTCCAAAACTAGAGAGGGTGGGAAAGAGCGTGAGTGAGTCTGTGTGGGTGGTTCTGGGTCTTTGCGATGTTGAGCTCGGGACATACCTTTGAGGCATCCCACACAGCACGCGAGTGCTCGCCATATTGCTCGACGAGGGGGAGGATACTCGTTGTTACTATACGGTGGGCTTTGCTAAAGTTCTGATCAATCTCTGCCAGGACAATTTGACATATTAGTCGACTAGCTCTTTGGATATGCGGTGAGATGAGGGATGCGGAATGTCGTGGGGTACTGATAGTGGGGGCAGCGACGAACCCTGCAGGGTGAGAGTAATGGATTGCTCGAGTTTTTCGAGCTCTTCTGTCGCGGACAGGTTCCGATTCACTGAAGTAGAGCGCGACATGGCCTCTGGATGTTTGTAGACCGAAAGTGACAGTGGAGCGTGTAAAGTGGGAGTTGTGGTTGTTGAAGAACGCGTGGTTCGACAAGCTTCTGTTTACGCGTGTGGAATTACTTTAGTGGGTGGTGCGGGGTCCTTCGAAATGTCCATTTAAATCCAGATAACGGCGGTGCTTGGACAAGACCACACAGGAACAGTAGCACAACACAGCACGGCAATAATACTGAGTACGAAGGATGTGATGCAAAAAAATTACACACAGGGGTACAGACGTATAGAGAGCACGGTATCAAGCAAGCAGCATCGGGAGCAGAGTGTAAATGGCACTGGGCTTGACTCTGATGAAACTTATCGTCAGACTAGGAAAGTTGGTGGCGTCGTCAACAGTTCTGGGGACAGCTAGGCCTACGGGCGACGCAAACCTCGCTCCTACACAACGGAGATGGAAGAAGTACGAGATGCTCCATTAGAGTCTATCCATGGTCTCGAGTTTTACAATTTGCCAGGACCTATCTCGGCGAGGTCCCTCACCCAACCGCAGCTCATCCAGATTCGCTCTCCTTCTTCACGCCGACGCATCAAGCGCCATCGCAATGAAAAAGAGATTCCCCCGAAGGGAAAGAAAGACATCAAAAATTGCGCCCCCGACGGCCCCGAAGGACAATCGAGCAAGGCCGACTCCGCGATGTGCAATGCAGGTCATCCTCACTGAACTACCGACTTCTTGATCTCGGCGAGCACGGGACAAGGTAAGTATGAGGAAGAAAAGAAGAAAAAGAGAGACTGGAAAATTCGGGGGGAAACGCTGCTTATTTATAGACGGTCAAAGGCGGTGAGAGGAGCTTGGACCAGTGATAAATCAGCCAGGCGGCAGAATTTTTTTTTTTTTCGGTCTTGGAAAAATGATTTTTTTGTGCGTCCTCATTGGTGCGACTCAAGTGTACAAGTACGAGGTACCTTGCCACTGTGAACAGGCAAGAGCGAGTCGGTGGCACTTGCTCCTGCCAGCTGGTGCAGTGGAAGTACCCCACTGTGTTTTCGACTTTCACCTGCGAGGGGCAACGAGTCTGCGCTTATCTCGAAATGTTGATTCTTCGTACATGTACAGCTGGATTGGCCCCAGAACATATCTTTTCGCTTCGCAACGACTAGGTTCACAAAGCGCGAAGAGTCAATTAATCCAGCCGGACATCTATTTCGCGGCAGGGACCAATTCCTCGAGAATCCGCTTGGCGCACTTCACTGTCCATTGCGACCCGCCTTCACACTTGCTCGCGCAGAATTTGCTTGCCGACAGCTTGACGATGGCTCGTCATGGGAAGAAGGTATTAAGATCCTATCTAGCCTGCGCTCTCCACCCCCACGTCGCCAAATGCTTCTAGGGTCGTCGTGCCCTTGCGCGACCGTCATTGACCATGGAGCTGACCATTCATTAGCGCGGTGGCGGCGGAGGCTTTGGAAAGCGGCGGCATCATCGCGACGATCCGAACAACCACAAGAGGTACCCCGAAATCGTCAAGAGCAATGAGAAACTTGAGAGCCACTACAATGCCATTCTTGACATGCCCGACGAGGAGAGGGTCGAGTTCTGGAACGCCTTGAAGAGGGATTTACCGAACAGTTTCCGCTTTTGCGGCTCCAAAGGGTACGAATGCCTCCTCCTAGCCGCACCATGCAAGGGACCACCTTCTTACTAACAGTACACGCAGACATGCTTTGGCTGCGCGCGACCTTCTCGAGACCCGCTACTTCCCCGAGATCCAAAAGATCGAGTACGAAGGCAAAAAAGTCGACCTTCCCCAACCCGTGCCATGGTATCCCGATGAGTTGGCCTGGTGGATGACCACCCCCAAGAATGTTGTTCGCAAGTTCGGGCCCTTCTCTGCCTTCCAGAAATACCTCGTTTCCGAGACTAGCGTCGGTCACATCACTAGGCAGGAGGTTGTCAGCATGATTCCTCCTCTGCTCCTTGATGTCCGCCCCGGCATGACCGTTCTCGACCTGTGCGCCGCACCTGGAAGCAAGTCTTCCCAACTCTTGGAAATGTTGCACGTCGGAGAGGAGGCCCGAGTAAAAAAGGTCCTTCGCGCCCATGCTACCGAGGATGGCCTGGATCTCGGCCCCGAGACCGAAGAGGAGGCGAATGCCGACCTGTCCGTCGACCCTAGCGATGCTGGCCGCGCCACCGGTCTCCTGATTGCCAACGACGCCGACTACAAGCGCTGCCACATGCTTACGCATCAGCTCAAGCGACTATCCTCTGCGAACCTCTTGATCACCAACCACGATGCCACCCAGTACCCCTCGATTAAGCTACCCCCTCTTCCCGATAACCCTAAGCGTACCGTTTACTTGAAGTTCGATCGTATTCTCGCAGACGTTCCTTGCTCGGGAGATGGTACTCTACGAAAGAACAGCAATCTCTGGAACAACTGGGTTCCCGGAAGCGCTCTCGGTTTGCACCTTACGCAGGTGAGGATATTGGTGAGAGCCCTCCAGATGCTCAAACCCGGCGGCCGAGTTGTCTATTCGACCTGTAGCATGAACCCCATCGAAAACGAATCCGTTATTGCCGCCGCCATAGACCGATGCGGCGGCCTGGAGAAGGTTGACATTATAGACTGCTCTGACCAGCTTCCCGAGTTGAAGCGAAAGCCGGGTCTGAAGAGCTGGAAGGTCATGGACAAGTCTGCTCAGTTTTGGGATTCCTGGGCTGAGATTGAGGAGAAGATGAAAGAGGACCCCGAATTCGTTGCTCCTGGACGACTAGTCGAAACCATGTTCCCCAGGACGGGAGGCGAGGACCTTCCTTTGGAGAGGTGCATGCGCGTTTATGCCCATCTTCAGGACACCGGTGGTTTCTTCATTACCGTGCTTGAGAAGAAGGCCGAGTTCAAGGCGAAGCCTGAGAACCAGTCGAAGCCGACTCGTGAGGTAGCTAAGGCCGATGAGGCCGAAGCTGCCCCGGTTCCCGAGACGGAGTCGCATACTGAGTCTGCTGTAGAGACTCCTGCCGAGACTCCTGTAGAGACCCCCGCGGAATCATCGCAGACCAACGGTAAGAGGCCAAGGGTTGAAGATGACAACGAGCAGAAGGACACCGACGCCAAGAAACCTAGAATAGACGGGGACGATGTGCAAATGGGTGGCACGACGGAGGCAAAGGCCCAAGAGACGGCAGCGTCCACTCCCTCCTCCGAGAAGCCCTCGCGACCTGCGAACGGCGAGCGGAAAGATACCTCGATCAAATACGAAGCCCCCTTCGTGTACCTCCCCTCCGACCACCAGGCCATCACCGAGATCAAGAAGAACTACACACTCTCCGACCGCTTCCCCCTCGACAGGTTCCTCGTCCGCAACGAGAACGGCGAGCCCGCCAAGGCCATCTACTACTCCACCTCCCTTGCCAAGGACATCCTCACCATGAACGATGGCCACGGTGTCAAGTTCATCAACGGCGGCGTCAAGATGTTCATGAAGCAGGACGTGCCCAGCCCCGACGTGTGTCGTTGGCGCATCCAGGCCGAGGGTATGCCCATCCTCGAGGGCTACGTCGGCGATAAGCGCGTTGTGCATCTCCATAAGCGGGAGACGCTGCGCAGACTCCTTATTGAGATGTTCCCCAAGATCGCTGATGGGGGCTGGGAGTCGCTTGGCGAGATTGGCGAGTGGGTGAGAGATATGAGCATGGGCTGCCACGTGCTGAGGATCGAGCCTGATGGTTCTGAGGATGGGTTTAAGGAGAGGATCGTCATGCCGTTGTGGAAGAGCGTTCATTCGCTTAACTTGATGTTGCCGAAGGAGGATAGGGCCGCTATGTTATTGAGGTTGTTCAACGATACGACGCCCTTGGTGAATAATGGTTTGCAGATGCAGAAGGACAAGGAGGAGCAGAAGAGGAAAAAGCTTGAAGAGGAGGCTGCGGCTGCGGCTGCTGCTGAGAACGGGGAGGCGGGCGAGGGCGAGGCTGCTGTTGCGGAGGAGACGGTCCAGGAACAGAATGGAGAGGTGGAGGAGGCTCAGGTTGAGGCGAATGGTGCTTCTGCTTAAAAAAAAAAAGGCGAGGTGTCGTACTGAGGATACATGCTAGGGCGAATTTGAAGTGTGGGATTTTTGTGTGCATTTACATGTAGAATTAGAAAAAGAAAAAAAGGGGGGTTTTCAGTGTGCAGGATCAAAGCATCATTTGGACTGTCAAGTCTATCTATTGTTACAGGTTAGATTTCCAAAACTCGTCTATATCTATTCATACAGAATCCATTCCCAAACCTCCCAAAGTCTAATGATTTTCTTCGTTTTTGTTCCGTCAACTCGTCTCGTCCAGTAGTCCTACAGTCCAATGCACAATCGACTGCACACCCTGCCCATGAATCGCGCTCACAGGTATCACAGCACACTTCTCCCTCCAGGCCCCTTCCAGCCCTGTCGGATGCGGTAACTTCCCCGCGCCAATATCATCAACGTACGCCTTGAGCTCCTCGAAATTAGCCTTCGTATCCGGAAGATCGGCCTTCGTCGCCACCACGAACCAGGGTTTCGAAGCGATGTGAAGACGTGTAGAGTCGGCAGGGATCGGAGGAAACTCCGCCGTCGACGGCCCCGAGAGAGGATCTTGCCAGGCGGGGGTGGTGGGTGAGGAATGATCTGAGGTAAGGGTCCAGTCTACGCGGGCGTCAATCTCGCGCGCGCGTTCCTCCTGCTCGCGCATCTGCGCGTAGAGCCCGACCTCGTTCCAGAGGGCGTTGAGGGCCTTGACGGCGTTTCCGGCGCTGAGGTCCAGCACGAAGGCGAGGACGCGGGCTCGTTCTACGTGGCGCAGGAAGGCGATACCGAGACCGCGATCGAGGTGGGCGCCCTCGATGAGGCCGGGAATGTCGGCGATGGTGAAGCGGGTGCGGGGTTCGACGGCGACTTCTTCCTCGGGGAGGCCGAGATCAGGGGCGGCGGGGTAGCGGACATAAGATTTTACGACTGGGCGGCCCGAGTTTTTGTCCAGCACCACGGTGCCGATGTTGGGTTGCAGGGTAGTGAAGGCCCAGTTCCCCACGCGGGTGCGGCTATTGCTGAGGGAGCGGAGGAGGGTGCTCTTGCCAGCGTTGGGGAGGCCGACGAGCCCGACGTCGGCGAGGAGTTTGAGCTCGAGCTCGACGGTGAGCGAGATGGCCTGCTCACCCTTCGTAGCGAAGAGCGGACGCGGGTGCTCGCGCGAGACAAAGTGCGGGTTCCCCAGGCCGCCGATACCTCCCGCAGCGAGGAGGATGGGCTGCGGGGTTGGTCGGCAAAGGTCAAGTTGGATCGGGCCCGCGGGTTGGGCGAAGAGGCGCTCGCGGCGAGGGAGGCGCGGGAAGATGATGTTGCGCGATTCGCTCTTCGAAAGGCCCGGGTAGAGGACCCATTTGTCCCTGTCTGGGTTGTCCGGGTCCTCGAGTTCCCTCCGCTTTTCCTCGGCCAGAGCTTCCTCGCCGCCTTCTTCGAGGACCTGTCTCCGCTTCATCTTTCGTTGAGCGTACCGGATGCGCGAAAGCATAGCTTCTTCTGCGACAGGATCATCGCGGCTGACTTCCCGGACGACGGTGCCGACGGGGACGGTGATGATGACATCCTCGCCTTTCTGCCCCGCTTGCGCATCACCTCTCCCGTTCTTGCCCCTGCCGGCCCGTACAAACCTTCTTCTGGAGATTTTGTGGAGGGATGTCTCTCCGCTCACGGCCTGGATGTAGACATTACCTCCGTGGCCTCCATCGCCGCCATTGGCGGGGCCGTTGGGGAAGTACGCCTCGCGGAGGAAGGCGATGCACCCGCTGCCGCCGGGGCCAGCATAGATGGCTAGCTTAGCCTTGTCGGCGAAATTGGGAGCCGCGTAATCGTCGGGGGCGGGGTTAAGGCGAGATCGGGGGAGGGCATCAGGGGAGGGTGGAGGAGAAGAGTCTGGACTGAGACAGCGGGCCCGGATCGAGAAGGGTCGCGATTGGATGGAGGAGAGGGATGATCTGAGGATGGCGAAGAGGGCCGGGTTACCGGCGGGTCGCGGTAGCATGTTCGTGGTAAGGCGACCGAGGGCGGCGCATCATTTTGTGCCCTGGGTAAGCATATAGAAAGGTTGGGGGGCTTGGTTGTGTAGTGTCGAGTCTCCTGGTCGAGAGAGGCAAAAAGCGAATGGTAGAGTTCTTGTGAGGACGATCAAGGTCACGTGCTGACGCGGCAAAGTGGTGATGCACTAAAAGGAACGATAGCGCGTTTACGCGACCTCACCTAACAGAGCAACATTCTCAGATTGATTCTAGGGCAGGTTGCTGATGTGGATACATGCAATGAAAATAATTAGGCTTATTTAACCTTGTATATGCCTCCTCATTGCTCTTCTCTGCGTCTCTCACCTCTTTACCCCCCCGGTCTTATTTCGCAACACCGGCTTGTTGATGTAGCTGGAAACCTTCGCGCTTGTTAGCTAGGTGATTTCTAGACACTACGAATCACAGAACATGATCGATCGTTATAAGTTGTCAACTACAAGAAACACCATACTAAATACTGGATGTTCCTGCTAAGTATTGTAACCGCCAGGCCTTTTCCTTCTTAGCAGGTCGTGCGCAATCAGTACATCTTCATAAAGTACTACTTCCAGTCGACGAAACGCATCGGTTTTAAATCGAAGTAGGGTAAGTAGTAAGCCGAATGGCTTATATAGGGTAGATCAGCAGGCCGACGCGCAGAAGCTGGCCGGTTGAACCACTGCAGTATTTAATCTGTGATCCGCTTCATTTCCATCGCATCCTTCCCTGTGTGTCATGCACTTGTGATAGTGCAACGTCTGTGGATCGTCCTGTTCAACGCGAAGAAAAGTGGCACTTGCCAGTGGTACCATAGCCATATGCAACATCACGGCGATTCTTGCTACCACAGGTTGACTCCGTAACCTCCATAACCGCCTCCTAGTTTTACCTAGCTTGAGGCCTTGCACTGGAGGCTTGTCAGCTGTTTGCAGTCACAGACAGAGGCAACGCCATCAGCTTCCTCTGGGTGCGTACGGACGCTGAGACTATTGGTTTAGGTCGACAGGCTTTGGGCATGTAGACGTGGCACTCATTTAAACACACCTTCATTGTAGTCTTCTGGGGTTGGTAGCAGAGCTACTCGAACTCACTAATGTCTCTCAATTGTGTGACACAGCACAAGCTGGAGGTTCTCGATCTCGTGAAGCTATGCTGGCATTGAAAGCCGCGAAACGCAGAATGGGAGCATGGATGGTCTGCTTGCTCAGTTCGCCTGATGTCACAACCTACTAGACAGGTGCTCTCCACTGCATCATCAGGACAGACATGAGTTTTTGCGGCGATAATAGATCTTAATCGCACACAAACGCCACCACCCGCGTCTTCTTTGCCAGACCCCTACCTGATGCTACCCGCTGTGCAGTAGCTGGCCGCTTTCTTAGCCGTAGCAGTAGTCGCATACTATTCTCCTATCATCGGAGGCCTAGTGAGCCTTGTAGAAGACGAAGGAAACAGCTGGAAGATTTCACACAGCATCGGGAGCAAACATGCTGGTGCACGTGTCAGAAGTGACGACAGATACCAAAGCCCACGTGGCAAGTAGCCTCAAGATCAGGTCGTTCTCGTCTTTCTCAACAAGACGTAGTCTACGCAGCTCTTGCAAGACGTCTCCTGGCAGCCGGGGAGATCGTGAGGAGACGTGGTTTCCTGTTTCTGCCAGTATGGGAAATGATTGTCTAGCATCCCTTCAATTACTTTCCTGTCTCTTCCCCGGTCTTTTCTGTCTTCCCTTTTCACAAAGTATGACACGGGTAGATGCATCTTACTCGGCTAGGACCGAGGGGTTCAGCCTCGACTCTGGCAATGATGACCTCGTAACGGTTGAAGGAACTCAAGCAATGTTCAAGTCATGAAATGGGAATTTCATACTCGCCGGAGTGAACGACGATAACGGGGACCCGAACTATCGGAGTAATGCCCACCCCTAGCAAGAGGCAGATCCTCGTTGGTCACCCGAGCCTTTAGAGAAACCAATGCAAGCAACCTTTACGTCGACTAAGTATATAAGCCGGCAAGGATAATTCAGAACATCATCGTGTGGCTTGTCTCGTCGTCACGAAACTCGATTTCGACGGGTCGACCATTTCCTTCCTCTGTGCAACTAAGGGCACACCTCATCGAGCTCATCGGCATTAAAGACGTAACAGCAAGCAAAGTGAAACTTCGAACTATTGAGGAGCTTTTGCCCATTCTTATCATTAGTCATCGATGCACCTCATCATTGGTTGTTGCATCTTAACCTTGATGCCGTGGGCTCGGAGGTGTGGAAGGAAATCCGGCCTTTAAATGTCCTACTTTGCACGAGTACTTTCGTATGCAAATATTCTGAATTTCTTGCAGCTTGGCTCGTGGGGGATATTTGAAATCTTCTTAGCCTGAACAAACATCATCAGTCTTATCCGACCCAGACGGCTCGCGGTCCGCAAACAGGCGGGCCTGCAGATGCAGCCATTTCGCAAATGCAAACAGCGAAGCATGCATCCAGATTGGCATATCGGCCTCACCATCAGCCCAAAGGCGAAGCCTGAACGAGAGGAAGGACCCGCATGGGCTCATCAGTGGCGACAACATAGAAGGATCGGCTTCCGGGTTGCATTTGGGGGATTTCTTGCAGGTTGTCGGCACCCAATTGGGCGTTGAGGGCAACCTGCAAGTATCCAATTTGGTGCAATGGGTTGGGTGGACTTCTGAGAGGTTGATTCCAGATGGGTCTTGGATTTTACACATGTTGAAGCGATGACGACAAAGGCTGGGCGCCCCGGCGTTCGACATTGCTTTGGCAGGAATAGTCCAGGGCGGGAGAAGATAGACGAAGTTTCTAGTGCTCGACTGTCAATGACAACGAAAGGATGGGCAAGGACTGCCAGATTCCACCTCATTCCATCACCGGCTCACGAGGCGGTTCACGGCTCGTCTCCTTCACCTCACAAGGTGAGGTTGACCAACGGAAGAGTACCTATCGTACAATTGCTAGACCCCGTGGTGACGCGGATAGAATACATGCTCTGTACCGCAGCCGTACTATCCTCCATTCACCTCTTAAAGATTTTTGGACGAGAGGATTTCTGATTGGACTATTCGGGTCGAGAGTAATCTATGTTGGCTACCAATCTGCCAATGTGCTGCTGTCTGAGGGGTCCAAAACAGGCTCGTGTGTCTTCAGGTGCATGGACGACGTCTCGTGACGGGAGTCGTGCTCCATGGAGCGTCGTAAAGTGCGCACAGCTCAGAGCATGGTCGATTGGATTCATGACATGCCTCATAAATGAACCTCGGCCGTGCCGAATTTTGCACCAGGAGTGCTGAAGATGGTCGCGTTCTCGCTAGCCATGTCAATTGGCGTGTGTTTAGACTGCTTCACCTGGATCGATTTGTAGACTTTCGAAGGTTGCTTCTCGACGAAGAACGAGCGTTCTGCATTTGATGTTCGTGAGATCCTGGTCCGACTTCCTCAGGTTTGCAAGACAGGGATCAGGCGAATCAAATACCACCCTTATACTTGCACGCGGATTTGGCGCTCAATTGCATACGTGGTGTTACACGCCTCTTTACATCAATGATCCAAGATTCCATGATCCACATTGCCTGCATCATCTCTTCACCGCTCTCCTCTCCACCGACCACGTCAAGGTATCAGCACAAGGGCGCGCGGAGCAAACAGGCTTGAAGTGCTCCATACCCCTTCCTTCCAGCCTCCCACTTCATCTCCTCCGATGCCCCTGATGCTCCTGGGCTTGCTGACGGTTTCCGGTTGATCTTGGCCATGTCCAGTCCAAGTTCAAACCTCAGTGCTAGTACACTGGTTGGGGCTGGCCTACAAGTGCACAGGTACTTGTACGAGTAGCGAAATCAATGAGCACTCAAAACTGCCTGTGGTGTTTTCTTACCTTGTCTGTCCACGCATTCTTGGTAATACACTACCTCATACATACATGCCACCACAGCCACCGCAGCTGCCTCACTCAATCTGTTGTGTAAGAATGGAAGGCAGGGCAAGCCCTATTCTTCCGTCGAGCAGTGACATACTTTTTTTGTACAATTGGAGAGAAAGGGGAAAAAATTATTAATGCCAGTATTCGTGTACCGTTCGTTGGCTCTGAACCCATGATTTGATGCCAACAAAAGCATCATCAATCAACAATATCGAATCCAGGACAGACAAACCTTGCCGGATCAATGCTCTCTCCCCACCCCATAATCCCGCTCAAGCTGCTCAAGCCTCCACAATTGTATCGCGGTGCTCCAGGTCCGGACGGATACATTCATATTATCCACTTCCCGCAACGCACTTGCCTTCTTGTAAAGCGATATTATTATTGAAATGGCAGGAACACTCCGACACTGACACTGGCACTGACCCTGTTGTTCTTTCAACATCAATTTCAACATTTCAATTGTTCAATGTTGTTTCCTGCCCTGCTTTCGGTCTGCCCCGCTAGCCCAGTTGCACCTTCCCCGCCCATCCGACCCTTAAAAGCTCTCAAGATCCCCAAATTTGGCGTTCCCAGCCGAGTTCAGTGTTGGGTTCGATTTCCATATTCTAAGATCGAGATCTCATCGTTGATGCTCGGTCTCCAGTCTGTCTCCAGTCTGTCTGCAACCATTGCTGCAACACCCACTATTAGCCAAAATAAGTCCCATTAATCCTCACATCGGTACGTTTTCGGCCTTTGATCTCCTTCCCGGAACACCTCCGCCTAGACTATTCTTGGAACCCTCATCCCAGCTCCCAGCATTGGTGTCTCTCTGAGTCTCCTCCTCTCCGTCTCCATCCTCAATCTTTTCCTCTTTCTCTCTGCCTCTCGTCCTAGCTCTCCACTCCCTGCTACCTGCTACTACGTATCTTCCCACCACTCAATCACCAGACCCCTCCTCCATTTCCCATCATTCCCCCATTCAATATCGCTAGTCTGTCCAGCTTGGCCTACCCGCCATTGGCGACTTCAAGTCAGGCCTCCACAAACACCACCAGATCCCCTCAACTTCTCGTCTCGCCATTGGGCCAGCGTCTTCATGCTTGCATGAGCCAGGGAGCCTGCATTCGAGCCACGACATAGACTTGGATAAGCTAGCCCGCCTGCTCTGTCGTACTTGGCCAATCTCTCTACCTCTACCCATTCACCTCGCTTCCTTCGGCAACAGCCTGCTCCCTTGTTCCTCGTCTCGGTCTCCCGTCTCTGCTTTTCTCTCTCTTCCATGACGGCATTGATGCCCCCTCTGCCTGCCTTACACTCTCGGCAACTCAGCGTGCCCGCATTTTCTCCCTCATATCGCAATCTTCTCATCCCATCATTCCATTCCATCCCTGTCTTATCCTACGACTTGAGGTTAACCTAATCATCTTGTCAACAGCGAACGGACAGGTTCCTTCTTGTGCTCCGGTCCGTCTGCGATCTGCTCACGAACGTAAACAGCAGATCTTCGACACTTGACTGCATTCTTGCGTGCCTCGTGCTGGCTTAACGCTTCCCCATCTTCTATCTTTTTTCGCTTGTTCTTGTTCTTGTCCTTGTCATCCTTGTCCTTCCCCCTTCTCTCGCCACTTCTTTAGCTGCCACCACCCTTCAACCTACGTACGACCGACTTACCAGGGACTTCGCTGTTTCCCTCTCATTCGCGACTCTCTGAGAATCTCCGCCTCTCTGTGGCTCTGACCTACCTCCCCAAGCTGTCCCTTGTGCAGGATACATTAGAAGGCGACTCGACGACTGGCCGCTTCTCCTCACTTTGATTTTGTATATTGTTTCGCCTACCACTTCTCTCTTCCTAAGGTGATTTGATCCTACCTTTGGGCCCCAACTGCAGCTTCCGTATCGGCCCTGCGAGTCCATTCTTAAGTCAGGTTAGTCTCTGAACCCGCATTTCCTTGATCTCATGTCCTTGCTCTCCTCTCTGTTTTCCTTTCTTCGCTCTCTCTATCCTCCCACAAGTCATTCATAGCACGTTACGTATCTGCCCCAAGGGTATTTCCCTCTTAACTGCCCCTGTTCTCATGAGACCCTCACCGGGGTCCCGGGGAAGTAATGAATATTCTTGTTTCGCATTTCCGGTTCTTCTTGTAATTCTCAGTTACCTTTGCTTCCTCCATACATTCTTCCACCATTCTTTGTATATTATCACGCCCTTCTTTGCCCGGTACCATTCTCTCTCCCTGCCATTGCTGGCCTCCCCTACCCTCCACTCGAGATCCCAAAGACACCCCCGAGTGTGGTGTCATACTTGTCTTCACATGTGGCCCTTGGCTACATCCCGTCGACGTCTTTCGTCCTCGTCACCAACCACAGCCACTCCCACAAGCACAACCGCTAAGATGTTTACCAGTGAATACAAACAACCACGTAAAGTCAAATCTCGGAAATCTCGCTCAAACCTTAAAAGGATGGATCCGGACTGTGCCATATGCAACGGGGCTGCTAGCCTACGCTGTGACTGCGAAGCCAAGGCCCTAGAAACAGCAATAAGCCAGGCTGAACGGCGGATGATGCAGTCCATTTATCAGGAAATCCGGTTCGTGTCTTCTTCAGCTCCTACTAACATGCTCTTGGATGATTTCTCGACTAACCCGCGTCTTTTTTTCTATAACCAGTTCCTGGGCTAGGGGACATGCTCAAGACTACATTCTAGAGTATTTCAACGTGCTATCCGAGAGAAGGAAAGCCGCTCACACCGAACATATCGAGAGGATATCACAGGCCGCCTACTACCACTACCGATCCCCACCTCATCCGGCTCAGGTCGCCGAAGCGGAAGCAATCCTGAAGCGTGGCATTGACGAGGACTGGAAAACTAGCGTCCAGCGGTACCCAGAAGTGCTCGAGTACTACTTCAGCTTAGTTGAACTGACGCTTCCGCCCGAAGACCACCCGAGCGTGAAAGATCCCCCCCTTAGCGCCTTGAGCGGCAGCCGAAAGAACGGCCGACGTCCGCCTCCACCCGCTGCTACTATTGCCGGTGGCGCATTCCACCCGCAAGAGCACCTGCCATCGCGATCTTCGCCGCCACCTCCACCTCCCCCACCGATGGGCAGGAGAACCCCGGGGCCGCCTAGGACGAGCAGGAATAGCTACCGCGGCCCTCCACCACCTCCTCCTACGTTCTACGGTCCCCAAGGGTGGTAGGCGTTGGCCGGTGAAAGAACAGCACGGCCTCGTTCTCGAGCATGAGGAATTCATGGGATTTGGAGAATTAATGAAATCTAATGGTCTACCTGCTTATCTCCGGCCTCGATCTATTCAGCTCGCTCTCTCTGGGACTTCTTTTGTACTGGATGTGTGTCTGCCTCCTTCGTCTACTTCTTCTCTTCTTCTTTCTTCTTTATTTTTCGAATGATTCGACCTGGACTACCCTCACGACGTTACGACTTCCGGCATCATGATGAACGAGCTTTTTAGGAGTTATTCGTCCGCTTACGACCCGCTGAGGATTTAAGCGGTGTCGGCATTTCTTGGGATTTTTGTTTCCGGGTATTTTTTTTTTTTTCCTTCTCAATTCTAGCGGGGCATTCTTAGGACGTTCTTGGGAGCTTTCTTTACCTTGACTTAACCCGCGATTCGCGAAACTCCACCCTCTGACGAGTTTCTCTTCTACTTCTCCTGTTTCTTACCTCGGCGCGGATCACGGCCTGTTCGCGACGGGACATTACAGTGGCCAAACCTGAAAGGGCGGGGCTTATTGGGGAAAATCGAAAATCGAAAATCACAAAAAACAACAGGATATCGGCGGTGGCAGATATACCCGAGGATCACCTACATACCCTCCTGACTCCATGATATCGATTGTGGGGAAGGGAATCCTTCATATTTCCTTTAAAACTAACCAAATTGTTTGAGCATTGGGTGTATAGATAAAAAAGCCGGCCAGGTTGGGACCGCGAAGGGAGACTCACAAATACTGAACATTTCTTTTTGTCTTTTTTTTTTATTGATCACATTGGAGCATTAGGCGTAGCTCGAAGCATAACCCAAACACACAGCTGCGCTTCCCCTCTCCCATTCTTGGCTCGCTTCCCCTATTCTGTCTTGCGGTCATCTAGCTATACCTGGAACGGTATGTTGACTATCTGTCGATGGATACATGTAACATTGGAATCTTCACATGTTGGCAGCTTCTTTTTTGTGATGAATAACAAAATAGCCCTCACTCAGTCAGTTTGAGTCTTGCCGAATCATCTCCTAGATCTACAAAAACGCCAATAAAACCCCACGTCTCTTTCCAAGTTCCTAACCTGCGACTCGTGATCCGTACATATCTGAAGACGATTCCCGGGCGAGCCTTGTATCGAAGGTAAGAACAGAGGGAAAAAGAAAACCCCACTTCAAGTTTGCCATGATATGTGTCCATTACCGACAGCCATCTGGCAGGAATCCTCTAACGCCTCTAAATGGCTTAAACAACCCGCGTGCAGAGCAGGAAAATCATGCCCACGAACGCACATGTACCTAATGAATGCCCAACTGCAACTAACATCTCCCTTTCCGTCCTTCCCGCTGGTCCACTTCCCGTTCGCCTTTCGAGGGTTCCCCCTCCCCCGCATGCGGGCGGCGGGGTCTAGACTGGAAAGTCCAAAGAGGTAGTTTGATAGAATATAGGTAGTAGTAGAGAAGAGTGAATGCTTGGCTTGCAGGAGAAAAAAAATGGCCGCGTCGGGAGGTCCCGTTCTTGCGCATGGCCGTTTTCAGATGGCGCAATTTCGAGGGTCTCAAGAGGGCGGTATGACGGGGACGTTTTCCGCGCGTTGGGACGTACGTGACAGTACCTACGAATACAACATGAACTAAGCAAAAAGCGAAAAGCGAAAAGGTCGTGATATCAAGAACAAGAGGGACTTGATAATTGTCAAATAGTCACGTTTCTTCTTTTTTTTTCTTTTGGAATCCAGTATCCGTATATATGACAGTTGATGAACAGCCAAAACCCCAGTGCAATGAAACAACTCATCCCCACCCCCTTCCCTACGTACACAACTTTTTTTATAAGGAAAAAAAAAGGTGACATTTTCTGATGCGAGTAGTGGAGAACGTATAATACTTCCTCAAGTACTCGACAACAAGAATGCGGCTTCAATTCAAGCCTAGGTCAGGTATATATATATATCCGCGGTAATGAAGAGAGGAGTGGATTAATCTACTCCTTAACAGTAGTCGCCTCAAGGGTGGAGGCGAGGTTCTCGACCTTGGCGTCGCTGCCGTTGGACTGGGCGGATTCCTCGGCCTCGAGACGGGCGATCTCCTTCTTCGCCTTGTCGATGTTCTGTGGTAGAAGCAACACGTTAGCAACTCGAGTTTCTAGTAGATATGGTTTATTCGTTAACGAGGATATAGGGGGACGTTACCTTTTGGGTCTGAGCTGCCTGGTTAGCCTTCCACTCTGCGAGCTTGGCCTGGACCTTCTCAATGACACCGGGGACATCGGCGGCGCCCATGGGGGGGTCGACACCAAGGTACGCGCAGTCCTCAACGACGGAGGGAGGGCAGTTGAAGTTCTTGCTAGCAGAGTCGTGAGCGCCACCCTTCTTTCCCTTCTTACCCTTCTTCACGGCAGGGAGGTAGTCGTCCTCGCGATCCTCCTTCCTCACGAGCCTCATGCCCTTGAGGCCGGAGTCATCGACCTTGCGCTGAGCCTGGGCCGCGAGACCGCTGTCGGCGAGAAGAGGAGCCTTCTCGGCGGGCGCGGTGGTGGGATCGAGGAACCTGAGCAGGCTGTTGGCGCGGCGGATCTCCTCGAGGAAAGCTGGGTCGCTGGCCTCCTGCAGAAGGCGCTCGGCGTCGGCCTTCTTACGCTCCTTGATGATGCGCTCACGCTCGGCACGTTGCCTCTCCCTGGCCTTCTCGCGGGCCTCCTTCTCGTATTGGGAGAACGCACGCTTCTGGGAGTAGTAGTCGTCCTTGATCTTGCGAACGGCCTGGAACTTCTCCTGCTGCTCAGCCTGGAGCTTGGTCCTCTCGTCGCGGAGGGAGCCGAGGCTCTTGTACGCCTCGTCGGCCTGGGCCTTGATCTCGTCGAGCTCCTTCTGCAGCTTGTTGTAGGATTCGCTGAGCGCCTTCTGCTCGGGGTCCTCCTGCGAGTCCTTGATCTCCTTTATCTTGGCCTTGAGCTGGTCGATTTGCTTCTGGGCGTCGTCGAACTGGACGAAGCTCTTGCGCATCTTCTTCATGGCGGAGACGTCGTTGAGAGCCTTCTTTTCGTCGACGATCTTGAGGGTTCCCGAGTCGACCTTGCGCTCGGTCTCGGCGATCTGGCGGTCGAGGTCCTCGAGGCTCTTGTAGGGCACGCGGCCGCGGGCGGTCTTTTGCTCGGCGATCCGGCTACGGAGCTGCTCGTCGAGGCGCTTGATCTGATCCATCTTGGAAGCGCGGGCGTTCTTGAAGCCGGCTTGCTTCTGGCGGATCTCGTTGAGCTGGGCGATGAGCTCCTGGCGGCGCTTCTGGGTGGGGGTGGGCTGGTCCTTGTTCTTGTTCGGCTGGGCGAGCTCGATCTTTTCCTTGATCGCATTCTAGAGGAAGCAGGGATTAGCTTTGGGGGATGGTCCACAAACAGGTTGCTCTATGTAGGTGGTGCAAAGGCGTCGACATACATATTTGGCCATTACGGCCTTGTGCTCCTTCTCGGCAGCCTCAAGACTCTTCTTGAACGCCTCCTCATCGGGCTTGGTAGGCTTCGCAGTCTTCTCAACTGCAGCCGCAGGGGTAGAATCCCCGTTGGCCTTAGTAGGTGCATCAGCAGCCATGGTAGATGTGAGTGAGGATAGAGATTATGGGAGAGGATGATATATAGGATTTGGGGTGTATATAGAAGAAATTGAACCTGCAAAAGCCAGGTTCAATGGACCGACGTAACAGAGGGAATGGCTAGTCGGGGAGATGTGTAGTGGGTGAAGTTTGGCTACTTGTGCAGCAGGTGTATTAGAGGTGGTTGTGTCCTTATTGCCGCAGAGAGGCAAGGATCAATTGAAAAGTATAGGGAACATCCCCACGAGACTAGAGTACAGTTTAGGGGGTGACTAAAAAAAAAAAAGAGGGAGAGGACTGCAGCTGGCTACTTTTTATGGTTGAGAAGAATCGATTTGTTGTATTTACTTGCTTGTACCAAAGTACTGCAGCTAGCTAAAGACTGCACAACTTAGAGAAATGGAAGGAGCTGACTGGAGGTGGTTCTAAAGTGTCCTTCCTCCAGCAAGCACATGGATATTGGGATCTGAGGGGGGAAAAAAAAAAAAATATTTCTTGAGATTTAGTGCCACATGTTGGGGTCAAAGGTACAAACTGCATAATGAACAATCCAGTGAGAAGAACCCTGGAAAGGGGTGCCAGTCAAACATCACAGCAATCAATACCCCCCTAAAGTTTGGACTGAACCTAGGCAAGTTCCAAAATGCCCCCAAAGTTCCTGGTCTGCTCCAGACTTTAAACTAGGCTTGTTGCGCTGGACCTCTCGAAGGCTGCTAAACGAAACTATTGAGCTGCCAACTACACTAGGGTAACGTTCTATGGAGCAAGTCATGGAGCGTGACCTCAGTCAAGAGTCGGTCAACCAGCAAATCTGCCCCAGGTCAACGAGTGAGTCCACTCTGCAGTCATTCATCTTGCTTCAACACATTTTTTTACTCGGTTAGCCCATCAAGATGCAAGACTCTACCAGTGCTAGCCAATTGAGTCATGGCACTTGTCTCTGGTAGAAACTAGACATATTGATCGATGTGTCAAATTGGAATCTCAAAATATTTCGTGGTGGGGCAAGAATAAGATACAAAAAGGCAGTTTCCGTGCGGATCGTTCAAGTTCGGATTGTGAATGTAGGCCACGTGACCTTACCTTCGAGAGCCACGAACAGCAACAGCTGGCAAATTCCGTCAAGTCCCCCCCACCAGTCTCAATCCCTGCAAATCGAATCTGTTCGATGCACGGACCTGCAAGGCTGAGCGAAGTCCCAAGAATTTTTTTTTTTCGTGGAAGAGGCGGTCGCTTATCGACAAGATTCTAGAAAATCCAAACCTCCCAAGCTGGGACCAACCTCACAAACCCCTCCGCAACGGCCCTCCCTCTCCGCTTCATCCAATTCTGCATCACCAATAACGCGATTTTTAATCCCTCTTCGCGCGAAACCCTTTTTTCTTTTTTTTTTCTTTTTCATCATGTCCGACGACCCTCAGCTCCCGCGGGCCTCCGATAAGGAGATTACTCGCATGTGGCGGGTGTACAGAACCGTTATGGAGATGGTGTCGGATCGGGTATGATGCCTCCCGAGTCGCTTTTTAGGGCCTCTGAGGGACTTCAGGAAAACGGGGAAATAGTCACGAGCTATGCTAACAGGACCGAATTTGCGAACTGATAGGAATACGAGCTCGCAGAGGATGAGGTCAAGATTTCCTTGAACCAGTTCCGCAACAAGTTTGTCGACCAGAGCGGTCAGATTGTGTATGTGTCGCTTCTTTTCCCGCAGAAAAACAAACTCGCGCGATGAAAAGATCCGCTCCGAATACTAACGACAAGCCTACCTCATATAGTCGCCAACTGCTCCAATTCTCCGCCCGTCCCAGCGACACCATGATCCGCAAATTCACACCCCCCGCTACCCCCGAAAACCCCAACCCCGAACCCGACTGCGGCACCATCTTCGTGCAATTCATCTCCTCCGACAACATGGGCGTGTCCCAAGTCAAAGACTTCATCCAGACCGTCGTGGGCCAGCACGCCCGCGTCGGGATCCTCATCACGCGCGTCCCGCTGACCCCCGCGGCGCGCAAGTTTATCGCCGTCGCCGAGAGCTACGCCCAGCTCGAGTGCTTCATCGAGGAGGACCTGCTCGTCAACATCACGCACCACGAGCTCGTGCCGCGCCACGTGCTTCTCTCTAAGGAGGAGAAGGTGGCTTTGTTGAAGCGCTATAGGCTCAAGGAGACGCAGCTACCGAGGATTTTGCAGAAGGATCCGGTGGCGAGGTATTTGGGTTTGAGGAGGGGTCAGGTTGTGAAGATTATTAGGAACTCGGAGACGGCGGGGCGGTATGCCTCGTATAGGCTGTGTGTATAAGGAGGTTTGGAGGTATGGAGGAGAGTGGGTTTGTGGGTTGTTGGGGTTTGGTTTTTGTTTTTCTTTTTTCCTTTTATACGCATTGCCGTTGATCAAGTGGTCTGACATAGCCATTTCATTTTCTCGAACGGGGATCCTGCGTTTTTAAAAATCGAAATGGAAGTACGGAGTTCAGGGTGGCATTAGGCTTGTTATCTTGTTCCATAGTTGTCGTTTACGAGGTTCTGAATGCAATCAAAGAATAACGACAAACATCCAGTTCTTGTCGACCTTCTCATCCTGGAGATCTCAAGTCACAAATCGGCCGGCCAGATGGCCAACATCTTGCTCCAGAAGAACAGATCGCGTTAATCTCAATGGGTAGCAATATTCCCTAACATTTAATCACAAGAAAGTAAGACCTCTGCATTCAATGATGTGAAATAAATGGCTTCATAGCCGGGTATATGGTATATCTCTCTCCAAACCTTCACTCCCGAAGACAAGAACCAGACCTAGACCACCTGGATCCCCCCCCCCCCCCCCAAAAAAAAAACAAAGATACAAAAATCCAGGCCGCTCGCGAAGCCACCCCTAAAACGCCAGATATATATATAAGAGACACAAGCCCGTCACCCCTCGCGACTAGTTCTCTGCGAGTCCAAGTCATTAATCATCGCATTTCATCCATTGCCGTCATTAATTCATCCCAGCGAAAAGCCCCGAGCCCGTCCCATCAGAAGAATAAACCAAAAAAAAAAAGGAAAAAAAAGGTAAGGTAGCGAGGAAGCATAATATCATCTCGCCAGGCCGCCGATATCCTGTAATTCAGGCGTCTCATCCGGCGCAACCATCTCCGACCCGCCAACCGACCGATTTCTTCTCGCGTTCGAAGAAACAGTCAAATTCCTCGAAGAACTCGACGGCGAAGGAAAGGAGAAAAAGCCCCCCAAGTCCTGAAGCAGCGCGGCCGATCCGCGCCTCACGCCGCTGGTAGTGGTGGACTGCTGGGGTAAGAGCCCCTGGCGGGAATTTAACCTCCCGGGCGCCGTGGGACTGCCGCTATCGCGGCGGTCGCGCGCGGGGTTGGCTCCGCTGCCGAGGGGCGGCTCGTCGTCTAATAGACCGCCGACGTCGAAGAACGCGAGCGGTTTCTTAGTCGCGGAGCCTCGGCGCTGGCTGTTGGAAGACAACTTGGCGGGCGGCGGTGACGCGGGCGGATCCGAGTGGATGAGGGAGTCTTCGCTCCGCTCGTCCTTGCTCGGGGCACGGGCATCCGAAGGCGGGAAGTGCCAGTCGTCCATGTCCAAGTGCTCAGAAAGACGCCTAGTCATGGGCGCGGGGGAGAAGGGCGCGGTGAAGTCGGGTTCGTTTCCGGGCGAGAGCTCTGGGATTTCGCGCAGCTCGGGCTTCACGCCGATGCCCAGGTCGCGGACGAGATCCTCGTCACTACCCCAATGGCGGTGGATGGTGGGCCGGCGGAGGTGGCTGGATCGTTCGGAGGACCGACGACGGCCGTACTCGGAGGATTCTACGTCCTCGGAGTCGTAGCGGAATTTCTGCTTCTTGATGCCTCGGTCTCTCACGAAGGAGCCGAGGACGAGGGTATTCGCCGCCGCCGCGGCAAAAAGGAGTTCAACAGAGGCGAGGAGCGAGCGGTATTGCTGACTACCGTCCTTCCAGATGATGTGGGGCACTCGGTAGAGGGTGGTGACGACGACGGAGAGGTTAAGGGAGAAGAGGAGAACGAGCTGGATCTTGCGCTTGAGCGGCATCGCGCTGCGCAGGATGATGGGGACGGGGAAGACGACGAGGAGGATGTCGGTGAGGACGTTGCACGTGGCGAAAGTAAGGAGCTGGGCGAACCCTTGACGGCATTGGGGGCCCGGGTCGGGAAGGACCTGCCAGTAGTGGTGGAAGGGCTGGCATTCGGCGAGGTCGCTGATGACGACGGCTACGAAAGTCAGGATGATGGCGCCCCAGATGTAGTTTAGGGCGATGCGGTAGGAGCGCTCCCAGGTAACGTCTGTGAGGCGCTTGAAGAATTCGACAACGGCGATTTTGAAGATCCATAACCTGGGAAAAGCCACGAGGAAGTGGCCCAAAAGTTAGTCTTGCGCGTGGTTCCAAACTAAGGGTCTTTGTCAAAAAAGTCTAGGGGACTTGGCAAGCTTGACGTAACTCCCACTAACAACGTGGTCGTGGTGCACTTTCAAACTTTGAATCCAAAGTCTGGGGTAAAAAACCAAAATGCAGGGGGGAAATGGAGAAGAATAAAGACGGCAAAAAGAGAGGAAATAATGAGGGGGGATTAGAAGGGGAAAAAAAAAATCTACACATACGTCGCAGCGTAGAGCACGCGAGCCGCGAGGACAAGCCCACTCGCAATCGACTTCTTCCTGATCTGCTCATCGGTGAGATCAACGCCACTAAAGTCGGCATTGTTGGTGCCGTGTACGAGGATGAAGTGCACGCATCCCATGCGCAGGAAGATGGGAATAAGAGCCAGGGCGGCAACCTTGTCTTCCCGGAAGAGCTTCTCTGTGCGGATGAACCGACCAAGGACACGGATGATGATCATAACGGCGCAGAAGATGGTGATCCACCAGCAGACCAGGAGTGTGGGCTTGTCATCGTCGGCGCTACGCAGGGGCGGTGGACTGGAGTATAAAGACATGTTTCAATGCCTGTCGTAGTGTCGGTAGTGATGGTTGAAGGTAAGGTGAAAAGCAGCAGGTCTAACAACGACTTGACGTCGTTTGGATAGACGGCGGTAGGTCGGCACGAAGCCCGATCAGTTCGCCGTTGGAGTGAGCTATGCGCTCGTAGATTTTCGAGGTCAAGTGAAAATGGCGCGGGATGAGATATCGCATCGTCGCTGCCCATACGTCAACTCGCCATGACGACGACGCACGAGAACAGATCGTGTTGATGGATGAGAGCTCGAGTCCGCACAGGAGAGTGCAAAAAATGCCGGGATGATCGGGAGTGCGTCGCATTAAACGGAGAGAAAAAGAAGAGCAAAGAAGGACGAGGATTTTAGGGAAATCTCTCAATGGTTCGTATCAGAGGGAAGAGGCGGAAAACGGAACAAAGATGGCCTGGCGAACTAGCCCTTCTGATATTAGTGCAGCTGAGATCACAAAATCGAACCAGAGGGCTGGCTGGCCTCGAGATCCCAGTTCGTGCAGGGCGAGCGGTCGTGTGAGTGGCGACTGGATTTGGTACAATCAATGACACCGACCAGGCTATGCTATCGCGGGGGAGCCAAGGGAACCAAGGGAACCAGTCGGAGGGCGGAGAAAGCTCGTACTGTTTTCGGGACTAGCTGGAATCGATGGATGGGGCCGCAGACTCTTGAGAATTTAGGGTTTCTTATCATTCCCGGAGTGGATGGTGAATTTCAAGGTTCCAGACGAAAACCCAATCGTTCGCTAGATTTCTCGGGGAGAGAAGGTTCAAGATCGAGGCTTCAAAAATGGGAGGATGACTTTGAAAAAAAATTATTAAAAAAGCCTAGTTTCATCCGAATCCGAATATCCTGAAGGTTTAAAAAAAAAAAAAAAAAATAGCCTTGGGAGATCGAAAAGTGGGCTTTTGTATCAATGTATAGTGTTTAAGCTGGACGCCCGCGAGCAATCACATCCAGGACCAGATTGCATGCACTTTCGAAATCTGGTTGGTGATGATAGCGAGTGGCGGTGACTTGCTTTGCAGGTGCGGCGAGGATTCGATGCCAGGGCACAGCCTTAATGCTGACTTCTCTCTGCAGGATAATCGGCTTGGGGAGGAGAGGGCTGACCGGGGACGGGATGATGAGGAAAAATGAGAGTGACGGGTGGAGAGACGATGGTTGGGCTGACTTGGATTACTTGTACTTCGTATGAAGCAGGACGACGTACTTCGTAGTGTAGGATCATGGGGAAATTGCAGATTACTTGCCGAGTCGTGCCAGGCGAAGAGGTCCGTGGTCAAGGACAAGACTTGATAGCTCAATCGTGCGCAAGAACATCCCTTGAAGAGATTTGGTTGAAAAACGGGCTAGACTTGGAGAACAGACATGGAGAGAGAGAAAGAGATACAAAGTCGACAGAGAGCACGAGAGAGAGCGAGATAGCTTGATCCAACTCGGTTCGGTTAGACCCCCCTCCAGGTTGCATCGCGGCTTTACTTGTAAAAGTGTGGATAATATGTTATCGGCCCAGCCATCGTTGATGCTGGGGTACTCAGACGACTCACACACAGGCACGCGACGACGTTCACAAAATGCACTGCCAGACGTGAAAAGTACGGGGCAAAGGTCACACATCCAAGCAAGCGTAATATGGGGAACCTTGAACCATGTCGGCGGAGGCAAGAAGTGGTCGTATTACTACGAAGTAACGTACTTGGCAGCACCAGCAAGTCGCTAATTAGCACTCGGAAACAGAGTGGTCAGGGAAAGCGGCGAATGCAACCATAGGATGAAAGAGGATCAAAGGCTAGCGAGAAGTGGCATAAGGGAGGATAGAGAACCGGGTCTCCATGATGGGCAGGTTAAACTGGTAATGTTGGCGGGGACTGGGAAACGTTTGGTTGGGTGCGACCTTGCAGCTCCATCCCGAGATAGGCAGGTCCGAAAGATGGATCCAGTCTAGAGCCCAGATCGGTTTGGAGGCAATGGAGGGTGGGTTGAATTCGTCGGTTTGGTTACTCCCTAAGAAGAAAAAGGCCGGAGGTGTCAGGGGGGATGAGAGATAAACTAATCGAACAAATGCTCTGAGTCCAGTCGCCCAGTCTCGCTGGACTCCGACGCATGAATCTTCCACATCCCAACGGGGCGGCTGGTTGACCGTTTACCTGCTGGTAGGGCGGCTGGACAATATCTAGTCGAATTAAGCCTTTATGTTCAATGTTCCTTGAACCCGTGATATAGCTAGGCTGACCTACTATAGGAACCAATATAGTTGAACATAACAATTGTACTTCGTATTCTTGGACTCTTACTTACTCACGTAATAACACAGATCTGGTACTATCGTGCCCAGAGATACAATTGTTGCTTGCAGTAGTTTAGGCGAAGTAGGATGTACGACGTACAAACTCTACTTGCACTTAAAGTAAGGAGGAGAGTGCAGAGTGCCAAGTACTCGAGGTACCGCTACTCCCACCGGTCACCAAGAAAGGCAATCTCGCAACAACCACGGACCCGGAGCCGCCCAGATTTCCAATATTGTTTCCGACAGCATACTGCGTAACAGCCCGTGTCAAAGATTGCGGAGTAGCACCGAGCAAGGTTCAATGTTCCATGAACGACCTCCCCATTTGAGCCATGAGAGGAGTCGCACCATCAGCCCGGGACCAGCCATATCTTGATACTTTGTCACTGCAAAGTCAGAGATAAGTCGAGCGTTTTAAATCTGTGGAGCGAGATATCAAAGCTTTGTTGCCCCTTGCCCCCTTGATTAGTTCTTATCGTCTCGGTGTACAAAGTAGATAGATCAAATAATAGATAAAACTCAATCGCTCTGTTAGCTTCGCATCGTTTCAATGATGCCCGTTCCAGAACGTCCAGGATCTAGTGTAGACCCTGAAGTTCGACACTCCATTCTAAATTAGTAGGTGCCAAGTGAGACGGACACACACATCCACCATCCACACACCATCCACACACCATCCACACCAAGCCATTCCCTGTTCCCCCATCGTATATGTGCGTGATGGACTCTAACGCCCTTGGAAATCGGCGTTAATCCATGCAACTTGCTAACTTCGTAAACTCAGCCAGACCGGCGAGGTGCTCAATCATAACTAATTGGTCTCTTGACCACTTTAAGTGCAAGCGCGACCCTTTAGCATCGCCAGTGGTTCGTTGCCTATTCCATCGTGAATACGTACGTGTATGTCATCCCTCGTAAACTCATCAGCCTCTTTCTCCCATCGCCCATCACAACCGTTCTTCTCGTTGTGTGCTGCGATGGTAGGCTATGGCTGGCCTTCAAGAAATATCTGCTCTGCTGCAGCCACCATATCGTACTTCGTAAGCAAGGACGAAGTAGTTTACTTCGTAGAGCCAGGTGCTTGACCAACGTGCTTGACCAACGTGCTTGACCAACAACTGCTTGGGGGACTTCTGTATCTCGGGTCATTAAAGTGTCATGCTGTGCGACACATAAGTTTAGGTACTTTTCAACACACGGAACGGGGGTGAGGTTGGGCTCGTCGGTCGAGGATTATGCTCCTGTGAGTCGTTTTGTCTCTTCACCTGCATGTCTGCACGCAAGTCACAGACCAAGAGCAGGCTCCAAGTGACATGCCCGCCCAAATTGGGGTTGACGAACGAGCTGGACAAAAAGCACAGGTCTGAGGATTTTTCTGCCTGTGGTGCCATTTCCCCAGGCCAAGCCAGCCTCGTCACAAGCGTCATCTCCTCCCCATCCACCGTTTTGGTATCCCTCGGCACGGCAATCACACACGTCTTGATCAAATTCAACCCTCGCTTCTTTGCTTCGGTCTGCGAAGTAAAGTTACACGTGCATATTGAAAGAAACACAAATCGATTGGCGATTCATTACTAAATCTGCTTCGGACTGGAAAGTGGCAAGGACACCGCCAAGTTTGCCCACGTGACACTCTGGGGAAACTTGTTGGTGGTCCATAAATCCCAGCGCTCGTGATCTTCAGCTTGCGGCGGAGACTCGCTCAATTGTTGTCTCCTCAGTGACGTCAAGTGGAGATCTGATCTCCCTCATGGCTGTGAGCCTGTGAGATTGATCAGCACTGCGTCTGTTCGCCAGCGTCGATCCACTCTTCTGTTATTCCAGCTCCGATCCAGGGCAGAGCATAATAGTTTAATACTGGTTGAAGCAAAAATACTTGAAAGAATAAGTGATCATGATTAGAAATACAGCATCTTGCAATTGACAATTGAATCAGCCAATTTGCTACTTTGCGTGTAACAGTCATGATGTTTAGATGCACAGAATATCAAGATTGTCTCATCAGGGAACCCCTCATCCTTTCAAGATCCTCGCTATTGATCTCACCAAACGTTAATTTCGTAAGAATTGATCCTCCAGAATTCCAGAATGCCCACCAAGATCTTCATCACTGGCGTCACAGGCTACATCGGAGGCGACGTCCTCTACTGGCTGCACAAAAACCACCCAGACTTCGAATACTCCACCCTTGTCCGTTCCCAGGAGAAAGCAGACAAGGTCCTAGCACAATACCCCGACATACGCATCGTTTTAGGAAACCTCGATGACTCCGAGAAGATTGAAAAGGAAGCCTCCTGGGCTGACATTGTCGTTCGTAAGGTCTACCTCTTTTGGACTCTAACACACCCCCTCCTTGCAGCTAACAGAGGGAATTCGGCCGGTATCAGACACAGCCGATGCTTCAGATAACGTCAACGCAGCCAAAGCCATAGCCAAAGGCCTCATTGAAGGCCACACCCCCTCTCGCCCAGGCTACTGGCTACACACAGGCGGCACAGGCATCCTAACATACCTAGACTCCGAAGTCAACAAAACCGAAGGCGATCCATCCCTCAAAGTCTTCGACGACTGGGACGGCGTCTCCGAGCTCGTCAACCTCCCACCCGAGGCCTTCCACCGAAACGTCGACGAGATCGTTCTCAAAACAGGCACCGAGCACGCCGATAGCGTCAAGACGGCCATCGTGTGTCCCCCTACCATCTACGGCAAGGGCAGGGGACCCGGGTCGACGCGGAGCAGACAGGCTTACGAACTTGCCAAGTTTATCTTGTCTGAGGGGTATGTCCCGCGCGTTGGACGGGGCCTCGCGAGGTGGAATAACGTGCATGTGTACGATGTGAGCAGGTTATTCGATGCGCTTGTCAACGCCGCCATCGATCCTTCGCGGGCTGATGATGAGGAGTTGTGGGGTGGGAAGGGATATTACTTGTGCGAGAATGGCGAGCATATCTGGGGCGAACTGGCGGAATTCATTGGGAAGGAGGTTTTGGAGCAGGGTTATTTGAAGGAGAAGCCCGAGGTGAAGGAGTTGTCTGTTGAGGAGGTGGCTAAGTCGCCAGCGGGCTTTGATGCGGTGAGTTGGGGGTGGAATTCGCAGGGGACGGCGCATAGGGCGAGGAAACTACTTGGATGGGAGCCGACGGAGAGGAGTATATGGGACGAGGTGCCTGATATAGTCCACTCCGAAGCTGCTTTGTTAGGTCGGTAGAAGAATCGGCGGACTGAAATATCATAGAAGTGAAAGAGTGGTGAAATTCGTATCTAACACCAAGTGTATTTGCGTGGCTGGAAGAGCTGTTCGAAACATGTTTTGACCTATACGCTTAGTCCATAATGCTAGCTGAGAAAGGGGGGGATTGCATATCCAGGACTCGTGATGAGCATGTCGCATCCTCACCATGATGACCGTTGGCGTATGCCTCAGAAATGGATCCCGCGAAGTCCCTCTGCCTATGTAGTTTCAATACCCAGCTTCTCTACCACTCTCCTGACAACATCCTTCGGCGCTCTTCCCCAGTCCATCCCCTTCAACTCGGCCGCCAACGAAACATCCTCACCCTCCTCATCTTCTTCTTCCGCAAAGATGCTCCACAACTCATCAACAACATAAGTCCGTACCCGTGGCCAAGGATGGTATAGCATAGCCCCCAATCTCTTCTTCGATTCCACGATACCTTCCTCCACCCGCTTCATCCTCACCTGACTCCTATCTTCCTCTTCCAAGCGCGCAATCCCACCGTAGACCTTGGTACACGTTTCAATCTTCCGCACATTGCTACTCTTGTAGGCCGACTTCTGCATCAGGGACGCGAGAGTACGCGCATCTACCTCGCCCGATCGCTGCATGAGGCCTACGTTGAGGAGGAAGGAGACAATCTCGAGCGTCGGGGTTAGCAGGCGATCCTGTCCTTGATGATCCCTTAGATTCCGCATGAGGGCCCTGCAGACCATGTCGAGCTTTTCTTGGGACTCCTCGCAGAATTCGCAGAGTACCGCCCTGCTCGTGATTACGAGAGTCTCGTTTCCTGTGTCTGCGGATGTCACATAACCCGCTAGCAGCTCACACATCCACGCCGACTGGTCAGCCTTCGCAGTGTCCGAGATGAGCGGCAAGAGGCAGTCGGTCTCTGACATTCGTAGCAGGAACTCCAGGTATTTAGAAGAGGATGAGGTATATGATTTGAAAGTATCCACATAGCTTTTAGAGGTTAGTTATAAGACGTTGGGACGATTTCATTCCAGGGCTAGTTCAAGGGCGGGAAACGAGACCTACTCAGGATGCAGAAGAAGGGCCAGCGTCTTGTGGGCTTCGTTTCGGACCCTGTCTAATTTTTCGGCGGCCAGGCGCAGCACGCTGAGGAAGAGCGCGGACACGGTCCTTTGGAGCCATTCATGGTCACTAGGGGTCGCGTGAGCTATGGACTGCCACATGGTCCTAGTGGCTTTCAAGGAACCGCCGCGTAAATACGCTCCAATGTCTCCGCGAGACGTGGCAGTATAATCATTTAATCCCTCCATGAGCAACCCGAGGAAGCGGCGCGGCTCCTTTCGCAGAATGTTGCTCTGTGTCAAGCTGCTCAGGAGAGACGACTTCACTTCGAGATCCTTCTCCGTTGCCCACCTTTGCAACAAAGAATCGCAAACCAGGTTGGCGGCATCAATCCCCTGCATACCCGTCGCGGAGCAGATGGGATATGCCATCGCGATGGCATGGAAATATCCTGTAGCATCGTGGAGTTTGGAGGAGTGCACCTTCACAAGCTCTGCCCATTCCCGGACCTTCTCCGCCCGATCACTTGGGCGCGAGAGAACAAGGGAAACGAGCGCAGCCCTCGGGATTGCGTCCACTAGTTCTTCCGATTCTTCGTCTACTAGTTCTAGCCATGACGGTATGATGTCGCCCAAAGCAGAGACCAAGGCTTGCGACTCTCTTTCGGCAAGGTCTTCAGAGTCGAAGATCGTCATAACGTCCAATAGGTCTCCGTTAATCTCTTTACCGACAAGAGATTCACCAATATATAAGGTATTTGTTCCTGCATTATCCTTCCATTCCCGCTGTCTTGAAAGAATGGCCGCCTGGAAGATTGGTATCGACGAGATAACTAGCCGGCTTGCAGCTTCCGCAGCCAGCTCTTGGCGGCGAAGTGCTGAACTTTTAAGAATACCAAGGATGTCGAGCATGCTTGTTACCATCTTACGAAGGAGATCCCGGAGCCCATTTAGATCCAGCGCGTTCTTTTCAGAGAGGAGTGCCAAGGTATCAGGAATCCTGTCGAATACAGAAGCGAGTGATAGGAGAAGACCGTGCCGCTCTTCAGCTTGGCGTGGCTGAAGCTTCTTTAGGTGGTGGAGGAGAGTGTCGACAGAGTCACCCAAACGTCGAAGCGCAGCGGGGGGATTGAGCGACGCGAGTTGGAAAGTAATGGCGCCAAATGAAGTACCAGCAGCGCGTCGGGCAGCAGCATCTGCATCGCCCACACCTCTCCATCCAAGGAGAGAGCCCAAAAGCGCTTCGCCATAGCGGCTTGATAGATTCGTTGCTTGAATGGCAACTTCGTGGAGAGCCCTGGACCGCAACGCAACCGCGTGATAATCAACAACTTGTACGAGCCCGATGCCCTCTTCGATGGTATCTGGATGCCGGCCAATGAGCTCCTGGAGGGCGGCCGAGGAACCTCGTCGAATGTTGCCGGCCGAATCGCGAGACGCTGTCACCGCAAGTTCCGTTGCAAGTACCTGAAGAATTGTTGAATGTGCAGGGTGAGATTTGGCGGCGAAGACAGACTCAATGGGGATTTCGAGCAGCTCTTGCGTAGTGTACCGCCTAGCGAGGGCCCAGATGCCAAAGCAAGCGGCGTCACGCACGTTACTTCCAATAGACCCACCGGAGGTGCTTCTCTGTTCAAACGAGAGACCTAGTAGGAGCGCGTGGACGATGTCAGATAGTTGGTCTGGGGGAGGAGAGCGGCGATAGAGTAGGTGCGATAAGGTCAGCATTAGTCCATGCCACTCTAGCGGATCAACGGAAGATAGATCACGAGTTAGTTTGCCCTCTGGATTCAGCGGATCCTTGAGCCAGACCACTCTGCGATTCAACGAGTCCAAAACAGCTTCAACAACTTGAGATGCCATATCCGGATCAAGGCGTAAAGTGATAACACTCAAAGCCTTGCTGGCAGCGAAACGAACGGGTGTATCGTTATCAGACAGCTTTTCAAGCAGTGAGCCAATGCAAGCCTCAACCAACTCGGTTCCCTGGAGCGTCTGCGGTTCCTGCCGGAGAATCAACACTGCAGCCGAGCGCATAACTTTGATCATGATCTTCCTTGCGAAGGCAGAGCCATTAATCGCCTCAAAATTTGGACAGTCCCTGCCGCCAGTCGTAACCGAGTTTATGGCATGGAAGATACGGATGAGGTACTTGTCCATATCCGACGTGTCCATCGAAGACCTTAGAATGCCAGCAAGGTAAGAAAGCACGCCGATAAAATGGTACGTGGACTCTGTTAGGGGTTCATTGGTGGGTCGTAGAACCCAAAGAGCCCAATTTACCAAGGCATCCAGGAGACCCAGCTTTTGCATATCGGACCGCATAGAGATTCGCACAAGCAAGGCCTTCGCAGCATCGCGCTCCCTTCCTGGCGACGAGAGGTATTTGAAGGCCAACGGAAGGAGTCTCAGAGTGATTCCCGGGAGATTCGGCGGCCAGTTCAGGCCAGGGACGGCCGGCACAGAAACCTCATTAAGATCAACCGACGAAATGGAGGCGAGATCGAAGGGCGCGAACAGAAGATGGGACAGCCAAAGGAGCGTGATGTACCTTTCCTGCCACGTCCATTGAAGGAGCCCGTTGGGGTTCTCGGGATCACTAGGAATTTGCTCGGCTTCTTCGAGGGCGGATAACAAGTGTTCCAGGCACTTGGTCTCGGAGCTAAGGAAGCGTACTATGACTTTCTCTCCGCGAATCTTACAAAATGAGTACAGCAACCTCGCTACAGCTCGAGGAACGGGCTCTAAAAGTTTAGAGTTTACCAGGACGGCGCCGGTGCGGCCCCGGGACGTGAGCGACTGGAGATAGGCGTCCGAAAGCGTGTGGACGAACTTGGCCAGATGAGGGTCCAGAAGTTGAGGTAGCTCTTGGAACGGAGAGAGAATCTAATTCCGTTACGAAGAAGCAGTCACCGATAAGTCAGCCCCGAAACCTATAGAGGGGGCAGGTATCCAGCTCTCACTCACCGATTGATCCAATCTGAAAGTCTCCCACGCCCGCACACGGGTCCGGAGGCGAGTTCCGCCATGGCCATCGGGCTTATAAAGGAAGGTCGGCAGTGTGCGTTCAAATTCGGCGATGAGATCGGCCGACTCCTTCTGGAGCTTCACGTCCCCCTCGTCGTCTTTGGCATCCATGGTTGAGGGGCAAACCGAAGAAGCGGGTGGGTGGGTGGTACAGTTCCAGAAGAGGTTCTCCTCTTCTGCCTAATATCGGGGATCTGTAGGACGTTGATAACTTCGTATTCAAATCCTTCTGCAATCCGGTTTCTGGCTCATTGTGATTGTTAGGCAACAACTTGAAGTTGAAGCGAGGTGTGTTGTCTTATTACCAAGCAGACGAGGTTAAGCATCGATCAATTGATCAATTCTTACCACCACTAATGGACCTTGACAGAACCTTGGGCGGCACTGACAGGTGGCAGCTCAGGTACTTCAATGTCGTCCCTCAGCGTCCAGGGGCACAACATCATAGTGGGGTAGAGGCCCGATACAATTCGACAATACGAAGTAGGCCAGCATAAATATCTATGGGTCTGGACCTGGACTTGGTCAGCCATCAAACGTCCATGTCTTGACCGTCAAAATCTGGTTCTATCCCACACTGCTGCAGCGGTGAAACTGCTCCACTTCACCGCAGCAGCAATCAAATTGGTCTATCAGACGCTCGAGGGACTGAGGGATTCATACGCCAGAAATTGATTGATAGTTGTACTATAATTAGTATTGACCCTACTTCGTACACTACCCTACTTCTCGGTTTGATCCATCGACTCCCAAGCGGCCCGTACGTTGCATTGATGTAGCGTAGTCTCGGCCGCCGAGCAGTGTACGACTGCTACACACAAGAGCCAATCCGGGTCAACCGGCATCCGCGGGTTGGCACCTGGTCCCCCCACATCGAAGCCGTTGAGCGGCGAGACTCTCCGATAATCTCAATTGGGACCGACTAGGAACTTTGTCAAGGCGCAGCCGACTCCCGGATCAGTTGCGTTTCGGCACTTTTGTACTTGTGCAGGCCCAAGGCATTGTCTACCGACAACAGCCTGGACTAGACTATACAACCGGAGGACTCACTGATGCCCGTTTAAATCCCAAGGTTGAATCCTCTCTCCTCTCTGGCTAGGCTCCTGTTTCTTCCGCAGCACGCCATCCCGTCCGCAGCATCCTCGACCTTTATATACCTTTATTTAGTACAAGTAGATCCTCGTACAGCATCGCGGGGTTCTGAGTCACCTCATCTGCCTTCCAACCTTGATCTCGCACACTCCAAGGTGCCTACGTACCAACCACCTCCGGTTCCTTTACCGCCTCGCCCAATGATCCTGGGCGCGGATGCAGCCACCGGTGTATTAGCGAGGCAGCGGACCCGGCCGACCACCCTTGTGCATACAGGGAGCCCAGACGCATAGAAGGCTTCGTTGCTGTGGCACATACCACCTGCATTTCTCGCCTTGGGAGAGAACCGTTCTGTCCTTCCTTCTTTTTTTCCTTTCCTCGAAGTGCCCAAAGTTATTCTGCCTTTCCGCTCATCACTTCCTCTTGGAACTCTCTGGCCAATATACAATACATCCGGTTCGATCCTCTGTTCCCGAGACTGAGGACATCCATCTCCTCAGCTGCCAAAGGTTTGGCAAGGATGAATATAAATCAGACGATCGCTGCCTGGCCAGTTGATAGGCACCAATTCTATTCCGGCCTGCCTCAAAATTCCTTCCTCAGTTACGATGCGATCAGTTCTTTTGTGATTGGCGATATCCTTCTCGGCCCTACATCAGGCTACGGCCTAATTCCGAACTCACCAGTTCCCTCTGACACGTTACAATGGATCCGTCATCTCGGTGATGTCGCTCGTTCTGGATATCTTCAAGTAACCATCGTTGTCGTATCTATCATTTCGGTCTTCCGAGACCTAGCTCGTCTGAGACGAAACAACCCTCACGCCTATTATCAGAGCACCTGCCAGGCATCACGGCGAATCAAGACCCCGCTCGCGTATGAACTATGTTCTTTGACCACCCAGGCTCTTGCCGCCGCCCTCCTGACAACCTCCGGTCTACGTGGCATGACGCACTGGACTAATGCCGCTGCTGGTATTTACATTCTCGTCTTTGGCCTTATACGAGTTAGCTGTCGGTCTCACTGGAGATTTATCGCTCTTCATCAAGCCAACTTTGTCTCCTTTTTCCTCCTGCTGTTGCTGGTATCGACGCATTGGCTTCCCTGTATTCAGTCTTCCGTCTCGTGCAATGCTCGTACGCCCCTTGGTGCCGGCTCACTTGCCCTCGCCTTGTCTGTGGTCATTGCATTTTCAACTCCCAGGGAATGGCCGTCTCCATTCGCTGACCACGATGGCATAGCCGAGGTGAAGCACGACATGCCGCCGTCACCCGAGGAGACCTGCAGCTGGCTTAGCTATTACTGCTCGTACGAGTGGTTCACTCCAACAGTCTGGAGAGGCTGTACCAGCAGTCTGCCGAAAGAGAAACTCCCAAACCTTCCCTGGTATGACCACCCAGCGCTGCTCTTAAAGCGCGTCCGTCGGGCTCGCCAATGGGGGAAGAATACATTCTGGACCACCATTAAGCTTACTCAGAGCGAGTTGCTGCTCATGACCACGTGGGCATGCAGTTCTTTCGTCCTTGAAATCGTTCCTCCTTTTACGCTGTACATGCTTCTTGACTATATCGATAACCCCCAGGATGCGGTATACCGTCCCTGGGTCTGGTTGGCGCTCATATTCCTTGGGCCGACGGCTCGATCGATCACCTGGCAGCAGTACATTTTTACCTCTACCCGCCTCATCATTCGCATCAAGTCCGCCTTGACGCAAGAGCTTTACCATAGGCTTATGGAGTCTATGGAGCTCGAGGAAGAGCAGAATCAGTCAGCCCAGCCCTCGAAGAAGAAAAAGAACAAGAACAAGAAGAAGCAGATCGGCACCGCTACCGGGCGCCTAGCAAACATGATCTCCAGTGACATTGATGCTATTTTCAAGGCCCGAGATGTGATTCTCGTCTGCATAGCCACTCCTCTCAACGCCACCATCGCCATCATCGCCCTGTACGGGGTCGTGGGGTGGCCTGCCTTCGTTGCTGCCTTTATCCTCGTGACGTCTACGGTCGTCAGCGTATATACCGCGCAAGCCATGATGAAGGCCCAATTTAAGATACGAGATGCCCAAGACTCGCGAATCTCGCTCATTTCCGAGTATTTATCCTTAATAAGAGCCGTCAAATACTTTGCCTGGGAGAGGTTCGCTACCGACAAGATACAGGCGGCCCGTAATGTTGAGCAGATCTATCTTTGGAAATACGTTATCCTCAACACGGCGATCAATATCGTCAATAGCTCGTTCCCTTATGCGGCCCTGCTCGCTGTGTTCTGTATACGCATTCTGGTCCAGAAGCAGCCGCTCACGTCTTCGGTGGCATTCACAACCGTGGCCCTGGTGAAGAACCTTCGGAGCAGACTTAATATGGCGTCGTTTCTATCCAAGAACATAACGGCTGCCATTGTTGCCTTCAAGCGACTTGATTCGCATTACGACCGCTGCCAGCCTCTACAGAAATATCCTTCCGGTCCCCTGCGAGTGCAGGGTGGAACGTTCATTTCGAGTAGTACGGCAGTCTTCAAGCTCAAAAACATTACCATTGATTTCGTTGAGAACGGCCTCAATGTTGTCACGGGCCAGAGCGGCAGCGGCAAGACAAGTTTGCTACTCTCTCTTCTCGGCGAGACAATCAAGGAAGCCGGGCAGGTTACACGGCCTGCCGACGTTGGTTATACTCCCCAGACTGCATGGCTTCAGAATGACACAATCCAAAACAACATCGTGCTGGAGGAGGCCTTCGAAAAAGTTCGGTACCGGAAAGTTGTCGAATGTTGCTGCTTGGAGCCGGACTTTGACCAACTCCCCGCAGGCGATCAGACTATCGCCGGCGAGAATGGGACTTCGCTCTCGGGTGGCCAGAGAGCGCGAGTCTCTCTCGCGAGAGCACTCTATTCCAAGGCATCGGTTCTCCTGCTTGACGATATTTTCTCCGCTTTAGATGCCAAGACAGCCGCGGGGATTTGGGAACTTTGTTTCTGTAGTGATCTCCTTAATGGTCGTACGGTAGTCCTAGTTACTCAAGTTCCCTGGATCGCCGCGCAGTCCGACCTCGAGATAATCCTGGAGAATGGCTCGGTCCTCTCCATTGAGCAGCATATCGGAGTCGTTCGAAAGCCAGTTTCGGTGGAGATGGCTTTGGCCACAGATGAGGGTCTTAACGCTCCTGACAGTAGCAACCTGAGCGGGGAGACGATCGCGCCGGCAGTCGGCAACGGGAAAAGTGCGGACGTCGTTGATGCCGAGATGGAGGCCCGTCCCGCCGCCCGGATGATATGTAAGTCAACAACATACTCACATTCCCCTCCTGCAGCAACAAGAAAAATTCCTTCTCTTCTGTTTCTCTTTCCGATGCTGATAATTCACGACAGATCGCCAATACATCGCCTATTGGGGAAGTCCGTTCTTTGTGTCTGCTTGCATAGTGGTTATAATACTCGGAGCCGCCACTGTTCCGTTGGGTAATCTCTGGATCGCTATATGGACGGGGGCGTACGAGAAGGGGGAAGTTATCAACGCCGGCTATTATCTTGGTGTCTATGCGGCGATCATAATGGGCGAAACGGTTCTGTCAAACGCGCCTCTGATCATGAGCAAGTTCGGTGGATGGATCGCCGCTCGCACAATACACCAAAAGCTCGTCCAGGCAGTCCTGGGAGCGCCACTATCTTGGTACACAGACATACCCGTCGGCCGGGTAGTCAATCGCTTTTCGCGTGACATTGCATCTCTTGATAACCAACTCCCATACTTGGCAAACATGGTCTTGTGGCAGGGCGTAACCCTCGTTTACCGTCTCGCATCTATCGGTTCAGTTTTACCGGTATTCATTGTACCATCTGCGGCCACATGTCTCATCGGCATTGTTGTCGGCGAGATGTATACGCGCACAGGTGTCATTCTCCGCAGACTCGACTCCTCGACGCAATCGCCCGTGTTTTCTCAGTTTTCTGATACCCTTACTGGGTTGGCTGTTATCCGAGCGCGCGAAAACCTGCCCTCGAAGTTTGGCAAGATTCTTGTGGAGCGACTGCTGCTATGGTCGACGGCCGCAGAATCATTATACAACGCGAATCGCTGGGTGGGCGTCAGAATCGACTTGGTCACATCATTGGTGTCACTCGGAGCCGCCGTCCTTGCCTTGGCAAAGGCGGATACTACCAGTTCTGGGCTTATCGGGTTCTCTCTGGTGAATGCTACCGGACTCAGTCACACGATCCTTCTCCTGGTTCGGTCAACCAATGATCTAGAAGTTGAATTGCAGAGTGTAAGTGCAAATAGCGGATTTTTCTCTTTCATCCTCCTTAGCCAAGTAAAAACTCCCGCTAACGTTTATAATCATAAAAGTTTGATCGTTTACAAGAGTACTTAGAAGTGAAGGCTGAGGACGCTTCCGACGATCCGCTTCCCGAGGAGGGCGCTCCAGAAAGCGAAAGTGGCCCCGTCATTCCTCACGATTGGCCGAGTAAGGGTGAGATTGAATTCCGAAACGTTACGATTCGGTATGATCCGGAGGGCCCGGATATCCTCTCCGACATCAACTTGAAGCTACGCTCTGGTGAGCGAGTGGCAATTGTCGGACGAACCGGCTCTGGAAAGAGTACGGTGAGTAGTAGAAAACTAGACATGACTCTCTCCACGGTGCCGAGTTGTGGGCTAATTATATGGCAACAGTTGGTCTTGTCGCTATTGAGGTTCACCTATATTGCATCTGGGACGATTCTTTATGATGGGGTAGATATAACAAAGGTACCTAGACGGAGGCTTCGTGAAGCCTTGACAATTATCCCGCAGGAACCGGTCTTATTCGGCGGTACGGTCGAGTCTAATCTAGATCCAAGCGGCCTCGTTTCGGAAGAAACTCTCCAGAGGGTTATCGATTCGACTAAATCCGTCGCATCTTTCCAATATCGTCACTCCTCGCACGATGGGGGCGACGCTGATGGACCAGACGACGATTCAGGGCAAAGCACCCCAACCTGGTCACCTCAAGGTCTATCCCTAACAGCCCTGGTATCTGCCAAGGGGGAGAACTTCTCTCACGGCCAGCGCCAGGTGCTCTCGCTCGGCCGGGCGCTTGTGCGGAAGAGCAAGCTTATGCTCCTGGATGAGGCAACAGCCAATATGGATCATGAAACGGACAAAGTGATCCAAGATGTCCTTAGCCGGGAGGTGGAGGAGGGTGATGAGGACCGAACGCTTGTCACTATTGCTCATCGCTTGCGGACCATCCTCGATTATGACAGGGTAGTGGTCATGGGCGATGGGAGGATATTAGAGTGAGTATCCGCCGCATGAACCGTTCATCGTTCGCATAACCCAGACGAAGAAGAAAGACAAATACTAATGAGGAAAACAGGATCGGATCTCCTCATGACCTCTATAACGCCCACGGCCACTTTTACAATATGGTTCAGCACAGTGGTGACGATGACGCGTTTAAGCTGATTTGAGAGGGAAGCAGGACTTCACGGGTTGGATAATGTGGAGATGTTGATGACTGCAATGACTCTGGTTTTGTATTGTATAAGACAAGGGAATATAAAAGTTTGTCGTTTTGGTTTCAATTAGTGAATTCTAGAGACGAGAGCCTGCAGCGATAATACCCAATCCAGGCTTGAGGTTCTTTCTGCATTTTCTATTTTCTGAATTGACTCTCAGCTTTTCCGCGGCATGACAATGGAGGACGTTGCGGCTTAGGTAATCCGGGGTGGTCTGTGCCGCAGCGGCAACATCAGCCCACTCATTCCCGAAAGCGTGAGCAGACGTTTTTCCTTCAATTGAAGACCTTGTTCATGACAGTCTCTTTCGCGACGCCAGCCCACGATCCCCAATTTCGAACGTTCGAAGTCAGTTAATCGATAATATACGAGCTATTGATGTAGCAGAGAGATATTTCCGCATCTTCGCCAGCCTACGAACCAACCCTCTACCCCCTCCGTCGGGCACTTTGCCGACCCCTTCGAATCGCCCTTCGAGTTTTACCAGCATGGGCTCGGAATGACGAAACTCTCAATTAGCCCGCGGACAGCCATCCACGCCATCCGTGGCCTGGCTCTGGGCACGTCCTGTTCGCTCATACTGATATCGGAGGAGCGCCTGAAGCGCCTCGAGCTCGCGCGGAAGGTCGTTGACAATGGGAAGCTGATAAAGTCGCAGCGATGTTATAACCCCGGCGGAGCGGTTGCGGCGATGGCTCAGCTGGAGCACACACATGCAGAGCTGTCGCGGGTGGAAACCAATATGGCGGCTGTGGATCTTGGGCTGCAAGGATTTACCACCAAAGTAGGAGTTGACGAGGAGGAGGAGGTGAGGACGATATCACAACCATCCACGCAGAGGAGGAGGCCTAGTCGAACATCTCAGGGCCTAGGCATTGAGAGCTCGTTTAGGGAGATGCATTTCCCCATAGGCGAGGCGCAGGCATTTGTTGTTGCGGCGAATTATCCTGCGAAGAAACCTACAAGGGAGGCTGTGCAGTTCCAGCGCGACCATGAAGGCTGGTCACAGTTACCAAAAATACCCGAGGAGGCCCTGGAGCGAGCGAGATCACTCCTTTGCGATTTCCGCCTACAAGACGATCTCGATGGAGCACAGCGAGTTCTTGATACACTATGCCACCATCCCTCGATCGATAATCGAGACTTGGCGGGAACTGATGCCAAATTTGTGCTCCGAGGTCTCCTCTCCCCCTCATCAGTCAACCCATCCCAAAGAAGATCTGGTCGACGCTTCAGGCTTGCAGTATTTATGTTCTGGGACCAGTACAGGAAAGGCTCGCCAGAGGAAAAGGCTACCCTGCTCGGGCTGCTAGCAGACATATTTCGTCATGAAGACGCCGGACGAGACATACAATCCTTCCTAGCGACATCCCACCTACAATTCGGACGACATATGACCTCGAAGATTCTTGTCGTCAATGTTGCCAAGCTTTACCGACGGCAAGGAGAGGGAGGTGCTCTGGACCAATGGATTTCCCGGGCCGACAAAGCTGGAGTACCTATTCACGAATCCCACTTGGGAAGGACGCTGATGAAGGAATGGGAGACGGAGGACTGCGCCAAAGACCTTCAACAAGGGGCGGGAGTACCAAAACAAAACGCTTCTATCTCGAAGTTGAAGGAAGATCTACGACGGCCCGTTCGGATGTTATTACAACAGCAAGACGAGACGCAGTATCGCGTATTCGGCCGGATGGACGAGGCCGCGAAGCGCTACCAGTGGAATCAGGTTCTAGACGCCTACTCTAATGGCCTGAATGAGGGAATGACCATGTCAGACCCTTGTCTTCGGTTGGCGGTGGAGGCGGCAGTGGAGCTGGAGGGTGTCCATAGCACAAAAGCTCTACAACTTCTCGAACAAGCCCACGGACGGTCTTTGGACGTAGCGCCGATTGTTCAAACGCTGCTTTTGGCGAGATTCGACGCTATCGGGGACGAACAAGTGGCGGTGCGTGAGCAGAAGGCAAAAGGCCACGCTTACCGTTCTATGCAGAGCCTTCTTGAGACTGTTCGGCCTTTCTACAACCCACCGTCGGAGCTGGTCTACAACCGAGCCATTCGCGTATGTCTACGGGCATGGGAGTTGAATGAAACGAGGGAGCTGTGCCTACAGCTCGCCAGCGAGTACTGGGGCGGTGATGCGCTGTACGTGGTGTACAATTTTGCCAGTCTCCTCACGGTGGCGGCACGTACCAAGGACTACGAGCTCCTCCAAAGATTACTAGAGGCACTGCCGTGGAGGCCGTACCAGGGACACCCAATTTGCAAGCAAGTCCTAAAAGAGGCGAGGTTATCGATCCGACGGTGGGCGGAACAGGCTACGACGGAAGAGGATAGGAGACGACACGAGGATGCTCTCGGATACATCGAGATTGCTTACCAGAACGTGTTGAAGACTAGGTCGGGGGTGCATCGGCAGCTTAGGGCGGGGATGAAGAAGCAGGCTTTCGCCGTGCTGACACCGGGACATGTTGTTGACAAAAACGGAAATCGGGATAAGAGGAGTCAAGGCAAGGGTCACGAGGTTAGTGGTGGGGATAGCAGACCGGAACAGGGCGGAGCACGGTGGCTCTTCGACATTTACGATGAAGTGTTGAAGACCGAAAACCCGAAATAGAGATTGGGGTGTAATCTAAAAAGAGCCTAGAATTGGTTATCGCACGAGGCAGGGCGGAGAGATGGCAGGATTACTACTGGCATTTGGACTGTACATAACTTTTTTTTTCTTCCCTTTCCCCTTCCCGTTTCTTGTTGTTTTACGGTTCCTTTGTTCCATGGTCAAGGGATGCATTGAGATTATTGCACTATACTCGAGTACTGAGGCGGATGGATGTACTTAGTAAACTAGACAGACATCCTCAGGACATCTCTGCAGATCACACTAGATCAGATGTCGTGAGGGACTACAGAGACTAAACTACATAACAAGTATTCGCCAATCAGAGAGATCAATTCAATATCACGTCAATGTCAATTGCTGCTGCCTTGAGCTCTAATTGAAGCCTAGACCCATTGTGGAGTTTTCACATGCTCAATCGGATTTGATCTTTGCTATGTGGGACGAGTTCGAGGACGAACATGTAATCGTTACGAATTCTCAATTCTGCCATCAGGACCTTCCAAAAAGTATTGCGAACGTGAAGCATGTGATAATAATGGCGTCCTTCGTACTGGCCAATTCCAACTCAATTGACCCACAGGGGATAGAAACGGCTTGTGAGGAGAAGGGGGGGAAGGAGCATGGGCGGAGAGCGGAGGGCAGGAGCCGGCAGGGGTCAATTGGGGTCTAGAGCGGAGGAGAATTGACGTAGAGGCATCGATTGATGCATCCATTGGAAGACGATTCACGATTAACAAGACGCGGATCGAGAAGAAAAAAAAGTAAAAGAGAAAATCCCAACCAGAAGTTTTAGGCGGTCAGCACCACTCAGTCGAGGATTCCAGGCCAGTGGCACGATTTAACGGCGGGATGGGCTGCTGCAATCTTAGAACCGCCGCGACTTCGGGTACTTCCGCCAACAGCAGCGCCTGCGTACCGCTGAGCCTGTTTTCCTATTGGGGAGGTACCTACCTGAACCCCGGACGATAACGTACCACGAAAATCTGTTGGCAAAACGGGTGCCTGGGCCAGCGCATTTCCTGTCTTTGGCTCTTTTTTGGCTTTTCTTGCTCGCGAATTTTCCCCGGCTCGACGATCCGAATGTGACAGCGTTGGCCTATGAAGGGAACTTGTGGAAGGGGGCACATCACTCCACTCCCTGTTCGTGTCCCTGCTTCTGCTGGCTAGATTTCGGAGTGCTACAAAACTCAATCGTCGTCTGCTTCACACCGAACAGCTTTCCTCACGGACCCCTTTTTTTTTTCTGCTTCTCATCTGCCTTCTGCTCTATTCCCCCAATTTAAGCCCTCACTAATATATATAGTCCAAGCCACGAGGGAGGCTTTACCCCCTTCTCCGTCGACTTCCTCCATATCTTATCGCCCTCGGCGTCCTTTTCCTCTTTCGCGACGTCGGTCACCGAACCTCACTATTTTCCTCGACACACCACCCTTTTTTTCTCAAAAACAGCCCTCTCGATGAGCCAAACGACCACAATGCCCGCAGTGGCCACGCCCGAGCTTCGGCGCCGGGAGAAATACCATGAAGCCGAAGTCGTCATCGTCGGCGCAGGCGTCTTCGGATGCGCCATTGCCTTCGCCCTCGCCCGCCAGGGCCGCAGCGTCCTCCTCCTCGAGAGGTGGATGCACGAGCCTGACCGCATCGTCGGTGAGCTGCTGCAGCCCGGCGGCGTTGCGGCGTTGAAGAAGCTTGGACTGGAAGGGTGCCTCGAGGGCATCGATGCGATGCCCTGCGTGGGATATAGCGTCATATACGAGGGCACGCCGTGCACTTTCGAATACCCCAAGTTGGATGACGAGGGAAATGTCGTCTACGAGAAGACAGGTAGAGCCGATGGCAGGAGGCCGCAGGGTGTGGGCTTCCATCATGGAAGGTTTATCATGAAGTTGAGGGAGGCGTGTCTTAAGGAGGAGAACATCACCGTTGTCGAGACGGAGGCGACAAAACCCATTAGGGGTGACGAGATGGATAAGATTCTTGGCGTGGAGGCGCTGACGCGCAACAAGGAGACGGGGGTGAAGGAGAAGGATTACTTCTTTGGACAGCTGACCATCATCGCCGACGGATACGCGTCCAAGTTCAGGGCAGAGCACCTAGGTTCCGCCCCAGTCATCAAGAGCAAGTTCTACGCCCTCGAGCTCATCGACTGCCCGCTTCCCGCGCCAGCCCATGGCCACGTCATCATCGGCGACACCTTCCCCGTCCTCCTATACCAAATCGGCACCCATGAGACCCGCGCCCTCATCGACCTGCCCGAGAACCTCCCCGCCGCCTCCCCCGCGGCCGGCGGCGTCCGAGGCTACATCAAAAACGTAGTCATCCCCGCCGTGCCTGAGCAACTCCGCCCTTGCATGCTCAAGGCCCTCGAGGACGGCAAGCTTCCCAAGAGCATGCCCAACTCGTGGCTGCCGCCCACCAAGCAGCAGGCCAACGGCATGATCGTCCTCGGCGACGCCATGAACATGCGCCACCCCCTCACGGGAGGCGGCATGACCGTCGCCTTCAACGATGTCGTCATTCTCGCTGACCTGCTATCCCCCGAGAAGACCCCCTCGCTGGGAGATACCGTCGCCGTGCAGAAGGCCATGAACACCCTCTACTGGCAACGCAAGCGCCTCACCTCCATCATCAACGTCCTCGCCCAAGCCCTTTATAACCTCTTCGCCGCCGACGACGCGCAGCTCGACGCCCTGCGCCGCGGCTGCTTCGAATACTTCCAGCGCGGAATCACCGAGGATCCCTCGGGTCTTCTCGGTGGTGTCATCCACAACCCTGCCGTGCTGGCTTATCACTTCTTCTCCGTTGCTTTCGTCGGCATCTGGATGAACTTCAAGAGGAGTCTCTCCAGGGCGGGTATCTTTGCGCCGCTGATGCTGCCTGTTGCTGTGGTGCAGTCGGGTTTGATTCTGTTCAAGGCTTGTACGGTGTTTCTGCCTGTGCTATGGAGGGAGGCTAGCTAGAATGTTTAATGTCCATTGTATGAAGAGGAGAAGGAGGAGAAAAAGAAAAGAAAGCAAAACAAAGATTCTTTGGGGGAGTTTTGGAGTCTCGGGGTGTCGTGAGCCTTGAAGAAAACCCGTTTTTTCCCGCTCCTTCTTGTTCATCGTTTTGTTTTTTTTGTACTTTTTGGGGTTATGGGGGCTCACGACTCTCCTTGTGACGCTTGATCGATTCTTAGACACAAAGAAAATTTAATAAGGGTAAATTATGGATTGGGGAAAGAAGTTGGGTAGTTAGAGAGAGAAACCCCTTCATAATACTAATTGACCATCATCGATTGGGCACGTACTTCTACATATGTACCGGTGATCCAGATCGTCTTGGTCCTCGGGGACCATGTTTATTCATTTGCGTCGCTGCATATGTTCCTTTTTTTCTTTTTATTCTAACCGTCGAATGTACAAACCACCCACCAGATGCATAGTGTGATCCACGACAAGGAGACAAAAGCAAAGGAGATCTAGTACCGCCCCCTTTTCACGTCATCCTCCGCCTATACACACCCATCATCCAACTCGCCCTCAAAACCGCCAATCCCAACGCCATCGCAATGCTATCCCTCGCAAGGCTCATCTTCGAACCGTCCACCTCGTGCCAGGCAATGGGTACTTCCGCAACCTTGATGCCGGCGGTGGTGCCGATAACACTACCGTCGGAACCGAGGACGGGCGTGGCGGGGGCCGACTCGGCGAGCATGAGCATCTCGACGTCGAAGATCCATCCCTCGGCGTGCATGTAGGGGACTATGTGGGGGAGCGAGGCGCGTGAGAAGAGCTTGAAGCCGCATTGGGTGTCCTTGATGCGGGAGGTGGCGGGAGGTGTGAGGATCATGAGGATGAAATGGAAGCCGCGCATGAGAAAGTTGCGGAGAGCGGAGCGCTATACAAGTAGATACGTAAGAATTAGTAAATATCGATCAAGCAACTCAGGATGGATTAGGATTCCGACGGCGGTTACAAACCTTGACCACTGCGTCGCTACCAACAAGGTGCGACCTGCTGCCGACGGCCACTCCACGATGAGAGCCATCCGCAACCTCCTCGCAGCCCTCAATCAGCCTGCCGAGATCGCTAAACTTGGATGCGCCATCGGCATCGGCAAATAAGACGTATTCTCCCCGTACATGCCTAAAACCATGCGTAACAGCCCCACCCTTGCCCCGATTCTTCTCGAGGGTCACCACACGTAGCACATCGTCAAGCTTATGCTTGCGCGAAAACTCTAGCACCACATCAACGGTGCGATCCCTGCTCCCGTCGCTCACGACAATAATCTCATAGCCCGATACGGGTGGCAGAGGTCCTCCTCCCCGCGCCAACCTCTTCTTAACCCCCGAGAATGTAGAAGCCTTCTGGGCAGCGGTCTTGTCGCCAGGTCGGCCGAACGTGTTGTCGAGGTATTCGACGGCCTCCTCGAGGGCTGCGGATATCCGATCCTGTTCGTTGTAGGCGGGTACGACGACGCTGACGAGGACGGTGGGGTCCTCGATGCGGCCTGCGTCGGGGATGTGGAACTTGCCTAGCTCGGGCTGCTCGCTCTCGGAAAGCTTGCGCTCGGCGAGCCAGTTGTCGTACCAGCAGGGGAGCTGGTGAGAGACGGTCGTGCCATCGGGTCTCGTCGTTTGGTATGTCTTTTCGGAGGGGTAGGGAGCTCGTGGCTTGGGCGCGATGTAGTGGAGGGCAAGGTAGGCCTAGGAGCCGAGTCAGAAGTCAAGGTCGGACGGGTCGCTGCGATGCGCCACTGAGATAATTGAAATTGATCCTCTTTGTTTTTCTTTTCCTTTTCTTCTACGCATGCGCCTGCGCTTGCTTTCATCTTCCCCATTCATCCAAGATAGGTCGCATTATGGAAACAAAGGGGCATAGATACATACAGTAACAAGTGCTAGTGGCACAGCTGCGAGGAGGATGCTGAGATGCACAAACCACGGAAGCCCCAAGAATGCGTAAACTAAGGACAACATATTGGCTCCTTTAGAAATTCTGGCATTGGGGCAGGGGAGAGAGGGTGGTGTTCGGAGTGGTGAAGAGGCTGTCGAAATTCAGTTTCGCAATGAATGAGAGGAAGAGGGACCTCGTAAAGTCGCCAACCGGTCTTAGCTTGAAACAGCAACCCTAAGCCTCAGCCTGTCGCAGATTTGGCAGAAGTATGGCAATTGACGAGTCTGGAAGAGGAAGACGATTCTTCGGCCCCTCAAGTCATCGAGCCTCGAAGATTTACGCCATTCCACACAAAGCAAAATACACTACAAAAAGTGGAAGGGCAGGTGCAGATGAGAGTCAAGGTCTTGCATGGCGCGGTCGACTACTGCGTAGAGCAGTCGCGACCTTGGGTTAAGACCACATGTCAAAAACGGCTTGTTCCTTCCAATTGATTTCTGCTTATTATTGCCCCTGCCAATTTTTAGCGGGGCTCCACGTCATCCCCAGACCTCAATTTGCCTGCAGTCCAGGGGCATTTGAGAGCGCCGTCAACTGAACCTTGTGCCGGACCCAAGAAGAACCGACCGAGCCTCCATCCAGTCTTCAGGACCTTCAGCATCTTCATCCTCTCTCACAGCTCGCGCCCTGACAAAATAATTAAGGAAAAAATGACTGAAACCGACATGTGGTTTACATCAGAAACATGACACACTCCGCCAACACTACTGATAGGCTGAAACACTGGTCATTGAGCTGACGTTGTAGACAAAAAAAGAAGCTCGCCCATCAAGCTGCTATCGTCCGAGTTGATATTCCTCGCAATCTTGCCCATCAATCAATCCTCCCGATGAACTTCCTCCGTTACTCTTTGGCCGGCTCTCTACCTCCCCTGACCAAGCCTATACGCCCCAGTGGCTCCGGATAGCATCAATGTTAGCACCGGGAAAAAATCTACAGAACTCGGCGCAGAGCCCGAGTTCAAGAGGTTGTCGAAGAATGGTTTCCAAGGCCAGTCAGTCACCAGGAAGACGGTGTCTTACAGTTTCCCCATTCAACTCAGCGAAATTAACCTTGGAGAGCCATTTCGTCCAGAGCCTGGTGAGTTCAGTAGTCTAGTTCCGTTTCTTGCTAGGCTTTGCCAGAGAAGGCTGGAACTTGGCCTTCTCTGAGGGTTTTCTCTCCCGAGAGTGATTCCTAAATATTCGCTTCTACCCGTTCCAGACACCCAAATTGGCGGCGTTTTGCGAGTGTTTGCATGGGAAATGTCGCTGAGCCAGGGAACTTCATTGCGGTGTATGGCAATTCTAATGGAAGAGTTGACGGATCCGCCGTAGTCCAGTTCTCCGGGGAGGCACAGTTGAGCTTGGCCCCTTGCTAGGAGAGGATGAACTATCGGCCACGGGTGTCCGGTACGTGGTTACCTGCACCGACGTGGTGACCGGTGGTGCCGAAGGAGTCGGTTTGTCCGATGGGCTACGCCGCCTAGGATCACGTCGTTGTTGACCTTGCTTTGATGGCAAAGGCGGCGATGTGTCGGACACAACGGGAGATAAGGGGTCACGCCTCGGACGTCGGACAACTTTCATCTCCAGACCGTCTTGGGAGTACGTCGAGTTCCCGGAACTCGAGGGAGCCCTTGATCTATTCCCTACGCGTTCCCAATATTAGTCCAAAGTTCTCTAGAGAACGGGGAGGAAAAAGAAAGCTACCATTCCGTGGCCGGCGCTCCCCGAGTATTCTCTCAATCTCCTTTCCTTTGACGGACGGTGCCCCTAAGAATGGGGGCGTGCTATAGCCATTAATCGTTGCTTGTAAAATGGCCTCGGAGCTTCCGCCCTGATATGATGACGCGACGTAACTGTACGATCTCGGCGTATATACCATGGGATTGGCGTGGGCATCTGGGTACATGACATTCGAGAGACTGCTCGACACCCTAGGCACACCGGAAGACATCAAAGAGCTCCGCCTCCTGTTCTCCTCCAAGATTCGTTTCCGATCTTCCGCCTTGTACGATGCCGGGGCTCCTGCGAGTGCATCGATGGCAGCGTGCGTGGGTATATGTTTATAGGGTACTTTGGCCGGTTCGGTGCCCTGTTTCGTGCCTTGCTTCTTGGAAGCCTCCTTTGCCTGCTGCCTCCCCTTCCTGATCAGAGAGAAGATGGACATGATTTCGGCCCTGGTGTCAACTTCGAACTGTTCCGCTGTTTTGTTGGGCGGTAAATGGAAAAAAATGGATCGAAGCCGTCTTTTTCGAAAGGAAGTAAGCTGAGTCTCAATGGCACTTATATCTGTCAGACGAACTCATAAAGGACACCAGGAAACTTGACTGAGGCAGTTCCAGTCGGGGCCCTATACTAGGGAGGCCGCAAGCAGACAGAGCGACATCAATCGCAAGGCGGAGTCAAATTGAACATATTTAAATGACAGCGGAGGTGACGGAGAGATGAAGAAAAAAAAGCAAAAGGAAATATCGGAATGCGGTGTGAATATCAGCCAGAAAGAGGAGCAAAGTAGTGAATGATGAGCTATTACTGAGGTGGACCGTTACCAAAGAAATACGAGACACCTGGCTCAGCACCCCTGTCTCAGCGACGACGGCTGATAAGGAGAGGAGAGAGACACCGACAAATAAAACCAACCACCTGTCCGCCACGGGTGAAAATGCCTGGCTCAAGCACTCGGACGCAGCAACTTCAGATAATGCCTCCCGAACGTTGCTCCCAAGATGCGCCACCAAGCAGCCTGATCACTAGTCCCTGAGCTGAAAATCCCGAGGGCTGCACGGATAGCTAGATTAGGCCAATGAGCTGTGTGGATAACGGCACCGAAGAGACGTTGACGGTCAATGTGGCTGAAATGCACCCCTAGCTTTTGATATTTCCTGCTGGACAGCTGCGCTAGCTTATCTGTCGAAGGTATCGAACTCCGGACACGAAGATTTGAGAAAGCCACGTCAACGGGGATGCGGAAGAGGGGCGGTGAAAGCAACCGATGCCAGGCTAGTCCGTTGCGCTCGAGTCATATATACTTTTGAAGGGGCCCAGATAAATAGTGCATCATTGATCTCCAGAGAGGCCTTCGTATTAGTTTTCAGCAAATGCAGTAAAAACCAAACACTAGCTGAAGGGAGTTGCTTCTTCGATATGCCAGCAATTAATATCGCCATCTCGGTCAGGGACGCCGTCCCCTCCGAACGACCAGGAAGACTGCCAGATTTAATACACCCCCACGCCTACCCCATTCGCGAAGACCCATTTCGTCCGCCGCTGTGCTTCGGGACACTGGTTAGGACGGAATTCAATCGCGCTTTGTGTTAGCATGCCCGAGGTCGAGTGGATTGACTATCTATAATGAATATATTTGTGAACTTCAACGACAAACACCGCCAGTGCCTTGCTTTGGCGTTGCTGCTAAGACTATGGCGTCAATTGAACCCGGTATTCGACCTATACCGATACCGTATCTAGTGACGTGGAGCGGCGCGTCGATGTCTCCAGAACAGCTCCAATGAGCGTTGTGATTCGAATGCCTCTGCCAATCCCACGTGCTGTACCAAGCGACCTTGTCCCTGTAAACGGAGGAAGCACTGGTGTCCCGGGGTTCTAGAAATCCAAAATCCCAAGAATTCAAACTCTTGAGCTGGACCTGATCCCTGTCCCGACGATTTTTTGACAGTAGTCTTCCCGTGTTTTAGCGGAGTCCACCCATAACGAAGGGCATCAAAAATAACTGCGGTGAGCTCATCGTCTGTCTCTTTGTGATCCTGGTGCGCTGTCAAGAACCCTTCTCCGTAGCGGGCGGGAGGTTATTTTATTTTGGGAATGAGGGGTCTTTCTTGATAACCGAGGGACCGAGGGATCAATAGCCTGGCAGTAACCCAACCATTTGGATCGGAAATTTCGTCGCTGCAGAGTTGCATGCGTCAAGGCCTGGCAAGACTCGTCACCCTCGACACACTGCAACCCTGCTGCCCAAAATATCAATCAATTCTCGCCATTCTCGCCACCCTGCTGTTTCCGCCCGAAGAACTGAAGCGTTTGTGTGCCGCTCTTCTAGAAGTTTTCTCTCGTGGACGTCGCTTGAGGCCCAGTGTCAATAGTGATACGGTACACCAATTAATACTTCGGGGACTCTTATACGACAGAGCGGTGGCTGGGTGGTGGATCACTGGAGACGGCGGCCCCAAAGGGTCAATCATTGAATGTAGTAGTGTGCAAAGGCAGTGCCGTATTAGATTGTCTCGGAAGCTAAAGAGCCGAGAAGTGGCACACAATCAAGGACACTGGCATCGATTCGATGAAATGGGGTGGAAAAGGATCAATGTTGCTCTGATCAAATTAACCCAGAAGAGGTTTAAACTTCAGTTGCAGCCCAACGATTTTCGGGTCTTATTATAGTTTCCCCCACTTGACCGCCTTCACAGAAACTGGCATAGTGTGGGGGGTTCAGACATGCATCTTAAAGAAACTGGTAATCTAAAATCTATAACACACTTTGTATACATCGAACTTCGAAGTGAAGGCTACGGTCGGCCAAGGTGTTGATGCACTGATCCTCGTTCTGTACGGCTGCGGCCGCTCATCATTGATGAATATCAATCGCCCACCCTGGATTGATATTTTACACTCAATTAGGGTGCTTCAAGACTAGGAACTCCCCAGCTTTTGGTCCACTCCGTCTTCCACTTTGAAGGATCCCCCACTCGCCCAGCTTCCCACTTTGGAATCCGATTACATAAGATTTCAAAAGAGGCAAGAATCGTCTAGGAACTGGGAAAGCCGAGATGGCACAGACCAGGGACAGGCCCCGGTAACTTTTAGTCACGTGTCACCTTATCAACTGAGTCCCCCGTTGCGCCCAGCCTAGGTTCAATGGAGCAATAATATGGAGAAGGAAAACTGGTGAGTTTTGCTTGGCACATCACAGTGGCTTTTTCCGCAGGTCCCCCCAAATCCCAGCTTGTCTGCTGTCGCCACTGCCGCAGCGAGCGCCGACTTTTGTGACAGCCTCATCACCACCCCCCCCAAAAAAGAAAGTCCCGCTCTAGTCCGATCTCGACATCCACCCCCAGACAAAGCAAAAAAAATAAGAAAACAGGGCCAGAAAAAACACTGTCGCGCTTTGCGCACGAGGACATCTATCGATATCGCAGGGAACGCGGTAGTCTCTATCGTCACTTATGCGCTCCTCCAGTCCTTTCGGCAACCGATAACGCCATCAAACCTGGCGAGGTTGGTCCGATTTCCTGAACAGAATTCTCCTCCCGACCGGTAACGCGACCTTGGACCATACGTCACCTTCCTTTTCCCACCGCTCCTATCGTGCCCGCCCGAAAACAAATCCTCCTCAACAACTCCGCGACCCATTTTGAAATTATCGTCGATACATTTATTTACCTCGCGCATCGATTGAGCGAACGCTGCGACTCCCGACCCGCCCCCTTTCCCGATTCGCGATCACCGCACGCCTCTGACTCTCCAGCACCACGTCGACGTCGACCGAGAAGTGGACGCCGAGCCGTTGATGATGGCACAACACGTGCCTCATCAGGCGAAGGATAAGAGGCGCGTCAAGGTCTATGAACTGCGCAATAATGACTGGTTCGATAGAGGCACTGGCTTCTGTACGGCTGCCTTTACGCAGGTGAGTAGTCGAATTCGTTATCTTAGGCAGCGGCGAAGGAAATCCAGCGCGTCCCGTGGTCAACCTGCGAACGCTTTTCCGACTTCCCAAAATTACCGGATACACATGCGAGACAGCATTAGATCTTTTACCATCTATTTGGAGATTCGGGTCACTCTAACAATTAATAGTCCGACGATGGCCAGTGTCGCGATGCTCGGGTAATCGTTGAGTCTGAAGATGAACCGGACCGCCTACTCCTCGATACAAGTATATGCAGGGAAGATGGATTCCAGAAGCAAAGAGGTATGTTTATCCTCTTCTATTCTGTTTTATTCCCCCCTTCAATCTCGTTCCTGCTGGCCTCTCAGAGATTACATCACTGAGGCTAACCGTAATTCAGATACCCTCATCGTTTGGACAGAACCGAACAGCGGTCTCGACATGGCCCTCAGTTTCCAGGAACCAGAGGGCTGCGCCATGATATGGTTTGTGTCCTTATTTCGATAGCCTATATATCCGACGAGGCATGGTTGCTATGAGGAAACGAATGGGTCTTCTAACGGATAACGCGTAATAGGAAATTCGTGAACAGTGTCCAACAATCGACCCAAAATGGGCTCGGCGCCGCAGGTTTGTGTCCTACCGTTCCAGAATCTGAATAGTTTGAAGGTTGCGCAACGTACTGACGTGCTCGAAAAGACGACAATTTGTCTGACGACCTTACTATGGATCTAGCTACGACGGTTTCCCTCCCCCCAGTCGAGCTAGGCAATCTCAGCGAGATCGAAACGAAGATAAGGATAGTGAGTTCAACAGGTGCAGGTAGGGACGCCCTAGCGAAGTACATCCTTAAGGAGGACTACATCCGCAAGATGATACCCCTTGTCGAGACGTCCGAAGACTTCGAAAGCCTACCAGACCTCCATCGACTCTGCAACATCATGAAGACGGTTATCCTATTGAACGACCCGGCACTTATCGAGCATGTGGTCTCCGACGAATGTGTCGATGCGGTTGTCGGCGCTCTCGAGTACGACCCAGATTTCCCGAACCACAAGGCGAACCATCGCGCGTGGTTGAATGGTCAGGGCCGCTTCAAGGAGGTCGTTCCTATCGAAGACGAACATATTCGCCACAAGATCCACCAGACCTACCGGCTTCAGTACCTGAAAGATGTCGTACTGGCGCGCATTCTCGACGACCCTACCTTTTCCGTTCTTAACTCTCTCATCTTCTTCAACCAGGTCGAGATCGTCCAACACCTCCAAGGGAACGCTATATTTCTCAATGAACTCTTTGGAATCTTCAAGTCGCCGAACCAGGACCCGAAGCAAAAGAAGGACGCCGTCCTGTTCATCCAGCAGTGTTGCACGATAGCTAAGAACCTCCAGCCACCCGCTCGTCAGGCTTTGTATAACAACTTCCTCGCCCATGGTCTCCTCCAAATCATCAACTTCGGCCTGCGTCACCCGGACGTGGGCGTAAGAGTTGGCGCGACTGACATCCTAGTCTCCCTAATCGATCACGATCCACAGATGATCCGAGCGACGATATATCGACAACTTGGCGACGGTCATCCACCTTTAACGGACTCGTTAATTGAGCTATTGCTGGTTGAGGTTGACTTGGGTGTGAAGTCCCAGATATCAGACGCGTTGAAGGTTCTCTTGGACGGCATGCCAGTGACTCAGGTTCAGGATAACATCTCAAGAGCCACGGGAGATTTCGCTGGCGCTGGCCGGCGGACGATAGATCACAATCCTCAGCAGGAGCTCTTCTTGGAACGCTTCTACGAGACTTCGGCAACAAAACTATTCAAGCCCCTTCTCGACCTCGAAAATAAGACCAAGCTTTCCTTCACAACATAACAGGCATCCATGTTTTCATACCTTATCGAGATACTCTGCTTTTTCATCCGCCAGCATTACCATCGCAGCAAGAGTTTCGTGCTTCAGAGGAAGATTTCACTGCGAATCTTGCAGCTACTTCAAACCGAAGAGAAGTATCTCAAGCTAGGTGAGTCTCGGATTGTGCTATATTAGTGTGTGTTATTTGCCAAACCTCTAACCACCCACACTTGTAGTTGCGATCCGGTTTTTCCGCCAGCTCTTAGGCCTCCAAGATGTGTTCTACGTAAAGCATCTCATCGACACAGATGTCTTCGGTCCCATCCTCGATATCTTAATCGGCGTTATGCCTCGAGACAATCTCCTAGGTTCAGCCTGCATAGAGTTCTTTGAGTTCATTAAGAAGGAAAGCATGAAGGATCTTGTCAAGCACCTGGTTCAGAATTACCGGCCACAACTTGTCACACTCAGCAGCCTAGAAACGTTCCGCGATATGATTATCCGTTACGATCAAACGCAAGGCTTCACGACGGGCAGCGATTTCCTTTTGGATGCGGAGGAGGACGTGACGCGTCGGCCGCCAGCGCACGCCAGGATGATGGAGCAACTCCAGGTCGATCCGACCGAAGAAGCGTACTGGAACGAAGACGACGAGGAAGAGCAGCAACCGACGGTCAATGCGCAGGCAAAGGCTCCCATTGCTAATGGCACCTCGCCATCCACGAGACTAGTCGATTACCTTTCCGACGGGGACGAAGAGGAGATGGAGGAAGGCGATGCTGCAAGCGGCGCGGTCTCAGCCGACGCTGCGACGCCATCGACCTCGATCATCAAAGACGGCGAACTTGCTTTAGTGAACGATGCGGAGGCAGCCACGAAGAAGCAGGACGCGTCCGTGGATGGCCCTGATAAGATGGCGGTAGCGACCGACGATCTGGCTGACGTGGATGGCGTGTCAGATGCTGGCTCCGTCGTGAGCGAGGCTGTATCCGATACGTCGACTACTTCGGCACCGCCTCAAAAGCGACGCCGCGAAGAAGATGACGACGATGACGAGCTCGGAAAGCTGATGCAGAATAAACGGCGAAACAGCAAGTCGATGTCGACGAACTCCTCAACACAATCCATCCTAAAGAGAAAACAAAGCTTCACTAACAGTACGAGCGGGAGTCCTAAAATTTCCATTAGCATCTCATCGACAGGTGCGGGGCTTCGATCATCAAGCGAAGACTCGTGATGAGCAGCCTGTGTGAGATGTGGAAGGTTTTTAAGAAGAAAGGGGAAAAAAACATGAGGTGCCACGAAAGACGAAACAAGGAAGAGGAATGCATTTCTCGGTCTTTCCTGCTGGACATCATCGGCGGGATAATGCGTAGGGACGGGGTTTCGGACTTGGATGGTGGTGTTTGGGGCGCAACAAGGGAGGTTCACTCTGCTTGCTTTCTCTATTGTTTTTCGTTTTCCTTTCCACTCATTGTGCGTTATGGCTTTTGGGCAAAATCCTCCCTTGTTTTCCCAAGCACCGACGGCATGATTGCCGAGGAAACCTCATGAGAATATGGCAGGGCAAGGAGCAGGGGGGTTTACCAAGAAGAAAAAAAAAAGCGGAAAGGCTGAGGGATATGGTCAGTCTGCCCCCTTTGTTTTTGTTTCGATGAAGCGGACTGGCATGCAGACTGGCCTTGGTGATGAGTTAGCCCTAAGCCCGGTCATGCCTTGTAAGAGTTATGGTGTAGATATGATGTCTTTTTTTGGTCTTTTTTTGTTTCCCCGGTCTTCTAGTGGCAGATAAGGCTATCTAGCGAGGCGAGATGAATCTTTATACCCATTTAAAGGAGTCGGACTTGGATCGAAGCGAAGTGCGGATGATGATTGTGAAAAGCTGGATACCGTGAAGGCCTCATGGTGGCTTTGTGGCGATGATGATACCCATTGAGAGAGCTGCTTCTCGGGCCCAGTTGCATGAATCAAGCATGTTATTTATGAACGATCGACTTGCAATGACCCCAGCCGAAGTTTCTGGTTTTCGAGTCATGTAAGTGGATTGATTAACTTGATCGGCATCGAGCAAAGTGAGACAACGAGAACGGCTCTTTATGTGTCAGTCACAGAGAAGAGCCCTCACGATAATCGAATACTCCGCGGAAGGCTGAAGCTGTAAGTGTTGTAGAGTTGCTACAAGTTGTGCTCACAGTCGCCGTGTTGAAGGTTTGTCCTAAAGTTCAATGTGAAGAATAATTGAAATTTTTTTGTACCATTATTTTTTTCAATCCCACCAAGAATTTCGTCGCACCCAAAATTCACCGCACCAAACCAAACTCTTAAACTTTGAACAACACCAGCAGCAGGCTCAACTCCAGCATAAGCCCAAAGCCGTGGCATTCAGCTACAGTCCTCAAGGCATCCGTATAGAACCCAGCTCTGGAAACCGCGATATAAATTTACTGGGGAACTTAGTCTGGTGCCCCGTAGAGCCATCTGCCAGACCATGTCAGTCGAGTGCCGAATCCGGCCCTTCGACCGGCCAACCAAGACTGGCAAGCCCGAAGACCGCCCGGACCTCCGCAAGCCTCCCGTCTTGTTCGTCAACCGCGCCAGTTTCGAGGCTCTCGAGCGCGCGTACGGTGCACCCGCCGCAGTAGTGCATGTGCGCGTGGAAAGACTCCAGGATGGCGAAGTCTCCGGAGGCAGCGGGGTCGCGACGCCGAACAGTGGTGATGCTGCGGTAACTGCGACCACGCCGCTGGTTAGGCAGGCGACTGTGATGCCGTCTGCGCAGGATATGAAGGGGGATGTGGTGAAGATGACGAGGGTGTTTATGGAGGCAGTGGGGTTCCATACGGGGGACTTGGTGAGGATTACGGCGAATAGGAGTGTGGCGACGGAGAAGGCGGCGGAGAGGGTAGTTGTGGAGGATGTTACGGGGGAGCAGTGTGAAGGGGTGGATTTGGGGTTGAGGGGGTGGGAGAGGACGCTTTGGGAGTTGGGGATAAGAGAGTTTTTGAGTAAGTAGTAGGCTCTTTTCTCCCCCTCTTGTCTTCTCTTGTTTTTCTTGCCGATTGGTGAAGCTGACACTTTTTACCTTCTGCGCCTTCAAGCGAAAAGGGCTGTGTATGTATACCCTGGGGCAGTATTCGAGCTCAAGCTTGTCACGACTGCTCGTCAGTTCAGGGTCATCTCGGTCAACTCACGGACAGATAACCTCGCCCGAATCGAGCTGGCTACGACCGTGGAGATTTCCCACGCCGCCATCACTACAGGCTCCGATGCACAAATAGCAGCGGGTAGCCGCGAGCTAGTCGTCTCAAACGTACCAGGCCTCGGGCGCCAGATGAAACTCCTCAACGACTTCTTCGCAGACCTGCAGTCCTCCCTCCCCGCCCTAACGTCCCTCGACGCCCGCTGGCGATCCTGCGCAATCGCCATCCATGGCGGCCGTGGAACGGGCAAGACCTTTGTGCTAGACAAGATCGCCAGCGCCTGCGAGGGCAAATTCAAAGTCATCCGCGCGCAAAAAGGAACCCCCCCGAGCGCCATGAGCGGGATTCTCGTGCAGGCCGAACTCGACCAGCCCAGCGTGGTGCTCATTGACGACCTCGACGACATCCTCGAGACGGCACAGAGGTCCGTGCCGCAGCTAGTGGGGATATTGACCTCAGGTTTGGACAAGTTCGCGAGCGACGCTGCTGAGGCGGGGCGCGCGTCTGTCGCCGTCGTGGCTACGTGTAAGGATTACTTTTCGCTGCCGCACGAGCTGAGGAGGTTGAAGAGGTTCGTTAAGGGGATTGCGCTGCCTATCCCCGATGTGCCGAGCAAGGTCGAGATTCTCAAGTCTTTCAACGTGCCTCTTCCCGAGGACGCAAAGGAGGAAATCCTCTTGGACGTGGCGAAGAGGACGTACGCTTTTAACCCCGAGGATCTGGAGAGGTTGGCTTCCACGGCCGTCGACACTGCCGTGGGGCGGCTGAGGCGCGAGATTAAGAGCGGGCTGAAGGATGCGGAGACGCCTTTGTCCTGTACGAGGAAGGATTTGGAGAGCGCTTTGGCGAGGACGACGCCGAGCTCGTTGCACGATATTAACCTGCGGCCGCCTACCGTTCACTGGAGGGATATCGGAGGGCAGCAGAAGGTCAAGAACGAGCTACAGAGAATGATACGAGAAGTCCTCGTGAGTTCCACCATCGTCTGCTTTTAAACTGGTTTCGTATGCACAAAATGCTTTCCTGGTTTTACTGACGTCCCCCAAGGGCCAATCCCCCCTCTGCCTCCAACCCCCCAAAGGCATCCTCATGTACGGGCCCCCCGGCTGCGCCAAAACCTACTGCGCCCAAGCCCTCGCCACCGAATCCGGCTTCAACTTCTTCTCCGTCAAGGGCCCCGAGCTGCTCAACCAATATGTCGGCGAAACAGAACGCAACATCCGGCGTCTCTTCCAGCGCGCCGCCGCGTCAGCCCCTGCCATCATCTTCTTCGACGAGCTCGACACGATGGGCCTCACGCCGCGCCGCGGAGGAGGATCTTCCAAAGGTAACGGCGGAGCGGGTGGTGTGGGTGTAGGTGTCCTGGGAGCCCTGTTGACGGAGCTGGACGGCTTCGAAAAGCTCGAGGACGTCGTCGTCTTGGCGGCCACGAATAGTCCCGAGAGCATCGAGCCGGCGCTTTTGAGATCGGGACGGTTGGATAGGTATTTGTTCGTGGGTCCGCCGGACGTCAAGGAAAGGGAGGAGATTTTTGGGATTTATGCTGCCAAGGTGCCCGTTGCTGAGGATGTGGATTTGGCGGAGTTGGCTGTCATTACGGATGGGTATACTGGCGCGGATATTAGAGGCTTGGTTAACGAGGCGGGTCATGTTGTGTTTACGGAGAGGGGAGGGGAGACGGAGGGCGCTGTTATTGGGATGGAGCATTTGGTTAAGGCTATTGGTTTGAGAGGGCCGTCTGTGACTCCGGAAGTTTTGAGGAGGTATACGGAGTGGAGGCCGTCTCATAACTTTAAGTCCTAGGAGTTGGAACGATATGATGATAGATATGATAGACGTTGGGTAGAAAGTGAACGACTTATCATAATACCTCGGGGACCCATGTATTTCTTCTTCTATGTTACCCCCGCTTAATCCTGCTTGCCAAGCTTGCAAGAAAAAAAAATGATATTATTCTGGCATTTCTTTTCTTGACGCATGAAAACAAGTACCCCTTTAGTATCTATGATACTATCTATGCTACCATCCGCTATCCGATACAAGAAGCGTAGAATATTTGAATCGTACACACAAATACATTGATTCGGCTGCTCGGCGACTTCACAGCAGCCACTTCGCGTAGGTCAACACGATATCCTCCATCGTCTTCTTCTGGAACGGAACGACCCGCAAGTTAACCAACTCATCAAGGTCGATGAGGAAGTCCTTCCTAGTGTCCTGCGGCATAGTCTGCGGCACAATGTTCCGAAGGATATGAACCTGGCAGAGGAGGTTCCCTATCTGCTCGTACGTCATAGTCTTCTCCGGCGTCAGATCCGCCTTGGCGAGCATCCGGTTTATCGTGCGCACGGCCCGCATGGTCTTGGAGGTCCTGTCGCGCTGGCGCAAGCCTACCCTTCCAGACATTACGCCTCGGATGTACTGGTAGACGCCGACGGAGATGAGGATCCCGGGGGTGAGGGAGACGAAGCCGAAGACTAGTTCCTGGCTCTTGAGGAGGGCGTCGATTCCGCCGAGGGCAACTTCCATGTCGACCTTGCTCTTCTGGACCTGGATAAGAAGAGATCGCACGAGGTCCCCCTTCACGGCGCCGATGAAGGGCTTCCTAAGATCCTTCTCGTAGGCCTTGAGAACAGGTGTCACGTCTCCGTGGACGACCCGAGAGCGGATGTCAGCCACCTGAGCGTCCGTTAGAGCCACCGCCGAGCCATCTGCGGTGGCGAAATGGGGCTTATCGACGGCAAAATCGACAACCATGCGCTCTAGGCTCTCGAGGTCTGCCCTGAGGCTGTCGCGACTCATGAGCGTAAGCTCTCGATTCTCGTCGTGTCGAATGGTCTTGATAATCTTCCGTGCGGGGTCAATAACCCAGTTGCTCCAGAAGTCCCTAACGGTTAGGCCAAGGTCCGCAATCGCTTGGATGATGTCCGCCTTCCGGTTAGTAAGGAAGCGAAGGATCATACTCGACGAGAGGAGACCGATAGTAGCCGGGAGCCAATACCTGACCCAGATCGATGGACGCCCGTGGGTCTTAATTACAGCCCTGGTATCGGCGGCCTGGCGAGGTAGTCGATGTTGCAAAATCGTGAGCAGTCGGTTCGCAAGCCGGCGGGGTGGAGAATCTTGTTCCTCATCAAGCTGATTTAAGAGCTCCGGGTCATTGTCGACAAAACGGAAGATTCCCTCTTCGAAATCAGATACTGTGCCGTCAATGTTTGCCGTCTGGACCATGACCGTCTCCATGAGTGAAACGCTTCGTTCGAGCACATCCTTCCATTCTCCCCTGTTGAAATCGAGACCTTCGTGAACTAGCGCGCCGACTCCACAAGCGATATTCTCCTTCAAGCGACGGATCTGGTATGCTTTTTCCCGTGCCTCTGCTTGACATAGTGCGATCGGTGATAAGATGCGGTCTTGGATGTTAACGAGAGACCTATCTTGGACCGTTGTTCGTACGATGTGGTAAAACTTCCTCCATCGATCCGACATGGACATGCACTTGATAGAGTCCTTTCGACTCACGGCCACATGCTCTTCGTCGAGCTCGTCTTCGGGTTTAAGTTCCGGGGAATACATGGAGCGTATACGATGGGTGCTCTCATAATATACATCTCTCGTGAAGCTCCACAGCTGGAGCGGAGATTTTTGTAGCCAAAGGAGGAAACCAAGCCTATATGAGCGTGATATGTCGTCCCAATACCACAGGTGGTCCTCGAGCGAGATGTTCTGGTCAATCAGAGTCTGCAGAATAGCACCGTAAATCTGCATTGCAGCCTTCGCAAGAAGGAGCCACTCGATTTCAGTCTCAAATGGATTTGGTAGCTCGCCGTCAACAGCTCCCGGAGTGAATTTGAAGGTGTCATGATGCATAGCAAGTTGAGATTGTATGAGAAGCTGCTCGATCCTCCATGTAGGTAAGAGAGGGTCAGATGATGAAGGCGTTGAAAGCGCCTTGAAGATCCGGACCAATTCGGCTACTCGAGGCGACTCGAGTGCCGTGGCAACCAACACGCCCTGCTCCTGGAGAGAGACCTGTTCATCTTCGGTGACGACGAACAGGTCATGGTCTCTCGATATGGAGTTGAGCTGTGTGTTGATGGCCCAGACACGGCTGTAAGAGGGGGTCAGCAAGCTGCGAAAAACCAATCTCCCCAACAATATAATACCACCACCCATGAGAGAACTGGATCAATTACTTACTCGCCTATCACGGACATGGTGATGGATTGCGCCGCTCCACGAGGAATGGCATGAAGGTGAGCGAGTGTCTTGATACTTGAAGTAGCTGGAGCTGAGGATAAAAACACGCGATTACACCTCGTCTATTCGGAAAAGAGCGGGTGACCCAGCCAGCAGGCAAAAATTGCCTAGCTCCACAGATGGTCTAGGCACACATTCAAGAAGGATATGGAATTAAAATTAGATGCAGAGAGGTATTCTCATCATGTCGTGAAAGACCATCACCAAGCAGCCGAAACTGAGGGGATCAGGGACAGACAGAGTGGTGAGGTGAAGGTGAAAATACGGAATGGTAGTTTGAATGATATGGAATATCCAAGATCCACTTTGGCCCCGGCGGGCAGCTGGTAGTTACTCCGTACTGTCGATGGCTTATGTGATGCTAGAAACTAGAACGGAACCAACAATAAACGGTCCAGTCTTCCGGCAGATATCGTAACCAGACTATACTCGCCAATCTCGTCTTATACAAATATATATACGGAACAAGGGAACAAGAGCATGTGGCCAGTTTCTTGTTTAGTGAAATGGGAATGACGTCTGGATGGAAAGGTACCTGTTGTCGTGGAGCAATGAGGAATTGAGTTGGCGGAGTTTGAGTTTCCACTGACCGCTGATGGCAGGGAGCGTTACATAAACTAGAAAGGTCACTGCACTGAACAAGCAGTCACTGTTGCACTGCTGCAGCTGTGCTGTCAGAGCCCCAAGCTGGCTACTGATCACAACGGCCAACGCCTGCACCACGATTGTACGAAGTAATTGCCACTGCGCTACGATGCATATGCACCCCGCCAGCCGCCTAAGAGATCCCAATGTTCCAGGTGCCTGGTCCACTGATCAATTCCAATTTCCCACCAAACTTATTGATCCGAGTCCCAAGTTGGCCAACAATTGAGGCTGTCTGCACGTGTATGACATAACGGTGTCCGCTCCGGATTTAATCCTCGTCCGTTGCCATCAAATCCAAGTCTTCCATACAAAATCCTGGAAATCGTCAAAGGTGGCTTATCCTCAAGACTGTCTTTCAATATTTCAACCTCGCCGTTCGAGCCCTTCCCTGAAACACAAGGCCTCGCAACAACTGGTCTCCCCATATCCACTGTCGCCAGGACCGCCTCTCGAGGATCCCCACCACGATAGTGCTAGAGTGCTAGTCTAATCTGCGCTAGACTGAGGGCCTAACGAAACATCATCAAATCAATCATTGATCAAGGGTGGGGACCGTCACCACTTGACCACTGAAGCCGTTTCCTCTGCGACTTCGCTGCCATTGCCGAATACTCGCATCGAGATCCATTCCACGCCCCAGGAAAAAGACAGCTTGCATCGCTGCTGCAGACGACCAGCCGCTGCTTCGATTGAGCGTCCTTGAGCGACGACTGCTCAACCATCTCCGACGACACAACAACTCGCCACTCCATCCTATCCTTGTGTGGCCCAATTCGCTCAACGCCCGACAAAATCCGTCCTTGCCTTAACCAGAGAGTACGTTGCAATTCCGGATAGCCTCGATCGACTTCTCCCCCCTTTCGCCTCTTCACCACCAGCCAGGCACCCGCATTCTGCCCACCGACTCCAAACCTCCAACTTCCATCATACCTCGACATTGCTGAGCTGACAATCCGAACCAAGTTAAACTAGCGAATCCCATCGCAGCCGATCGAGATGTCGAGCAACACTCGGAACTACGACTTCCTCGTACGTCTCTCCCTACTCGCCTCCCTCCCTTCTCCCGTAGCATTTATCCCCTCGTGGGACGCGTTTACCAGCTAGAGTACGGGCGGGTTTTGTTGGGACCAGATATTAACACTGCTTTTTTCGTTTTCTTTTTCCTAGATCAAACTTCTCCTTATCGGCGATTCCGGTGTAGGAAAGTCATGCTGCCTCCTCAGATTTAGCGAAGACTCCTTCACCCCTTCGTTCATTACGACGATTGGTATCGATTTTAAGATCCGCACCATCGAACTTGACGGAAAGAGGGTGAAGCTTCAGATTTGGGATACCGCCGGCCAAGAACGCTTCCGGACCATCACGACAGCGTACTACCGAGGTGCCATGGGTATTTTGCTTGTCTATGATGTCACCGACGAGCGGTCCTTCAACAGTAAGTCACGGATGCTACCTGTTATTTTTCTTAATTCCTCTAGGGTTACGGCGCACGGCACGGACTCTCGCGACGGGTCAGGTCCTCATGCGCAAGGCGATGCATGCGAATCTGACATTTTTATTCTCCACTTCTAGACATCCGGACTTGGTTCTCCAACGTAGAACAACACGCTAGCGAGGGCGTCAACAAGATTCTGATCGGCAACAAATGTGACTGGGAAGAGAAGCGTGTCGTATCGACAGAACAAGGCCAGGCCCTCGCCGACGAACTCGGTATCCCCTTCCTAGAGGTCTCCGCCAAGAACAACATCAACATCGACAAGGCTTTCTACAGCCTCGCCGCCGATATCAAGAAGCGACTCGTGGACAGCGCCAAGAACGAGCAACCGAACGCTGCGGTCAACGTTGCGGAGAAGGGAGCCGGTGGCTTGGGTGGAAAGTGCTGCTAGACGAAGGGAATATACGGTGCTTCGATTAATCATTTCGCGCCCTGCGCCCTGCCTGTTTCCGATAAACTCGTCCGTTGTTCAGCCCCCCTAGTCATGCACACCGCGGTCCACGTATACACACACACAACATACATCACCACAAGTTCTCGTCCACCTCCTTACCCGGATTTTAGTTTCCCGGCACCGATTGTACCGAAGACAGCAAACGTACGGCGATACGCGAAAGAATGAGATAGATGCTTGATACGCCCTTTTTTCCTTTTTTGAGACACAGGTTTTCGAGGGAGGCAACAAATGTCTGAAAGAGGGAAAAAAAAAAAACTACGGAAGAGAAACGGAGTTTCATGTCGTGTGCTTGTGATTCGGCTTCAACTTTTGTTTTCCTCCCCCCAAAGTCGCTTTTACCATGGACTCTTCACTGGATCCTTTACCTCTTTACCGGCAGCTTGGTTTGTTAGTTTTTTTATTTAGAGAGATGATTGTCTGGTTTGGAGTTTGGTATTCAATCTGGGTTTAATACAGACATTCCAGTCGTTGTTTTATCTTGACTTTTATCACGGTATCCTTCTTCCCACTGCGCATCGAGCGAAGAGTTCTGTGATATATCAATCGTCTATTATCTATTTAACTTTTGTCTAGGGGTATCTCGTAATGACAAAATAACTACCATATCAACGAAGCGTTCATTACGCTTACACGAGACTCGTCATCCTTGACGTTAAGCCTACGTCTATGCCAGGAGCGGATAAACCTTCGCGCGTCATGTACGGTGTGGAAAGAGAGAAAGAATCTTGAGAAGTGGTCCTCCCGGTGCTTCTCCTTCCAAGGTTCCACGGCCTGCGCAGCGGCCTCGTCACTTGCAGACGCCACGGCAGGTCCCGCCCCGGCTGCATCTGCTACAGGTGGTGGTGGTACAACACGTGGTACCTCGCCCTTTAGGGTTACCGCAATGCCGCCTCTACCCCAAGACGAGCTCAGTTTCCACGGCAAGTTGCGACGCTCGCCATCAGCTCCGATTAGCGCCTTGAGCTCCTTCAGGGTCAATTGGTGGCCATCCAGCTTGACGAAGACGATATTCCTCGTGTCAAGGCCATGGCGAAGGACGTCTTTGGAATGGCGAGAGCCGGCGATTTGCTGGACGGCATTGGCTCCCTGGACGAGCTCCACGGTCATCAGCGAGGCATCTGGTGGCGCGAGAGTCATGCGCACCTTCTCCTCGGGCGTGACTTCGGATGCGACGAGTCGCTCAAGTTCGTGCTTGTAAGCGACGGCTTCTACCACGGAGGAGAAGTGAAGGAGATACTTGTCCAATGGCTCCTTCGTGTCGGGGTGCCGTGCTTGAATGGCTATTTATCTCGTGTTAAGGAAAGAAATAACTTCACATGGGAAGAGTGAAACGAACCTTGCATCGTAGACCAAGCACGGCCATCGAGGTGCGCGCTCCTCGGCGCAACACGATAGAAGTCACTTGGTAGGGTTGACCTGCTCCCATTCCTGATGATGAGCACGGCAGGCTCGTTGGCCGCAGGGGCCGCGAGGTTTTCATTCACGTCATGATCCCCCTCATTTACAGACGTGATATCCTCAACCACGGATACATCCTTCCCGGTGGCGGCATTACTGCTGACCAGATAATCTCGGGATTTTGCATTGGCCGAAGGACCAGGACCCAGACCGATCCTGGTAGTGCGGGGCGTCACACCCGGAACTTCACCGGAGGGAAAGAGCTGATCAAAGATGGAGCTCGAGGCTGAGGTCCCGTTGGTGGATCTAGGAGTTCGGCGAGGCTTGTTCCCAGATCGCACGGTCGAGGTTGAGAATCGGCAGACGACGGAAGAGGAGATACGCTGCGCTTCACGCCATTGGTTAGGGATGGGGGGGAAGATTGTGTCGTTGGTTGACCTGCGTAGTGGGGCGCTAGGCACCCGAATTCGAGGGACCCATTGCTCGAGCCGGCAGATAGGCATCCGAAGAAGGAGAGGTTAAAAAATAAAAAAGTTGGGAATTGACGAATAGATGATAGGTCCCAGCGGGAATGGGAGGGAAAAAAAGCGACGAGGGTAGGGGAATATGGGGAGATGGGTTGCGGTTCTTTCCCTTACAGGCAGGCAAAGCAAGGGTCGTAACGGATATGCGGGTTTGTCTAGACCAGATTCCACAAGAAAGGCGGTGGGTAAAAGTATCAATGGGTTCCGTGAGACCAATCTAAGAAACTGGGCAGTTTTGTTTCCACTAAGAGCGCAATTGGCAAAAGTGTTTGGTGTCTGCCTGCCTCACATGCAGAGAATATCCGTTGTCGTAATTTGTATGGCGTCGGTCGATGCGGGTGGGCCTCTTGCCGATGAGCCCGATATGAAGTGATTTTTGGCTTCTTGGCAACAAGACTTGGAAAGGGAGGGTATGACAAGTGCTGTCAGCAGTTGGCAGCCGTGAATATTTCGTATTCGGGTTCGTGATGTGGGTCCGGAACCGGGAAGCAGAAGGGAAACCTCGACTTATTCTGGCACCACCAGTTCAACGCACCAGTCAACGACAAGAACCGTCGAGCTTCTTTGTGCAGTGTACGTACTCGCAGTGGGCTCCAGAAGGGTGGTGCGGCGCGAAAGTCCTCTAATTCGAGCACCCTCAGGAGACAGGAAAATCTCGTACCAGTACCCCGAGTCTCCTGATTCTTCCCATCGACCCTAACAAATACTACGGCTCATTCAGGGGTCTTCACATTGTGATGTACACTACCTTTTCGCAACTTCTTTTGGAATGAAGCCCCCAAGTTCGACAAAAAATTAATACATCATCTAATGTATCCTGCGATCTGATAAAATCTCGGGAGCCCCCAACAACTTCAGAGTCTCTTTCAATCACCATCGCCCTTTCCATCTTCACATTCGCCACTCATTCTCGTTCTTTCCTCTCCTCTCCGGTCTCTCCCCTCCCCTCAGTCTATTAGTAGGCGTCTGTCCTTTCTTTTTTGCCTTGTTTTTTTTGGGGAGTCTCCTCTTCACTCTTGTCTTTTATCCCTGAATATCTCTACTCCTGTTTTCTGTTGAATTTCGCCCGGGTTGCCCGCGGAAACCGTCGCGATGGATCTTCTCGTGTAAGTCTTGACAAGACATGACATGTCTCGGAGCGATTCGAACAAAAAGAAATACTGACAATGGCCGTCTTTTACAGCGATTCGTCAACAATACATCTAAACCAAACGCAAACGACCCTCTTCGGTGTGTACGACGAAGTGTCCAAGTACAATGTCCAATTGAACATCGCCGAGCGCCTTTGGGCTGTACGTTTTCTCACTTCTACCGGCACCTCGAGATTCGGTGCTCTCAATTTCATCAATTGGACTTGCGCTAATATGCCGCGTTCTCGTATAGGCTTGGTATCTTTGGATGCAGAATGACACCCTTGCTACGGGTATTCTGAGTTTCGTCATGCATGAGGCTGTCTACTATGGCCGATCTCTCCCTTGGATCATCATTGGCATGATCCCCTACTTCGATAAGTGGAAGATTCAGAATGTATGTTTTATATCGCGCGTTGTGCTCTCAAAGATGGCATGGTGCCGTCTTTCCGCCAAAGAATCGATCGCGCTAACCATGATTTTTGTGATAGCTGAAAACTCCCAGCCTGAAGGAACAAGCTCACTGCGCTCTCGTTGTCCTCTTCAGCCACTTCACCGTCGAACTCCCTCAGATCTGGTTCTTCCATCCCGTCGCGACCTGGTGCGGAATGGACTATGGCGTGCCTTTCCCCCCTATGTGGAAGATGGCCTACCAAATCTGCATCTTCTTCGTCATGGAGGATACCTGGCACTACTTCGCCCATAGGTCGCTTCACTACGGCCCTCTCTATAAGGCCATCCACAAGCTCCACCACTACTACTCGGCTCCCTTCGGTCTCACCGCCGAGTACGCGTCGCCCATCGAAGTCATGATTCTCGGTCTCGGCACCATCGGCTCGCCCGCCATCTGGGTCTACTTCACCAACGACCTCCACCTCTTCACCATGTACGCGTGGATTTTCCTCCGTCTCATCCAGGCCGTCGATGCCCACAGCGGTTACGACTTCCCTTGGAGCCTGAGGCACTTCCTCCCCTTCTGGGCCGGTGCCGACCACCACGATCTCCACCACGAGAAGTTCATTGGCAACTACGCTTCCAGCTTCAGGTGGTGGGACAAGATCTTGGACACCGAGGCTACTCAGGAGGCCCGCAAGCGCCGCCGAGAGAAGAAGCTCGCCGAGTTCCAAGCCAAGAAGAAGCAGTAAATTCGATATCGAATTCCGATCGAATCATTAACCCCCTTTGGGAAACCGAGATGCCGAAAAACGCCCTTCGCATACTTGAAGTAGCGAGGTAATGGGTTCGGCCTGTAAATAGATGTCATTGTGGATGGTTTAGAGACGAAACCGTGTTAGGGCGGCTAGACCCTCGCAGGTCTTGACCCTTATCAAGAGGAGAACGATTGTGACGAGAATGGCGATGGATCCATGGGAAGGATCTACCCGAAAATCACCGAATTGGGCGTTGCGAATGGCATGAGAACATACATTTTTTTGCTTCTGTTATTCCTGCACATAATCTGGGCGATTCTAATAGTTACGACCACTTTAATAATTACGAGTTAATACAAAAAAAAGTTCTGATTATTTGTTCCGTTGTCCAAAAGAGAGAATGAGGTTCCTAGTTCGTAAGTGTTACAACAAAATAGTATACGCATGGTGTAAGCGCAAAGTATTACCTGCAACGACCGCACTCTCACCACATGGCAGTCCGGTGTGTTATTTTTATCTATCATACATGGACAAAATACCCCAGTCCTCACTTCCTAGGTGCACAGCATTCTCCAGCAGAGCTAGTGGCACGGCCAACCAGATCCGATGACTGGGTCCCGGATGACGCCTCTCCCTCAGACGGTATCTCTCCGAACGCCTTGGCCAGGTCGTCACAGATCACGGCCAAGGATATGTCCTTTTCGGAAAGACCCTTAGGATTGTGAGTGGTCCAGCGGATGAAGGTTGTATTGAAGACCTAACGCTGCGATGAGGTTCTGGAGCTGAGATGATACTTTGGAGGAGGTAATCTTGAGGAAGAGGAGCTTACGTTGGACCATTCGGGATGGTGGTTTTGTAGTTTACATTGAAGAGAGACGGCTGTCATAAAATCCTACAAGAAATTGAGCATAAAACAAACTTCATGATGGAGGAGGCGAGAAAATATGGCCTAGAGTGTTCCTTGCGTTGAGCGAGACATACCCACGTCTTAGCAAAAGTCTTGAACTTAAAGGACCGCTCGATCCCCTCTCCGCTCGGGGTCAGACTCCACCGACTCGCGGACCGCGAGATGAGCGGCTCCAAGGAAGAGTTTAGGGCGGCTGTGTCAGAGCCGGGAGAGAAGTTGGGGGTTATGCTCGACATGAGTCGATGGCGTGAGGTTTGAGGCAGACTGATTCTAGCGGGGAATGAAGCCACGAGAGGACGCGCTTTGAACATGGCGGACGACAGGAGGAAGAGGACGGAAAGGCGGAGGAGGGGTGAGGGGCAGCGGGATGGGATGCTATTAGGATGGAGGTTCGATGGGAATGCATGTGGCGGATGTTGTACACACTACTCTCTGTACGCTGTGGAGAGTTGGTTGCTCCAAGAGATTTTTTGGTTCGTCAAGGGCGCGACTCGAGCTACGTAAGCGACTTCTTTATAGTAAATCGAACTTCCATCGCAGACGAAGTCCAGAAGACCCCGGCATCCAAGCTCAGAAAAAAGAATCCAAACTCGTCCCTTATAGCACTCTAGTCTAGGGAACTAAGTACTGCCCTTGTTATCCTCCAGAAGAATACCTCGCGCTGGGGAAGAAGCTCAGAGCTCAGTTGTCAGTCAGCAGGGGAGCACAGCATTAAATGACCTCATGATCACCAAACCCTGGGGCCACCTTCTCACTCGCGCTCAGCCTTATTGAGACCTCCAAGAAACCCAGTGGTTACAAGTTCCTATATGCGTCTTCCCACAAAGCCGTCTAAAAATGCTGGACTCTTCAAAGTTTCATTTAAGAACATGTCTGCCGCCATAGTCGAGTTCCAGTGCCCAACCACCTGTTTTCACGTGCCTTGCAGAGTATAAAGTACCCAAGACTTGGCCGATGGAGGAACAAGCAAAGGTGAGAAGCTTTGACCAATCCAGTCTTGTTGCCCAATGTAGCATTACATAACTTCATGTTGTGAGGCGGACAATGACGGCATAGTGAAACGAGTCATATCAAATTTGATTTTTGGTGTTTGGGCTCAATCAAGTCAATATTTGGTGTGTTCCGGATGACAAATCATGCTGCAATTTTGGGAAGGAGTATTACGTACGTGATTAGCTCGCGTCACCCCCTCGCGTCTTAAGTACTAGGTACCTATTGTCCCATAAATGTTTCCTTTAGTCTGACGTAGTTAGTACATCCTCGCCCCAACCTCGCACAGGTCGGTTCCCATCGTTTCCGGGTAGCGAGCCACTGGAATTTTCTCGGTCATTTCTCACCACATTTCCCACCCACCCCCCCGAGCTTAATCCCATTCCCCCTCCCCCTACTAGGCTGACATATGTTCTCATATCCTCCCTCCTCCCACCTCTACGATTTCCACCCTGCTTACTCAGAAACCCATCCGCGAACAGCTCAAGCACCCCGCGCTGTGAATGCTTCGAGATTGAATTCATCGAGCACGAACGATGGCCACATCTACTTCACCTTCTGGTAAGTGAAGCTTTCTATCTGGATTCCAATGCGCATGCCTCCCTTGATCTCTTTTGCCCTTCGCGACATCGACATCCAAACCTCTTTGCACTATTCCTCTACTATCTCGACTGCCGACCGACTGCTTGGTCATCATCCCAGCGCGGTCGGTTCTCTCGGGCTTTTGCTGGCGAATCTCATGCGCCAGCTCTCTCTTACATACACTTTTTGCGCCGCAAGGGTTCATCACCTAAGCTGAGCGTTTTCCGCTACACCCGTTTGTCTTATTAATCGCGATGCGATGTCATCGCAAATGGTGAGAGGCGCGGCAAGAGGATGATGGAAGGACCCCGTCGATAAAAAAATATCGCGAGGGCTCAACACCACGCTTCATGCGCCCTCGGCACTTTTTGCCCTAAAGCGCTGGGATGGATGCGACGATCTCCTCCGCCCAGGTGCGGAGATCCACTGCGCCTTCCTCCCTTCACCAATCTGCTTATTCATCTCCATTCCACATCGTTCCTTCCGCCGACGACCATGAGCCTGGATCGTGCCTTGGGTGAGTCGGAAGGAACTTGTGGCACTGGCCGGGTTGCGAACATTCGCGACGACCCATTCCCAATCAGCTCGGCAGTCGCTTGACCTAGCGCAGATAAGATATCCTAAGCCTTGATTCTTCCCCGGATTCAAGAGAGTCTTGTTTTTGTCGATGCTCCTGTAGTGACGCACCCCAGTCCCCTCAATCATTCGTTTCACCCGCCTCTCTTTGTCAAGGTCGCTGCGTAGTCGCGGTTTTTTTTTTGTTTTTGTTTCTCTCTCGCGCACTCTCCACCCCGCTCAGAAAGCTCTCATCGATCTTGGTCTCGTTTATAAATCTGGAGCGCGATCGACGTCAGTGCTGACATAACATGATGCTAGATCTCCCAGATGCTGCGCTGCAGGCCAGCCTTGAATTACTAAGGTCGCACGCCACGGCCTCACCAACTGGCGGAGATAACCAGAGTCCTCCTGAGGCCCAGGCAGAGTTGTCGCCCCATGCATACGGCGACATTGGCGCCGTCGCAGGCCAACAAGGTCGCCCTGGCGTCGATGTTCAGCAACAGCAGCCGCAGCCACAGCCCAAGGAAGAGGACTACATTCATCCCGATCTTCGTGGACCTTCGTCTGCCATAATGCCCACGGCGAACCACCTAGCACCAGCGGCGCATATGATTCCTAGCAGCAATCTACCGTTACCGCCGCTGCCACAAGCTGACGTCGCTCCCGCACCGGTCGTCGATCAACAGATGCTGGCCCCTGCCCCTGCCCCTGTTGCCGTTGCTCCTCAACAAGCACCTCCTATCCCCCAACCCCAGGAAGAAGCTGGAAGCCGCCGGGGTAAGAGAGAATTGTCCCAATCCAAGCGCGCCGCCCAGAACAGGGCAGCTCAGGTACGTAAATTTGATAGCCAGTTCTTTAAGAGGCGACGAATTACTAACTGCCTGATATAGAGAGCTTTCCGTCGACGGAAGGAGGAGTACATCAAGAAACTGGAGGAGCGCGTTGGCGAGGTTGCGCGATATGAGCAGGCCTACCGCTATCTCTCGTCTCAGAATGCCCTTTACCGGGAATACGTGTCTATGCTACAAGCAGAGCTCCTGGAATCCCAAGCAAAATTCCCGTCTCCCCCGCCAGGCCTCAACCTGAACCCCGAGCCAACGGCCGCCCCCGAACAGCAAGCCCAGCTCCAGCCGCAGACGACTGCTGCCGCGCCTGAGCCTCTCGCAGCCATTGCCCAGGCAGTCATGACACCCCCGGCTCCCATGGGTGATCGCCCGCAGCCGCAGCAGGAAGTCCCGAATGACCAGAACGACCAGGAGGACATCGACCGACAAGTATCGATGCAAGTGGACGGTCTCGCCTAGTCTGTATACCCTCCCTTGCCGGACGATTTCTTCGACCTGCTTTGAAAGGAGTCGCGCACTATGTCATTCACGATAGGAATTATCCTTCCTTTTTTTTTCCCCATACATTCGACGATTTCCTTGCCTCCGTCTGCTTTTTTCTTTATTTTCTTTTAAAGGCGTTGTGGTTTACAGTCCTCGAGACTCCGAGGAAGCCAGTTTAGGTCCCAGGCGTTTTTCGGAAAAAGAATATGAGGCTCTTAACTTCTTTCTTGTACCCCTCTCAAATGGCATTGATATTGAGAGTTTTCTTTCCGGCGGTCAACTTGTGATTCTCTTTTAACGCAGCTTTCTTCTTTCTTGCGTCGTCCCTTTTTCTCATATGTAAGAAACTCGTTTTTATCATCGTACTGTTCCCGTTGAGATTGGCCCATTGGAGATGGATTCGGATTCGAATGGGATATGGGCGAGGGATAGATTTTACTATGAGATTCGACAGCAAAGTCGCCCTTTCCAAAATGTTTACTTGTTCCTATAACAGTGTGAAGTTGAGTGAAGGTATCTGCTATGTTGGTCCATTCGGAGATGTTCATCACAGGGATGGCCTATGTCCAGACGTTTGCATTAACTTGTTGTTTGTCGTCTGGCAATCACTGCTTTTCCCCTCCAGATGCTACCTCAAACAAAACACTTTAAACAAATCCCGAAAAAAGATGAACAGATAATTGCTTTGCTTCCTTCCGATTTCCGTTTCAAACACCATCCACCGAAAAAGCACCCCGATCTCCATGAAAGACGAAGAAAAGAAAGAACCACCTAACCTTAACAGCGCATATTTTCAGCCTTTGCCTTCCTTTGAAGACTGTTTCTCTCCATTATCTGTGTTGAAGGTTACTATACAAATGCATTGCCAAGGTTGTGCTCCTAAAGAGAGAAGAAAAAGTTAGCAAAAAGGAACATGTAAAATGTCCAGGGGTGAAGTTGATCAAAACCATACCTTGAAATACTCAGACCCCTTCTCCTCATACTCCTGTCTCGACACAGCAGCACCCCTATAAGCCGACGTCCCCGCCCACCTCGCCGCGCCCTTCCACGCATCAAGAATAGCATCCTTCGCGGGGCGCAGAACCAGCGGCGACCCCGCAGGCAGCAGGGCCCTTAGCTCGTTCCGGAGACGCTCGTCGAAGTTTTTAAAGAGCGTGTTGCCGCCCGTAAGGAAGATGTCGCGGAGGAAGTCGTCGCGGTTGGGCATGCCGCCGAGGCGCTGGTTGAGGATGTCCCCCGCGATCTCCACGAGCCCGGCCTGGTCGACGCCGGCGATGGAAGGTTGGAAGAGGACCTCGGGGACGCGGATGCGCTCAACGTTGAGGTGGATCTGGTTGAGTTCGGCCTGCGAGGACGGGTTGAAGGGGCGGGGTCCGCGCGACCAGGCGTGCAGGAGGGATTTGCTCCAGTCGGCTTGGGCCTCCCAGGTGTCGTCGTAGTTGAAGTCGTCGTCATAGAGGAGGAGGTCCTGCTCGAGGGTCGTGAGCTTGCCCAGGAGGTCTTCCTCCTCGTCGTCCGAGGGGTTGTCGGCGATGTCGCGGTACACGCCCCAATCCTCGTCATCGGCGCCGAAGGTGTCGTCGTCTCCGCCTCGCCGCCGCTTCTTGGTTGGGTTGTCCGAGGCGAGGTTGGCTAGGTTCTTCATGCGCATCTGGGAAGCGAGGGATTTCCGGTTGCCGAGGTCCTGCTTCAGGCGCTCCTTTTCCTTCATCTTCTGTAGAGTGTCGGCGCGTGCTTGGTGGCGTTCCTGCAGCCAGGACTCGAGGTCGTTCTCACGACGCTCTTCGTCCTTTCGCTTCTCGTCTGCTATCCTGGCCTTCTCGGCCTCCTTCTCAGCCTTTGCTCGTTGGCGGGCATCGTAGTTAGCTTTCGCCAGCCTCTGCTGCTTCTTGGCTTTAATACCGGCGTCGTCGAGTTCCTCGTCAGGAATATCGAGCAGGTCAAAGACAGGCACCTCCGCCTCTTCCTCATCGCCTCCTACGTCCTTCATACGGCCTTTCCGTACGGCCTTGTCGAGATCTCTGATAATCCTCTCCAGCGCCACTTCATCCTTGAGGTCGTTGTCGTCTAATAGACGCTTGGTTTCCTTCTTGTTCAGGTCAGGCAGCTTCTCTTGAATCTTCTTATACCGGTCAAGCTGCTTCTCCTTTTGCATGAGCTTCTCGAGGCGCATCTTAGCAGCCTGCTCCTGTAGTCTTCGACCATTTTCCCTCTTCTTCTCCGCAATGCGATCCAACTCCTCCTGGCTCTTTTGTATGACCACCTCCTCGGTGTACGGGTACTGAATCACTATGTCGCGATACTCTAGGCCGGTCCAATCGAGATAGCCTCGAAGCTCCTGGTTGTAATCCGTAGATACATATCCATAGTCGCGCAGCATGTACTCGGCCTGGGAGTGGTTGAGCTTTCCTGAGAAAGATGGATACTTGAGCCTGATTAGCTTCAAGAGATATTCTGCCGCGTGCCATCCGCCCCAGTTAAGGCGGGTGGCTTGTGCCAACATGGCCTTCGAGTTGTACACAGGTATAACGTGGGTCGAGGTATAGGAGGATGACACCACCAAGCCGGTTTGGCCACCGTTGTAGTTGTAGGAGAAGAGAGAGTCGATCCCGTAGGTAACGGAGGGTACACCGTAGCACTCGAACAGGATTTCCGTCATGGCTAGATGAGAGAGAGAGAGAATTAACGTCAGTCAAAGTAACTTCGGGGTAGGTCGGGTGGCGGGATGAAAGGAGACACCTACTTTTACGGGAGTAAGGTAGGTTAGCGACCGCCTCGGTCATTAAGATAGGCATGTCAATGGCGCCATCCACACCATTCATCCCAAGCTTGAGAAACACATAGTCTAGAACGTGTTCCATGACATCCCACGAACTGACAATGCCGGTTCCAGCCTCAAAGGCATACCGCACATGGCCCTTGGCCGTCGTGTCGGCGTAGCAGTCGGATCCGGCGAAGGAGTATGTCTTGCCAAGCTTGCGGTCACGGTATTTAGCCATAATCGGGGGGATGCTAAGCCGGGGAGTGTCTTCGAAGGACCAGCCGGCTCGTACGTGTGAGGAGCCTGGGAAATCGGTCGATCAGCGAGCTGTACAGGTTTTACGAGGTGGGGGAGGACTGGAGATGCTCACCATTGTCGATGACAATGACAGCGCCACCGGATGGTTGCGCTAGAGCCTTCTGACGTCCGTCTTCTTGCACAGGTATTGGTTTTTCGAAGCGGGCTTCGCGGACGGGGAAGATCTTCGCGGGAGGATAGGTGCGCTCAGGCGGTCGCTTCTTGTCGGGAAGGATAAAGGAGCTCTCCTCGATTGCGGAGGGCGCCATTGTCAAGGGTTTTCGAGATCCCTTGGTAAAGGGCTAGCTGTTTGAAGCACTTGGGGAAACGAATATCGTATTGAGTCGATGATAGGTTGGGTGTTGCCGGTTGTGGGAGATGAAGCTTGAGAGCAAATATGTGGTGGTCGCAATGAAAATGGACGAGGAGGATGGGTTGGATAAGAGGGTGGAAGAAGGAAGGAGTTGGACCGAATTGGTCAGGATTTTTCACAGCTGCTATTAAAGTCACCCTGGCATGATTTTGGTGGTGAGCATGAACAAAAAGAACAGACAAGAGGCTGGCCTAGATTATGGTCGCATATTGGTCTAGGCCTTGGGAAGTGGTCGGTCGCCTCTCCAACTTTCACAAGATCAATTGAGCAATCGAGATCGGACAGTGTGAAGATTCCAGCTGGCAGCGCAAGGTAACAGCCCGAGCCAACTGGAGAATCCCCAGCACTACATAGTACCAGAGGACATCCACAGAAAACTGGTATGCAACCGATTGTGAGAAGAAAACAACAAGCCATGAACCAGAAACGTTTCTATATTCTTGTGGCTATCTAAAATCGAGTTGGTTCAATGGGGTTTGAATTCCAGCAATGAAATCCCACGACGGCCCTGATCCTCGAGCTCCTCCAGGCCAAGGTCCTAACACGCCGTCTCTTAATATGGATTGTATGGATTGCATGGCAGCAAGAGGCACCACGGACAGGAAGAATAAGTTTGTCCGCAAGTTGAGGAGATTCGGGTATCATGAGTCACATTAAAGGCGTCATTCGATCGTTAGGTACATCCAGCTTCACTTCTCCTGTTCGATCTTCATCCTCATTCCTCATGAAAATGTGGCCCCCGCTCCCCTCCCTCTCTAAAACAGCAGCACGTTCTCAGGATGGAGGCTGCAGGGTTTCCGTGGCTGGGAATGGGAAATCAGCAGTGAAACGCCAAAAAAATTACGGCGGTGGGCTTCCTACCTTCGAGATGGAAAAGGACATTGGACTGGTAGTTTTTGAACATCTGCGCCACAAGCTCGACGTTCATATTCTGGACGTTGATTTCCTGCTTGTTATTAGTTCCCAGATCTAAGGCCATCATGAAGTGCGCATGGGAAATCATATATACCTGAAGGGCCTTGTTCATAACAGCGACGGCTTCATTCAGTTTCTCCTAGTTCTCTTGTGAGCTCGCAGTCATGACGCGTATTGTTTTGTTAGTGGGGTAAAATACCACATTGGTGATAATTCGTGACAGCAGAAGATTCTGCTGGTGTTCATGAGGGCTCTCCTACATGCCATGTTAGAATCCAGGAATTTATTCCATGGCGCGAGTTTTTTATGGGCAGGTTTTCTCATACCATGATGCCTCGCACTTCTGCTCTTTGAATGTCCTGTGTCTGGTGTTGATGTTCACTGAGCTTGTGATGTTACTGGGAGATATGGGCTGGAGCAGGAGGCGGTAAAGAGCGGCAGAATTTATGGCAGTGGTCATCCATCAATAGCTTCCAAAGAAACTCGGCTCTCCACCACTCCAATTTCACACACTGCAACATTGAATCCTCTCCGAATCCTAGACAACGCCACCGCATATCTACTGACTTCGATCTTCAAATTTCTAACGCACCGAATACCCCTCCCACTCGACCCCCAACCAAAAAACGCAATGTCATCCGGTCCGACAGAAGCGCAGATCGCGCACCAGAAGCTCATTGACGAGCTCGACATCCACTCCATCCACAAGACCTTCCGCAACCCCAAATGGCGCCCCAACCAGCGCCGCAACAAGAACATAAAAGCCATCCTCGGCGACGCCTCGAGGCGCGAAGCCTCGGCCCTCGCCACCCCCCAGGACAACAGCGGGGCCGCGACGCCCAACGACGACGGTCTTTCGACGAGCGGAACCTCAACGCCGGCGGGGGCCAGCAACGGATCCCCCAGCTCGCTACAGCCTAACCTTGCGCAGGCGTCGCGGAGCTTGTCGAAGTTGGTGTTGGAGAAGTCGCTTCGTCCCGCTGGGGCGGCTACGGCTCCGAGCGCGACGTATACGAATATCGAGTCGGCGCCGTCTTTGGCCTATGCTAAGAGGTATTGCGACGTGACAGGGTTGCCGGCGCCTTATTTGGATCCGAAGACGAGGTTGAGGTATCATGATCGGGAGGTGTTTAATCTGATTAGGGGATTCTCGCACGTGGTGGCCGAGCGATACCTTGAGGCAAGGGGCGCTCATACCGTCTTGAAATAAGGGAAAGAGGCAGGCCCATGGCAGAATTTGTTCATGCTATTTGTTCGCCGGTGTTGTTCTTATTCACGCGCGGGACTGGAGTTTTATGGTTGCTGGATTACAGTCTATTGGGCTGGCGTTTCAAGGGTGTTTAACAGCAGGTGTATTTTGTAGGGACGTATCATTGTGTAAGGTCTATTACAGGACGAAGACGGAACAAGACGTGGCGAACTACGGCCAGCACACAACGTCTAGTCGATCCATTGAAAATTGAAAAGAAAAACTGCTATCTTTGCGTCTACTTCATTCAGTTCGTGTAGTTGAAAAGTCTAGTCTTTCCGAGACCTGTGCGGCCAAACAAAATCAAGCCCCAACTATGCACCCTCCACCTCTCGATGAAGGATGGCAGCTGACGCTCCGGCTTAATCGTGACAGCATGGTTTGCTCTCCGCCAAAGTCGACAAGATACCGAAGATGTATAGAGAAAACACATCTCAGTTGCCAGGTGCGCTAGGCAACCTGACCGTCGCGGCAGGGGATCGTCGAAAGCAGATAGAAAGAAATCAGCTTCCTCCTTTAGTATCACTTGATACTGCGTCGTTTCGATGCTCAATCGTAGTCAGAGAAGGGCAGGAATTGCTAAATCGCTCCAGTCCGGAATCGAGTGTCCTCAGAGCTGTTGACCTCGTTCTCTGTCAAAGTGTCGAAGTTGAGCCATGCTACGTGCCAAGGGCACAAGTAGCGAGCTTTTTGCCCGTGGTACGAATTCTTCAATTATCCTGCAAGCTCATAAGATAGGGCCTCGGGTGCTGTTCACGTTCGTTTTGTCCTCATTCTTCGTGGGAAGTTGGAGCGTGAGCTAATGTTGGTTGAGCAGAGAAATTTTTTGAGAGAAAATTGTCCCCAAAACTAATTTTCTTTTGGTGGGCCAGGGGAAAGGTCCAAGTACACTGCTTCGTACTTCCAAGTCGTACCAATTGCACACCAACCAACCAGAGGCCTGGCATATCGAGGCCAGGGGCTCCCCTGTTCCCGCCAAGTTTAGGCCTCGATTGCTAATAATACCTTGCCCCTGAGCCGCCTGGAGACCGCGGAGACCAGCGCACTGATCAATCTCGATTGCCACCACGCGGAAGATTGCCCAAGATTCTGCATACCAAGACCAAGGACGTCAAATTGCTTGTGACATTCGATCGAGTAATTAGCCAGTCCCCCCCGTGTTCGTTACATGGGTGCCGACTGAGAAAAAAGGAAAGAAAAAAAGAAAGTTTCTCGATATCTCAAAGCCTTTGTCCTCTCTCCTCATTCCTTCAACCCAATTCCACGGCCAGGCTCCCACTTTTCCATCCAAGCAGCCTCGAACAGGTAGCTTTGTCGAAATTCCAACGCTCTCGTCACACCCATATCAAAGGCAGCAAAAAAGACACCTTGCGCCTGCTTCCCCCACGATTTTCCCCAGTCAAAGCTTCGCCAAGAACATCGACAAGGCCCGCGCCTGAAACGCCGTGCTTTTCCTCGAACTCATCCATTTACCGAACGCTCGATTTAAACGTTCTACCCTCGAATTAGCTTCGAAGACCCCCTACTGCATCGCTGTAAATTTTCTTTCTTTCGAAATTGCCCAAAATGTCGTCCATGTGGTTATCAGATTCCCAAAGTACGTCGACGATGAGGGAATGCCCCCTTTTATCATGGGCGCTCACGTGTCGCTTGCGCAAATGCGTCGCATTGCGACTCGGGCAGTGATCCCGGGTCTTTGTGGGGAAGAAGTCGCTAACAGAATGGTCTTTCAGAGATCGGAGTCGCATTCTGCACCGGTGGTGAGTGTGCGCGTTGATACGCCCGGAGCTTCCGTCCGGCGATAGTACCTTGCCTACGCGGCTTCAGCACTAACTATCCGGTTTTATAGGAGGATTCTTCCTCATCGGAGGCGTGATGCTCTTCTTTGATCGGGCGATGTGAGTCGAGAGTTCCCTCGCATGGTGTACGGCAGTTCAGTCACTAACATGCTTCGTTTCCATAGGCTTGCCATGGGCAATGTACGAACTCCCTCCTTTCGCAAGATTTCTGCCTACAAATCCACCTGCTACCCACGCGCTTCTCGATATAGTCGGTTGCTAACATATCTGGGGATTCTAGATCCTTTTCCTTATCGGTCTGACAATCATAATCGGCCCCCAAAAGACGCTCCTCTTCTTCGCACGCAAACAGAAACTCAAAGGCACGGCAGCCTTCTTTGGCGGTCTCGCTCTTATCCTTCTGCGCTGGACCCTTATAGGGTTCCTTGTCGAGCTATACGGTATCATGGTCCTCTTCGGCGACTTCCTCGGTACGATTGCAGGCTTCGCGCGGAATGTGCCCGTCGTCGGACCTTATATCGGGATGGCTGTCGATAGGGCAGGCTTGGGACGAAGGAACGCCGAGTTGCCAGTATAAAGTGGCCTATAATGATGGTGCTCACTACAAACCTCACGATATCTATACCGTCGCACCATCTCCAGTCGGCTGATCAACCTTCGCCTTGCCGACCGTTTTCTCGACCGTCGTATCTCGATCGATTGGAGCTTCGTGCAAGGTATACTGATCGGGGACAACACAAAGGGACGATACCATGACATTATTGTTCTATTATCTGGGTGTTATTTTTTACAAACCACGAGTCTCGGTTTATACGTGGAAAGGTTTCTGGCCTGTCCTTTTTATTCCTTGGCTAATCTTGACGGCGTTTCTTTGAAGAGGATGTTTTATTAGACATGCTTTTCTCTGTACCATAATGGCGATGCAGGAGTTGGTAGACGGGGGCAAATTGAAGACGGGTCCGGAAAAGGGGGCAAGGGTAATTTAGGAAGATATTGTTTACTAATAAATAGCCACCAGAGTCGGCTCATTCCTGTTCTGTTACACTTTTTGCATCGCTCTTGACAGGCCAGAAGAGCCTGGGAGAAGAATCTTGGAAGGGCTTGAGAGAAGAACCTCGAGGGATTTCAGCAATCCGTTCCCTAACCGGGCTATCATGCCTGACAAGAGACGACAAAGGCCTCATCAACCTCACCATCTAATAAAAGTTCCGTTGAGTTCCATCAAGTTGCAGAACAAAAAGCCAAAGGTTTGACTGAATGGAGGAAAGATGTACCCGCCACTAAACCTCAATCTCCCTTCGACCTTACACCGGCATCCTCTAAACCGCCGCCCAGGCCTTACCATCTCGACATCAAGATGGGCGGGCCCCTTCAACAACCCACACCTGTCCATCTTCTTTGTTATTCCACCTTCGTATCAGGTCCTAGTAGCCGAGTCCAATGAGGTAGTCGGCAAGCTTTTCGACGACGTTGGCAGCGTTTCCGGCCTGGTGCTGAGGTCCGTAATGTCCAACAATGATGGCCTGGTTGGTCTTGACAATGGCGACACCGTCCTTGCCCTGATAGAAGAAAAAAGGCGTCAGTCTCAGGACAATAAGTAGATAACAGCCGGTAAGGGGGGGGAGCAGTAGAGAGCTTCCATACCTGTCGTCCGTACAAACTCCTGTCCTCAGCCCTGGTGACAACGTATCGCTCACCGCCAACGTGGAAACCATCGGCAAAGACGGCGTCGCGGTCACCGCCTAGTGCCTTGGCGATCGTCTTGCCCTCTTCGGGGCTGATCTATATCATAGGAAAGTCGTAGCAATTAGTATATCGTCCGCCCGGAATGTTGAAGAGGCATGCCAGTTCTTAGAAGTGGCCCGACGCGGATCGGTATGGCTGTGCGGATTCTTACCTGGAATCCAGCCGAAATGGCCCAGGTGCTAGTACCATCACCGGCAAGAATGGCGGCCTTGTCGAGATGGCCGGTACCAAGGAGGCTGAACGTTAGAGAAACTTCATGTTAGCTTCTATCGCATCGTATAATCGTATGTCATATGCTGTTCGAGATCGAGGAGCCTCCTTACCTGCTATCAACATAAGCTATATCACGGTTGCGTGCGTTAGCTGTCGACTTTCATCATGCGAGGTGGGGTTAGCTCTAGGAGAACATCCCGCCACATACCTTGCCAGGACATCTCGGTCTATGTGTGGTGTATGAGTTACAGGGCTGAGAAAAGTTCTGTGGGAGGAGAAAAGCAAAAAAAGCTGCAGGCTGAGTCTCGTGGGTTAAAAAAGGAAAGGAAGTCACTTGCTCTGGCTGGGGGAGAACGGAAGAGATGGAGTGAAGGATCAAAATGGTAATTGCTTGGGTGGTTGCTGGATGTTCACGGTAAATGTTTCCCCGCCTTAAAAATGACCCGCAACGAAGGAGGGGCAGCACTCAAATGTTGTTTTTTTAATGCGCGACTTGAACGCTGGCAACGACGTCAAATAAGAATTTAATTCGATGATAGGTGGTGCTTGGCCTCACTATAATATGCGGTTGCTAGGGGGCACTGGGAATTAGAGGCGAAGACGTCAACAGACGTGACTCGAGGCAGTCCATGGAGCTGGTACAATTGCATCAATGTACTTCGTAGATTCAGCACATGTGAGGTGAGGGGCAGGGCCGGGTATCTCTTTATTCCGTCCTATGTACCTTCAATATCCTTCCAAGGTATTTTACTAGGCTTTCTTGGATCTCGAAATACCTCTCCTCGTTAAATAGGAACCTTGAATTTATGGAATGACTTTGCATAACTCGCTCCATTTTCGTCTGGCATTTCGGCCCTGATCAGCAGCGGCAACGAGTCAATGGTGGTGGGGAGTGGAGCGAGTTATAGCAGAGCATTGAGGGAATGAAGCTGGCATATCTCACCTCAACGACATCTACCGTGTTGTACCACGAAACGCGAGGAACTCAAAGCCTTCATGCTGTATTTGAGGAACTACACGAGTACACGCGTGTATACCCGGTATAGCATTGATGGCATTATCCAGGAACAAGGGAGAATGAAGCATTGAAGCTTACGAGGCGGTTGCTTGCAAGTCCTTCCTGTCCAACTCAATAAGCATCCACGATCAGCCAGCGCAGATGGTTTGCCGTTGGTTGGGCTTTGCTTCCCTTTGCTCTGAGCAAACCTGCGAGCGGCAATTCTATTACCAAGTCTAACCACTACATTCCTAGCTAATGGCCGCTAGCGACATTGTGTTTTCCGATCCTCTGCAAACAAGATCTCACCCGGATGGCCTAACTGACCTTTGAACGGTGTCGTCTTACAATAACATTGACTTCATCACTCTGTGGCGGGTTAAGAGCCTGTCCTCCAAGGCCAGCTGGGGCACATTAAGCTTAATCCAAAAGAAAAACCGGCAATATGCATAATATAAAACCTGTAATGAAAAAGAAGAGCAAAATAAAACACAGACCCAGAAATACAGGTATGTTGAGTGGAAATGGAAAGAAAAAAAAAATTGACAAAAAGATCGCCCCTAAGGCCCTTATCGGGATCGAACCGTCGAAGCTACGAAACTCCCCCCGGAAGTGGGTGGTTTCTAACCATTGAGCGCCCCGCGGAGGCCACTGCCACGGGTACTGCACTGCCATGCGCGCTCGGCTGACAGTTTGGACCTTGGGGGGGTATATAAAGTTAAGTCAGCAGAACTGGGAATTGAAGGATAGAGGAGGAAGGAGCGAGTGGGACAGCAGGGATTTCTGTTTCCACGATTCTCATGCCTGAGCAGATCTTCATATCTTGGTCTGGTGTTCCTCATAGTCACAAGAATGACTACCTCCTCCAGTATGGCCTACTATTAGAACTTGAGCAGCTCAGATTTTGCTTTGCTCACTTTCGCTATGCAGAGTTCGATGCCGGTGTCCAAGAAGATCCAGAGCTGTACGCGCATCCCAACGATGTGCCTTCACTGCAAGCACACGAATTAGCAACGCACTATACGCAGTCATCTGTCCCTCCGCGATCAGTCGGGTATGGAGCCTCGTGAAAATACTAACATCAATGCCAAATCTACACCTCAGACTTGACAAAGCGTATCCAAGTCACCCTCGGGGGTCAATTCCAGACGAAACTTACAAACCGACTGATACCTACACTTTGAAATCGCACTCATGGCACCATGGGCTGGCTTGGAGCGATATATCGTCTATACACGAGAACTTCATGCCGTTCTTGGGCTTTCAAGAATTCGCAAACTTGACAGTTCGTTGGCACTTACACGCCACTCCGGCGTCTTGACTAGCTCCTCGCGGTCGCCAGCTACTCGCTCCTATCACATCTTCACTTACTGACACAGTCAACTGCCGGAAACTGCCTTCGACCCGGTGTGAATACACCCCGTGAAATATTGCAAGGAGCGGCAATCTAAGATCCGTCTTAGTGGGACACATCGGAGGCAGAACACGAGAAACGGACAAGACATGGAAGCGCCTCCGTTACGTGATGGATCGCTGGTAGTCCCCCTGCATGGCAAGGCCATCCCATACCGGGGTTTCCTCAACGCCAAATTTTCGCAGAAAAATGCATTGCATCTCAGGCTAAGCGGACGGCAGGAATATCTCACAGTCGCAGTCTTCCTCAGACTTGGTCTGCCCGGTCGGTCCGTAGGATTGTCCCACATCACAAAGTGATACCGCGTCGCATCCACAAATGTCGGACATCGCCTAGACAGCGATTATCCGGGAAAGAGTCCGTCATCTCGATCGCGAGAACGCAGTCGAGGAATCAGGATCAGGACGATCGGCAAAAGAACGAGGCCATCCAGGTGGACGAGGATCGCGGGGAATCCGATCTCATTCTGGTCCGCACACCACTTACTAGGTCTTCTCAATTCTTCCAGATGATCTCATAGGGCTTCTGGATTCACGATCGCCGCCTAGTACGACAGCACAGGGTTGGTTCATCTGAAAATTGGTCGTCTTTTCTGTCTCCCGCTCCTATCTTACCGGCTGGTGGCTTGTGGATAACCGTGGCAGGCAGGGACCTCTGGTGGCTCTCCTCGCGCTGCTGGGCCCATCCCCAAAACATGCCTCTTTGGGCCGGAAGTTTGTCTAATGTCCTTCAGACGGAGAAGTGTTCGATCCTGTTGGTCTAAAATTCGCCGCGGAACCCACCATCCCGACACGGAAGGCTATCACGTCCTTAAGCGGGTAAATTGTTCGGAGGCCGACCTAAGAGGGCCTACAGGGTAGAAGCCTGTTTGCGAACCAAAGTAGACGTGGAGAGAGCTAGTTTCTGGGAGAATCAAAGAAATGTTTAGCGAATGGTAGGGGTTAAGGGGAGAGGGGGAACTATGCGAAGGATTTGCAATTCTGAGACGTGATGGTTGTGTTCGCTAGTGCCTTGGGACCAGTATGATGAAACGCCAGGTCTCACACGCACACAACCGCCTGTTGAACCTCCTCCTTTGTCCCGCAATTGGGGGTCCTTGGGCCGTTTCTTCCGGCCTCTTCTGCCAATTCATCATTCGACGGAGAGGGAAACTCAGCTGACTGTTTCTCTCCCAACAGTGCTTTGAGGCGACAAAGGTTAGAAAACCACCCGAACCATGGCTGTAATGGTACCACGGCGTGAAGGGCCAGGGCCTGGCCAAGCCCTCCGGCCTAGTACCGTCAGTTCGGTGAAAAACACTCTCGAGCTGAAGCGACGGATGGCACGAATTTGTGGGAGGGGACGAGAGCCTCCGTGAAGACTGGTTCGGTTTTCATTCTAGAAGCCGCTACCCCTTGCTTCGCGAGTACACTCGCAAGAGCTTTCCAAGCAGGTTGTGTGACCGACTCGACACCAATTGATAATACCCACCCCGGATGGAGATAGAGTTTGTTTGAGATTATTTTGCCTCGGTGTCTAGCTCGGTGTTGATAAAACTTTCCTGGATGGCCGCTTACCCTCGAGTGGAGATTAAACGACTATCGAAGGACAATTGCAGCAGCGAGCAGCAATGATTCGCCTTTATTCCTTTCGAGGAGCTGCAGAGCTCCTTGGTATTAATCTTAGTGTTTTCGGTGGCTCGCGACGTTGAGGCTAAATGGCAGATGCAAGGGGGGGAAGGGTCGGTAACCTCAAGGTATTGGAGGTGTTCGCCAAACCTGGAAAAGAAAGCAAAATGTGCCGTCACTTAGATGGGCTTCATATCGCTTCCGTGCCCTCCCTTTCCCGCTGTTAAATTGGGTAGCAGCTTTCTTGCATAAGGGCTTTGGACCTGCATACGTCGGTGATGGGATGTTGATAGACTTAGGTGTGCATCTGCGGCTGGGTGCAGACGGCATCTCTTCGCATGTTGGAGATGACGAACTCGAGGCAAAATGAGATGCAGTCCGCGTGGTGTTACAGAGGTTCCCAAACTGGAACAGTTGGTGCGCTGGGGGAAAGGGAGCTAGCGCCTGTCAGCTCCCTAGTCCAACAGCGAGAGGCGAACGGCGAGGACCGCACGGAGGCTCGCTGAGTAGGCATATACTTCTTACTCCGATGTCTGGGCTGAGCAGGTGAAGCTTATCGGCTGCATGCCCTGGGAAATGTGGTTCATCGGCCCCAAGAGATGCTGGGGACCTTGAGATGAAGATGCAGGGCGTTTTTTTGGGGGGGGGGATTGTGAACGCCATCAACCCTCGGTCGCAATCAGATGCATCTCCATGTCCAACTGGAGCGACTCATTGGCTCTTGGAAATGATACCAGGTCCCTTTGCACAGAGTTCAATTTTGGGGTGAGCAAATTTCCCTCCGATTCAACCCCTGATCTGTCACAGTTCACGTCATCCCCTTAGTGCGGTGACTAGTGCACGACAGCCGCCGAACCAGGGGGTTGGCAGCCTAGGATCTTGAGGCCGTGAGAACAGCCAGCCCAGGACCTTGGACCTTCCTGTTGTCGGCAAGTTTCGCCTCACCGATTCATCCCTTTCTATTCCTTCTGCCAGCGCGGAATGGCCTCTTCATCTCAAGGTTCATATTCTCCCACAGTTCGTCGTTCGGGCCTCGTTCGGTCCTGTCGGGGGAATTGTGTCATGATTTGAGGCTATATCTCTCGAGGCTCCACGTTGGCCTCATAAGGACGGCTTTCCTTTTTGCCAAGGTCCCAAGGACTCCTGCAAATCATGCTGGCACAACCAGCTTTCCAACGTGGACAGTTACTCGTCTTGGCCCCA